AGTAAAAAATTATACGGTAAAGGAATATACAATGCACATTGGACCTTTACATAGCAGAAAATTCATTTCCAGAAAATGCCAGCAATTTTCTTATCAATCACAAAGTAGACCAAAACCATTGAGAAGATCACGAGCTATAAACCCATTTCTGAGTTCTAAGTTTTCAATCTTTACCGTCACTGGTGAAATTTCCATTACGAGAGCGAGTCAATGTGAGAAACCTAGTACTCGAAAAAAAAAACGGTTTTATTGTTCGTAATTTGTTAACGGTTTTGGATATGGTGTACCTTGGTGATGAAATGAAAGATGTTGAAATTTCCAGGAAAAATTCATTGTGCGCCTTACAACTTCTAAGACCGACGTGCAAGAACACACTGTTATCGGAAAAGCAAATAACAACATGTCCGTAATACCATTACCGCTCCGGTACCAATCTCCTAAAGGGCACTTCTGACACTCACATTCTGTGTAGTACATACCCATTTTAGTGCCATGTTTAAACTCGTTATCAAACTGGTGATATATTACGGATATTCGGTTCAGATACCTCTGAATTTTGTCCTTCGCGATTTCTGAAACAAAAAGCAGCAATATCATTTGTTACAGGCCAACAAATAAACGTCATTCTAGGAAGCACTGGCGAATCCAAATGATTCCAGTTTAAAACTAGAAAACACAAACATAAGGCTTTGGAAAGAAAAAAATGAAATCTTACATTTATGAAACATGTAGCTGAGTTAAAATGTAGAAATAACATTGAAATCTCAACCTAAGCAATACCGTAAAATGTTCAGAAACATCTTATCATTGCTAACATCCACCAAACATTATTACCATTGTTACCTTTTGTTTTCACATCATCACACTCCTTCGTCCTTGAGACAGGTAATGACATTAGAACTCACCATAGGTAGGATACATATAGTCGTATAGCATGTTAACAGTTCTATCTTCAGGCTCCATCCACAATACTGGAAGTCTTGACAACTCTCTGCAAAGTTTACGATCTGAAAAGACAAAGTAAAAAAACTCATTTCTTAGTCATAAATGAATGGCAACAGCAACGGAAAGCCACATTATGAATTAGTCATTTGAAATATAATAATGCTACAATACATAACTTCACATATGCCTAAAGTTACACGTACGCGTAAATATTCCTGGACATTGTAAGGTGATAGGATTTGTTACATTGCTAAAACAAACATATACATAAATAAACAGTGAATTAAAGTAAGACGAAATATCAGCAAAATACAAAACAGATTAATGAAAATATTAATGTTTCGATTTCTCATTTCATCGCATACCCTTTTCAAAACCAGTGAAATCAATCACTTGCATCATTGCTTGGGGCTGTCTATTCAACAGGCCAAGCATGATGCAGTCCAGTAGGTTAGTGCCTTCGTTGCCGTCAATTGGTGTGGTCAAATAATCGTGCTCAATTTGATCTTCTAACGGCACGACGTCATACAGTTTAAGTACTGACTGAGGCCAAGTGGCGATGAGATATTCAATCGCATGAAGTTCACGTTGATAGATGGCCTCTGAGAGGAGTCGAGGGTAGAGATCCAAGGGTAAATACGGGTCCTGCATCTGCCGCAAAATGTCGAGGTTACAAACAATGTCATAGATGCAGACATCGGAGAGAGACCTGAAATTGTGTTAGCAATCAATTATCAGACGTGTATAAGACAAAGACTTCTTGAAATAATATTCGCGAAGGAGGAAACAAGGTTTAAAGGGACCAAATTCTTACTGAATATTTTTTTTACATTTGAATCTTGTGTTTCCTCTTTTCTTTGACGTGACATCTTATGTCGTTTTTATGTTAAAAGGGGTAGTGAATTCGACTTTTGAAAGCGACAACTATATTTCTTATATATTGGTTATATTTAATCGTATTCGTTTTGTCACCTCAGTGGCCTGTTTTCCATGTAACAAGTCTTTTGGTCTACATTATACGCTCAAGAGTTGTATCCATTTTAAAAGGCTTTAATGGCATTCACATACAATCTATATATCACATTCTCTATTTGTTATACTACATAATGTACATTTACATTCAAGAGGCTTGAAAAATACTTATTTAGGGACATTGTTTTTAAGTTAGCAAAATCATACCGTGGTGATTTGATGTATCTTCCTTCTCCATCCTTCAGACAGTGCATAACACCGAGATTATCTCTGTACAGTCGATATTTTAAGTGATTGCTGGTCATCCAAAGCGGGTGGCGAAATAAATGAGGGTCATAGTTGAAGTTCCAGACCTCATAGTCTATTACATCCATGGCACTTGTCACCGACATTCTGACCTCGTTATGCAAGAAAATGTCAATTTTGCGCACTTATTGTGTTAAGAACGCTCTGAAAAGAGCGTTACAATGTTTCAGAAAACCCGTCTCATCAATCTCATTGCCTGGTTTTTGCTAACTGCTTATGTTGTCCGAATCTACAATTCATTCTGAAAAAGAGCAAGACTCATGAGTAATGGATTAGTTGATCTATTCTACAGATTACTCATGATTACTGAGGCGGGATTCATCCACCNTGACCTCGTTATGCAAGAAAATGTCAATTTTGCGCACTTATTGTGTTAAGAACGCTCTGAAAAGAGCGTTACAATGTTTCAGAAAACCCGTCTCATCAATCTCATTGCCTGGTTTTTGCTAACTGCTTATGTTGTCCGAATCTACAATTCATTCTGAAAAAGAGCAAGACTCATGAGTAATGGATTAGTTGATCTATTCTACAGATTACTCATGATTACTGAGGCGGGATTCATCCACCGTGCAAAATGAAAAGAAAAGATTTATCTGTCTGAAATGACCATAAAATGTTTGGATAGTGCGCAACCTGTCGATCAGAAAATGATTGACGTCATCTAGAAACAAAAATATGTGATGGAGCCGTTTGACCTTTACTTCACGTTATTTGTATAAACCCAGGAAACGTAGCAATAACACAGACGCGTTATATTCCTCATTTTCAGATTCATTGACATTATATCTAGTAACCATTATCACCAAGTCCGATTTCCGCTTACATGAGACAATAATCGGCTGAATTATGTTGAATTTCAGTACGTCGACTGAACCTTTCGAATTTCTTCTGACGAAAAAAGTGAATGTCGTATTTTAACTATTCATTATCGTATTAGTTCATCAACACATTCAATCTTACGTATTCTCTTCGTCGGTCGGTGTTTGTCCAGATACTCAGTCGGGTATCATTACCTATAAAGGTAAGTAGTATCGAGGTTGTAGTCATTTCGGGTTACTGACTGAGATGATGATAACTTTCACATTTGAAGATCGCAATTCGCTATCTACTTAAAACCATAGAACTTCAAATGTGCATCTGTGTAGGTTTAAATTCAAAAACACAGATTCTTAAACAAGATTTAGTATGGAAAACCACACCTACCTCCGACTTGTGATATTCAAAGAGCCTGTTCAGCTTTTTTAGTTATAAAAGTCAGATTCACCCTATCAGAACATGAGATGTCTGTTTTACCTTCTAGACAGCCACTAGCTGGTACATTTGACGTCTGATCTTGACGCAAGGAGAACTAGAAATGCAACACACTGTGTTTGTAAACTGTTTGGGCTCAGCCAAAAATAACACTGCGTGATTGACCTGGTGGCTGCCAGATACAAAACAGGTCTGAATATATAAACTGCAGTTCCCAGAATCTAGACCATAAAATACATTTTGCATAAGTGATAGAGAATGGCATTTGTCTACATCAACACTGTTGCGTTTATATTATTTTTTCATACTAGCCACCTTTCAGTCCATGTGTATTTGACCGTTCTGGTTTCATATGTATATGAGTATTATCAGCAGAAAAGACCTGTACAGAACGTTGAGATTGGAACCATCTGTTCTTACACGCAGCCCTGCTACGTCAGATTCTGTAGTGCTGAACTCTCATCCTGCTTTACAGTAACTGTCCTGGCTGCTGCACAATTTGTATACATTGTATAATCCTTATACAAACAAAGAGCCGTTTTTATGATAGCTTCGGAACATCTGAAATAACAAAATTTAACGTAATGCCAATCCAATGCAAGAAAATAAGGAGTTATTGAAGAAAAAGTGATAAACCACAAACAAATATGAATTAAACTGAAGTTTTATTATTTGTTTATACTGTTAATATTATTTATTATCACAAATTTTAGTATACGTGTAATACAAAGCGCACTACAACTACACGTCTTGAAAGACGGAAGATTCTTATTATTTTTTTTTTTTTTGAAAAGTGTGAGATTATTTATTTTCATTCATTCATTTATCTTTTTAAACATGACAGTTTCTGGGTTTTTTTAAATAATAATATTCTTACTTCTATCTTCTGTCTACTTGAATCATATCTGTCCTCTACATGTAGTCTAATCGAACGCTTCTGGGCGGCTTTTTAAAAGACCCTTCAACTTGGCAGATTTTGTCTGCTTTGTAGGCGCGTTCTCAGATTCTGACGGGTGCCGAATCTTCTGGTTAAGATTAAACATACAGCAGCAAATTATATATCATATTATTTTATAAGAGTAGTCATATTTCACGATATTTTATTATTGTTTAATAGTATACTTAATTTTTACTGTACATTTTCATCAACCACTGTAGATGTCGGCTGTAAATATCTGGATGTATACACTACAGTACAATGAATAAAGTATAACATTTATACTGTTATGGCAAAGATATGATTCATCTCTCTTTATCTCATCGTCGTCACGTAGGATCGTCGTGTCGTGGCTTAATACTTTGACAAATTTATTCGTCCAAGGCCAGGGCAGATGTACATAAAACCTGTCTGAACGATGATAAATTTCTCTTAAGGAAGTAATCGAGTAATTACGCTTTTGTTGCCCGTCTGTTTCCAAAACGAAGCCGGATGACATTTTGCAAATGAAAACAAATACATCCCTCTTACTGACACCAAGGAGTACTTCCTTGATTGAACGTAATCAGCTTCGGTAATTTTTAATATTTACATTTTGTCTCAGTGCAAAAATTTGTTAAAGAGACAGTTGCTGGATTTAAAAAGTACCGCACGCGTACTAAGTACAAAGAAAGAAGAGCTACCGACAACCGCCATAACAAACCTTATAGTCCGGGATCCCAGAGGATTGAGCATGCCCGGAAAGATCACCAATTTTCTTATACCTGGCAATGACCTACATGGTTACCTATGTATGAAAATGGCAGTCTGCCGTATTTCCAGTGGTGGGTGTGGTCAGGGGGGTCCAAAAAATAGACCCCTCAAATCCAGCTAGCAGGACTTTTTAGGGGAACCCTTAGAAACCTATTGGGGGTCCTCCAGCATGGCCTCAGGTATACTAAATGGATACTGACAGACAAATTGAGTGGTGGGGTGTGGCCGGCAGACCCTGGGCCCAGTTTTATAAAGGACGTTAAGCACTAACCAGTGGATAAATTCTCCTAACACCCATTAACTAAAAGTAAAAGATGGTTAAATTGTGTTTTGTATACAGTCTTCTGACGGAAAACAACCAATTAATTAACTGGCCAGTGTTTAACTGGATTAAATAATTATTTAAAGGTCAGTTAACTAACAGACTGTTAAGGTCTGGTTAGAGTTAAACACTGGTTGGTGCTAAACGTCCTTTATAAAACTGGGCCCTGATTTACAGGGGGTGGAAATCCGGCTAGCAGGACCTAAAAGTTAACCCTTAGAAAATAACTGGAAAATGTTCCTTAGAGTCCCAGGAAAGTAAAATGACCAACGACAGACAATTTCAGTGGTGGGTAGTGCCCGGCAGACACACCCAAAGAGCCACACCCCTAATGTACAGCTAGCATGCCCCAAAAGTTAACCCTACAAAAATAACTGGAAAATGTTCCTTAGAGTCCAAGGAAGCTAGAATGACCACCGACAGACAATTCAAGTGGTGGGTAGTGCCCGGCAGACACGCCCAAAGAGCCACACCCTTAATGTACAGCTAGCATGCCTAACGTACGTACATCTAGCATGCCCCAAAAGTAAACCCTAAAAAATAACTGGAAAATGTTTCTTAAGAGTCCCAGGAAGCTAGAATGACCATTGACAGACAATTTAAGTGTTGGGTACTGCCTGGCAGACACACCCAAATGCCACACCCAGGTGACTTGTGTATGAAATAATAATGACTTTTAAGCAAGCGTTATAACATAAAAGAAGAGCCAACAGCTTTTGGATGTATACTCATGAAAGGAAGATATGAATTATTTAATCATTTATCAAATTATTCTATTTACACATTAATATTTATAACTATTTATTTAATAATTTATTTAACAAAACCTCTAGTCATCTCTCCTTACCCCACTTGATTTCCTATGGTTTTGGAAGCTCAGTGAGAACAGTGTGTCTCTACATGTAGGATTCATGTGCAACTATTTCAAAGATCCTTTGCCAATGCAAAAGATATGCTATATGGACCCACATACCGAAGTCCCCAACAAACAATGATGTGGTGAGGGAAACTATGATGAGGACCATGAACATGTTGCTAAAGAAACTGGCCAGGATTATACTGTGGCCACATATGACCACTGCATTCAAGGCATACTCCATCCAGTCCCTCCAAATAACAAGGTGCTCATTATGCTTGGCAACTTTCACACTGAGCTTGCATTTTATGGAGCAATTACCGGACAGAGGTATTTACGGTCCCATGTGAATATTCTTATCATAAAAAACTAAATGTGATTTATTTTCCATGGTATTTTGAATTTGTCAAGCATTTCATTAGCTTACAGGGCATTTAACTGTATAGTTTGCAACCAAAAATGTTAGTGCGCCAAGTCACATGACCCTGTGGTCACTCTAGTTAGGTGAACAGTAATCAGTCACGTGGTTTTGGGTATGCATGATATAGAAATCTCGAGAGAATTTAGTAGACAAGTAGCAAGCATACCGGTTGGTCACCTGTTGTGTTTGGAACCGTAGATAGCATATAATGTGAGTAATTGTAAAATGTATTTTTTTTACTTTAACGCATATACTGCAGTTTGTTTCTGTTAGTTTCTTAGTTTATTATTATCGCATACTTACGTATTTTTTTCATTTCTTTTAGATTTGTACAAAGAGTCCAACGTACACAAAGGACAAACGTGCCACGGTGTCTATTGTGCTAACGAAAATGTTACAAATTGTGTTATCTATACGTCAATAAAGGACTCAGTCATTTTATGCTTAACGTCGTCTACAATAAAAACGGTTCTCTTCAGCCCGCCTCTTGCAAGAAGAGAAATACAGTTGGTGAACGTCACACATAACCCCTCTGTTTTTCTGACAGTAGCCTAGCAATGTATTGAAGAGTCAAACAACTTAAATACAATCATTTTATGTACAATGTGTATATACATCAGGGTTCATAAAAAAACATAGGACTGGCTCTTTTCTCATTTATCACCTAGTTCTTCCATGCAGCAGTGTCTACACCGGTTACATCAACACGTTATGCTTAATAAAATCAAGAAGTTGCATACATACTTGGTATAATTTGTTTCAGGTATATATTCCTTTAAAAGAAATCTGTTGGATTAGTGGATTAGAAAAAAACTTGAAACCATGCTTTTTTATTACACATTTAAGTGTTTAATATATAGTGATATAGTGGCAAATATGATGTATTGATCTTTGATGCCTCTTTACACTAAAAAATATGCAGCTGAATTGACCGTAGTAAAATTGTAAAATACATGTTAAAGATTTTTGATTTTTGCCATTTTCTTAATTTTGAAAAAGCAAAGCATGCTAAAAAATTACCCTCTACACGGGCGACATATTGATTTTTCACAGATATTCACAGATATGTCTCTAGATAAATAGACAGTCATTTTGGTCTGATGTCACCCTGTTCATAAATCTCTGCTGGTAATTGTTTGCATAACTGCTCAGGCACTGCCACTTGGCAGGTCCATTCTAAGTCTGCTTGACAGCAATCAAGACAGTTAATTGCTCTGACTTTAATCACTTGCTCTTCTGTGACAAATAAAAAAGCCTTTGGGCGCATTCCCATAGATTTAAGCTCGATCTATCCCCGTGGGGAGTCTCACTAGATTACTGTCAGACAATCCGGCTTAAATGTCCGTCCCGCCTACTACAAGCTGTAGGGTGGTAATTAACTTTCGTGCCCACTCGGCTGACAGCTATTTAGCGTGAACCCCAAGGGAGTTAGGCCGATCTAGTTGGATCGATTTAATCTCTGGGAATGGGATCTTAGAATGGTTGCGTAATGAGCAGTTATCACATTGTTGTGAAGCTCAGCTCATGCAGAGTGAGTACAAAGCCTTTGGCGCGCGCAGAGATAATTGTTTCCTCATGGTCAAACTTAACAGGGTCCATCAGCAAGAAATGTCCACAATAATAACTGCGACCCTGGTAGAGGGTACTAAAAAATATCCAGGACAACACAAAATTGTTTGTGACTCTGTACCCATATCTTACAGTGATTGTTGATAACTCGGACAGTTTCTTTTGTCCATACATTGAAAATGTATTTGAAAAAGAGTGTTGTATTTAACATGTTGTCTTGATTATACCAGTAGTAAAGAAGTCAGACACAATGACATACAATGGCCTAGCTTCTTCACACCATTCTTTTTATTTTCCATCCTTATTCATTTGATGGTAGATCCACATCATTGATATTGCCAAGGCCGAAGGCATGCCAGCCATTGAGTACAATCCTAACTTCAGGTTTGTGTATGTTGCTCCTGCCATCATGAATAGAAGACCGAGTGCACTAAATTTCTGGGCTCGCCTGTTCCCAAGAATCAATAAAACACCAAGGACAATTTCTATGTTTCCCACCATGGTTCTGTAGAAATCTGCATCAGGGACATACCCTAAAGGAGCTAATGGAAACACCCTTGCAAATGCTTGGAACATCTTCTCCTGAAATTTAGGAGAATTTTAATGAATTTCTTGCTTGTTAACATGCATGAAGTTTCTTGACTTTTTACCTTCTTTTTTCAGTTCATTAGTATTGTTAAATTATTACATTATTACTATTATGCATTCTTCATGTTTAGTAATGTCACAATTTTGGTTTTAAGTAATTGCACCTTAAATATAAAAGATAAATCATTACAGCATTCATTCATTCATTCATTCATCCATTCATTCATTCATAATGCAATCTCAAGTTGAGCTGCTGTGTTGGACCATGTGTAACAGCCATGCGATTTGTCCGAGTATCTTATCATTAACTTTTATAAATTTGAAATCAATAAAAATATACAAATTCTGTTCTGTGGATAATTTTGGGCTCCGACCAAAGAGGATTGGCAGGGCATCCATCAAAACTATATACTNTAAAAACGGTTCCCTTCAGCCCGCCTCTTGCAAGAAGAGAAATACAGTTGGTGAACGTCACACATAACCCCTCTGTTTTTCTGACAGTAGCCTAGCAATGTATTGAAGAGTCAAACAACTTAAACTACAATCATTTTATGTAGAATGTGTTTATTTGCATGATTTCAATGCGTATATACATCAGGGTTCATAAAAAACATAGGACTGGCTCTTTTCTCATTTATCACCTCGTTCTTCCATGCAGCAGTGTCTACACCGGTTATATCAACATGTTATGCTTAATAAAATCAAGAAGTTGCATACATACTTGGTATAATTTGTTTCACGTACATATTCCTTTAAAAGAAATCTGTTGGATTAGTGGATTAGAAAAAAAACTTGAAACCATGCTTTTATATTACATATTTAAGTGTTTAATATATAGTGATATAGTGGCAAATATGATGTATTGATCTTTGATGCCTCTTTACATTAAAAAATATGCAGCTGAATTGACCGTAGTAAAATTGTAAAATACATGTTAAAGATTTTTGATTTTTGCCATTTTCTTAATTTTGAAAAAGCAAAGCATGCTAAAAAATTACCCTCTACCAGGGTGACATATTGATTTTTCACAGATATTCACAGATATGTCTATAGATAAATAGACAGTCATTTTGGTCTGATGTCACCCTGTTCATAAATCTCAAGGCTGATTACATGGCTGGTAATTGTTTGCATAACTGCTCAGGCACTGCCACTTGGCAGGTCCATTCTAACACCCCATTTCCATAGATTTTTAGATCGATCTATCCCTGTGGGGAGTCTCACTAGATTCCTGTCAGCTTGGCCCGCTTAAGCGTCTGTCCCGCCTACTAAAAGCTGTCAGGGGGTAATTAACTATGGTGTCCGCTCGGCTGACTGCAATTTAGCCTGAACCCTCAGGGAGTTAGGTCGATCTAAAACTTAATCTTTAGATCGATCTAAATCTCTGGGAAAGCACCCTTAGTCTGCTTGACAGCAATGAAGACAGTTAATTGCTCTGACTTTAATCGCTTGCTCTTCTGTGACAAATAAAAAGGCCTTAGGGCGTATTCCCATAGATTTAAGATCGCTCTATCCCCGTGGGGAGTCTCACTAGATTACTGTCAGATAATCCGGCTTAAATGTCCGTCCCGCCTACTACAAGCTGTAAGGGGGTAATTAACTTTCTTGCCCACTCGGCTGACAGCCATTTAGCGTGAACCCCAAGGGAGTTAGGTCAATCTAGTTGGATCGATTTAATCTCTGGGAATGGGGTCTTAGACTGGTTGTGTAACGAGCAGTTATCACATTGTTGTGAAGCTCGGTTCATGCAGAGTGAGTACAAAGCCTTTGGCGCGCGCGCAGAGATAAATTGTTTCCTCATGGTCAAACTTAACAGGGTCCATCAGCAAGAAATGTCCACAATAATAACTGCGACCCTGGTAGAGGGTACTAAAAAATATCCAGGACAACACAAAATTGTTTGCGACTCTCTACCCGTATATTACAGTGATTGTTGATAACTAGGACAGTTTCTTTTGTCCATACATTGAAAATGTATTTGAAAAAGAGTGTTGTATTTAACATGTTGTCTTGATTATACCAGTAGTAAAGAAGTCGGACACAATGACATACAATGGCCTAGCTTCTTCACACCACTCTTTTTATTTTCCATCCTTATTCATTTGATGGTAGATCCACATCATTGATATCGCAAAGGCCGAAGACATGCCAGCCATTGAGTACAATCCTAACTTCAGGTTTGTGTATGTTGCTCCTGCCATCATGAATAGAAGACCGAGTGCACTAAATTTCTGGGCTCGCCTGTTCCCAAGAATCAATAAAACACCAAGGACAATTTCTATGTTTCCCACCATGGTTCTGTAGAAATCTGCATCAGGGACATACCCCAAAGGAGCTAATGGAAACACCCTTGCATATGCTTGGAACATCTTCTCCTGAAATTTAGGAAAATTTTAATGAATTTCTTGCTTGTTAACATGCATAAAGTTTCTTCACTTTTTTTCTTTTTTCAGTTCATTAGTATTGTTAAATTATTACATTACTATTATGCATTCTTTATGTTTAGTAATGTCACAATTTTGGTTCTAAGTAATTGCACCTTAATTATAAAAGATAAATCATTACAGCATTCTTTCATTCATCCATCCATTCATTCATTCAAAATGCAATCTGAAGTTGAGCTGCTGTGTTGGACCATGTGTAACAGCCATGCGATTTGTCAGAGTATCTTATCATTAACTTTTATAAATTTGAAATCAATAAAAATATACAAATTCTGTTCTGTGGATAGTATTGGGCTCTGACCAAAGAGGATTGGCAGGGCATCCATCAAAACTATACACTAATGAGTAGGTCGCTATATCTAACTTGGTATGAAAGTGAAAAAAAACAACATTAAATTCAGGTGATCCGGTCTGTCTTTCAGGTATCGCTGACGTATTTTGCCTGGAATATTGTCTTGTGCTTAAAAGATCATGGAAAGAAACAATAAACACCCATCTGAAATTATATATATATGCAAGGAGCTATTATTAAATATTTAACTTGCAACTTGCAGCGCTCCTACACCCAATCACACACCATGTATAGCTACTGTAATCGACCTTTTTCATACTCAAGGTTTTCATATGAATTCAAGCTCATCATTTCTCAAATAAATAACCCAATTATATAATGAAATGTCCGTTGGAGTAGCTTTTAAGATAAAACGAAAGTTACCATATCAGCTGTTAGTTCGCTCTTAACTGCCGTTGTCTTCACGAGTCCAGAAGCACTGAATAAAATGCCAGTAAAACCAGTAAAGATCTCTACAAACGTAGCCATCTTAACCCGTTAGCTGCAGGCCTCCTATTCATGTACTATATGAGTAGGTCATTACACTACACTAGCGTGGAGGCCTTTCACATCTGGCGATAAAGCTGTATTGTATGGAGTAAAAGATTGACAAATGCATGGCCTGGGTAATTGCATAAGAGAGGCGTTCATCCGAGCTAGCGTAAAGGGGGTTGGCGGCACTGCACGACGCAAAACGAGAAGACAATCTGCGTGCAGTTTGGGTATCCTTTTTTTACCATAACCGTAGCATGTCTGCACCCGTGCTGGGTCTATCTTTAATTGGGACTCTCATAAATATCCCTGGACGGCGGCTCTGATGTCTGACACGCCTACTGAAGCTGCTAGGGGTAATTGACTATCGTTGAGCAGCTTCTGCAGGCGTGCCAGACATCTAAGCCGCTTAGTCTGAACGCAATTTAGCGAGAATATGGGTCGATCCTGCTAGAATGGGGTATTAGTGCAAGACGATCTGCTTATTTAATCGATGGCTATATTTTCCCATTCTGACACTGATGTCGATTATATGATGCTGCCTCGCTTTAGGAGAAACCGGCAATCCAGGTCAGAAACGGCAAATTAGGACACAGGCAAATCAGGACAGTTGTAAATAGATGGCGCAGTAGTAGAATATAGAGGACATTGTGCTTTTCGGTGCAAAGATGAAAGATCGCTTTCGTCGGAGACAACAATGCATTGTATTAAATTGGATTAAATCTATTTACATTTTTCTTTTTACATTTTTCTTTCTACAGAGTTTGGAAATATTTTATATAGATATTATAAAGATATAAATTTAAGTCGTTTGGGGAAAAAGAAATGTTAGGGGCCTATCTTGAATTTTTGCAAGGGTTTAGATCTATAAATATGTGTGTTCAGTCTCTTTTTAAATTAAAGAGAAAAATAACAGATAAATTAAAATTTATCAGAGTTTTATTTGTTTTGTTGATGTCAAATAAGAAATTAAAAAAGTAATGGTAAATATTTATTCATTATCCTCTTTCCCTCTCCTCAAGCTCTGAGTAAGCGTAATGGAAACCAGATGTGAAGAGTGACAATTGCCCTCGAGTGCCCAGACTCCTAGTCCCACGCCTATGGCCCCCCCCTTTAAATAACCTGTACCCACACCTGTGCCCCCTCCCCCCATTCACAGAATCATTGATCCGCCCTTAGACACATATACTATATAGGAAAAAACTAATAAAACAGCATATTTAACAGGACCCTAGACTTTATTAATTCAAAATATATTACCATCATCAACAACAAAAAGGCAAACATTTTCAGAACAAAATAAAACAATGTTGAACAGATATTAAATATTCTCCCGAATCTAACTGATACCACAGCCATTACAAAAAGCGAACGCAAGACTTGACAGGCATTTAAGCCCCCCCCCCTTGCTTCTTCACACATATCTCTTTCTCTTTCTCTCTCTCTCTCTTTCTTACACACTTTCTCTCTCTGATCTTTCAAAAGGTTTTCTGCTTTAATTCCTTAATTTATTTTTTTCCTTTCTCTACAAGAAAACATATTTTTTAAAGAAAATTTAACAGATACGCTGTATGGGACATTTAACAGACACACTGTATGTCTAGGAGACATTTCTTTTCACAAATCATAGTAAAATATATAAAAAAGAAAATAACAGTAATATTAACGTAAAAGATTTACTGTCCTGATTTGCCGTTTTCTCCCAAATGTAATTGATACCACATGAGTGGAAGAGTCATTAGAGAAAGCGAACGCAGGAGTTGAAAGGCACTCAACTCCCCCTTCTTGCTTTTCCCCACGTCTCTCTCTCTCTCTACCTGTCGCGAGCGCTCGCGCGCACACACGCACACATCCTTTCTTTCTCTGATATTTCCATACGTTTCCCTCTTCAATTCCTTAATTTATCTTTTCTTTTCTTTACAATATTACATATTTTTGAAAGAAAATAAAAGTTTTGTGGGACATTTAACAGTTACAATGTATGTCTAAGGGACATTTCTTTTACAAATCATTGTAAAATGTGGACAAAAAGAAAGTAACAATAATATTAAAGTAAAAGATTTACTGTCCTGATTTGCCGTTTTCTCCCAAATGTAATTGATACCGCATGAGTGGAAGAGTCATTACAGAAAGTAAACGCAGGAGTTGAAAGGCATTTAAGCCCCCCCCCCTTGGTTCTTCATACATCTCTCTTTCTCTCTCTCTCTCTCTTTCTTACACACTTTCTCTCTCTCATCTTTCAAAAGGTTTTCTGCTTTAATTCCTTAATTTATTTTTTTCCTTTCTCTACAAGAAAACGTATTTTTTAAAGAAAATTTAACAGATACGCTGTAAGGGACATTTAACAGGCACACTGTATGTCTAGGAGACATTTCTTTTCACAAATCATAGTAAAATATATAAAAAAGAAAATAACAGTAATATTAACGTAAAAGATTTACTGTCCTGATTTGCCGTTTTCTCCTAAATGTAATTGATACCACATGAGTGGAAGAGTCATTAGAGAAAGCGAACGCAGGAGTTGAAAGGCATTCAACTCCCCCCTCTTGCTTTTCCCCACGTCTCTCTCTCTCTCTCCCTGTCGCGCGCGCTCGCGCGCACACACGCACACGTCCTTTCTTTCTCTGATATTTCCATACGTTTCCCTCTTCAATTCCTTAATTAATCTTTTTCTTTTCTCTACAATATTACATATTTTTGAAAGAAAATAAAAGTTTTGTGGGACATTTAACAGTTACAATGTATGTCTAAGGGACATTTCTTTTACAAATCATTGTAAAATGTGGACAAAAAGAAAGTAACAATAATATTAAAGTAAAAGATTTACTGTCCTGATTTGCCGTTTTCTCCCAAATGTAATTGATACCGCATGAGTGGAAGAGTCATTAGAGAAAGCGAACGCAGGAGTTGAAAGGCATTCAACTCCCCCCTCTTGCTTTTCCCCACGTCTCTCTCTCTCTCTCCCTGTCGCGCGCGCTCGCGCGCACACACGCACACATCCTTTCTTTCTCTGATATTTCCATACGTTTCCCTCTTCAATTCCTTAATTAATCTTTTTCTTTTCTCTACAACATTACATATTTTTNCCCTCCTGCTTCTTCACACATCTCTCTTTCTCTTGCTCTTTCTCTCTCTCTCTCCCTTTCACACACACTTTCTCTCTCTGATACTTCAATAGGTTTACTGGTTTAATTCCTTAATATTTTTTCCTTTCTCTACAAAATAACATTTTTTAAAAAAAAAAATTAACAGATACGCTGTATGGGACATTTAACAGACACACTTTTTTTTACAAATCATTGTAAAATGTGGAAAAAAGAGACAAAAATATTAAAGTAAAAGATTCACTGTCCCTATTTTCCGTTTTCTCCCAAATGTTTCTGATACCGCATTAGTAAAGAAGTCATTACAGAAAGTAAACGCAGGAGTTGAAAGGCATTTAAGCCCCCCCCTCCTGCTTTTCCCCACACCCCTTTCTCACACACACACACACACACACACACTTTCTCTCTCTGATCTTTCAATACGTTTTCCTCTTCAATTCCTTAATTTAACTTTTTCTTTTCTCTACAATATAACATATTATAAAAGAAAATAAAGGTTTTTGAGGACATTTAACAGATACAATTTTTGTCTAGAGGACATTTTTTACATATTATTGTAAAATGTGGACAAAAAGAAAGTAACAATAATATTAAAATTAAAGTAAAAGATTTACTGTCCTGATTTGCCGTTTTCTCCCCGGCAAATGTAACAAATACCACATGAGTGGTATTTGTTACATTTACCACATGAGTGGGGAAATCATTACAGGGAGCGAACGCAGGAGTTGGAAGGTATTTAAGCCCCCCTCTTGCTTATTCCCATATCTGTTTCTCTCCCCCTGTCTGTCACACACACACACACACACGCGCGCGCGCGCGCGCGCGCGCGCGCGCACGCACTTTCTCTTTCTGATCATTCAATAGGTTGTCTGCCTTTCTTCAACATATGGAATATGTTCCATTTGGGAGAAAACGACACGGCGGTTGAGAGAATCTTTTCCCTTCTTTTTGTCTTTTTATTTAAGAGAGAGAGAGAAGCGGAGGGCGTTATAATATCTTACAAACTATGTGGGCCATTAATTTTTTTTCCCTTTTTGTTGTTTTAACAAGGAAAGACGATGTCATCATAAAAAAAAATGGATTTTTGGGGGTGAACTAAGGAATAACTTATGTACAGACGAGATCGACAGAGGGAAGAGAAGCGCGGGGGGCGGGGGGGGGGATTAACGGGGTTAATACCTCTCAATTTTTGTGTTCGCTTTCTATTATAGCCTCTCTACGCATCTGGTATTAGTCATATTTGGGAGAAAACGGCACGGCGAGTCAGGAAATCTTTTCCTTAACATTTTCATTTTTTAATATTAAATTTACCTAGGACAGACAACCGTCTATCCAAGTTTTTACAAAGTATATAATTGTAGTCTCCTTAATATATCTGTCCAACACATCCAGCATTTTTTTTTGTTTTTTCTTTCTAGCTATAACATCTTATAGAGAAATATATTATATGATTTAATAAATTAATGGAGATAACTTATTGAAAGAAAGACAAGATAGAGAGAAAGAGTGAGATAGAGGAAGGAGAAATGGGGCAGGGGAAATACCTTTTGACTCCTGTGTTTTCCTTCTTTCATGACCTCTCCTCGCAATCTTTCAGGGGTGAAAAGTTCTAATTAATTTTGACACCGGTTCCTTGAAGCCGTAAGAGACCCTTACAAATTCGATCGCTTGCTTGNACACGCTGGTGGTACTAATGACTAGGTCGCTACATCTAACTTGGTATGAAAGCGAAAAAAGAAAAAACATTAAATTCAGGTGATCCGGTCTGTCTTTCAGGTATCGCTAACGTATTTTGCCTGAAATATTGTCTTGTGTTTAAAAGATCATGGAAAGAAACAAGACTACTTTGCTTATAAACACCCATCTGAAATTATATATATATATATATATATATATATATATATATATATGCAAGGAGCTATTATCAAGGAGTTATAACTCCTTGCTATTATCAAATATTTAACTTGCAACTTGCAGCGCTCCTACCTCCAATCACACACCATGTATAGCTACTGTAATCGACCTTTTTCATATTCAAGGTTTTCATATGAATTCAAGCTCAGTGGCGGGTGCAATATAACATATCAAATCATTTCTATCAAATAAATAACCCAATTATATAATGAAATGTCCGTTGGAGTAGCTTTTAAGATAAAACGAAAGTTACCATATCAGCTGTTAGTTCGCTCTTAACTGCCGTTGTCTTCACGAGTCCAGAAGCACTGAATAAAATGCCAGTAAAACCAGTAAAAATCTCTACAAACGTAGCCATCTTAACCCGTTAGCTGCAGGCCGCCTATTCATGTACTATATGAGTAGGTCATTACACTACACTAGCGTGGAGGCCTTTCACATCTGGCGATAAAGCTGTATTGTATGGAGTAAAAGATTGACAAATGCATGGCCTGGGTATTGCATAAGAGAGGCGTTCATCCGAGCTAGCGTAAAGGGGGTTGGCGGCAGTGCACGACGCAAAACAAGACAAGACAATCTGCGTGCTGGTTGGGTATCCTTTTTTCCATCATAACCGTAGCATGTCTGCACCCGTGATGGGTCTATCTTTAATTGGGACTGTCATAAATATCCCTGGACGGCGGGTCTGATGTCTGACACGCCTACTGAAGCTGCTAGGGGGTAATTGACTATCGTTTAGCAGCTTCTGCAGGCGTGCCAGGCATCTAAGTCGCTTAATCTGAACGCGAGAATATGGGTCGATCCTGCTAGATATATAGGTATGAGAATGGGGTATTAGTGCAAGACGATCTGCTTATTTAATCGATGGCTATATTTTCCCATTCTGACACTAATGCCGATTGTGTATGCCGATTTGCGAAGTGATTGTTAGCGGCAAATAGTGAGTTAATTATTTTAAATGAATGAAGAAAAGCACATTATTGGTAAACTAAAAATTCAGTGATAAAGGAATATTGCCTAAAGTGCGCGTGGGAGTCTGATCATTGGGTGATTTCAGTATGTTGTTTAGTTCAAGTTGTGAAGAGTTTATGTGATTAAATTGTAATTTTATATTACCCGAACGCTTTTAAAGATCACCTGATGTGTTTTTCAGGCACACTGTCTATGAGTGACCATTGTGAGCCACTGCGATGGTCGAGACAAAGAAAAGCTCACCAAGATATGGTATGTCTTGTACTTTAAAAAAATATTGTGTCATGTTTGTTGGATATTTCTAGCATTTTGTCTTTGATATACCTCATGTTTCATTTACACACTTTTTGATTTCAGATAAATCTACCCAGGTTTACTCTGCATTAGGAGTGGCATTCGTTTGTATAGTGATAGGTGTTCCCTTGTGGTGGAAGACGACAGAAACCTACAGAGTGTCACTGCCCTACAGCCACATTGCTGAACTTGCAGCCAAAGAAGTACCTTATATGTTTTATAGATTTGTGCATCTTTAACTTATTCATTGGTGATCACAAGTTGTACATCAATAACAAATTTATAATAGATTTTCATTATTATTTATTATATGAAATTTACCAAAATTTCAATTTTTTTCCGGAATAAAATGTTAGAATCTTGAACAGGTCAGGTGCCTATATATTGAAAGAAAATTGTATTTAAATGTCTCAAAGTATGTTGATGCTAGATATAAGAATTTTCAATAAATTTTGACAGAAAATATTCATATTTACTCAGAAACTAAAAATGTTCGGGATTCAATTTTAATCTGGGCTTAAATATTCTCTTACAGGATTTTTTTTAGATTTAAACAACATGTTTAGGATACAGTTGATGAGTGTTATTTAAATTTTTATAACTTTAAAGGATATTTATACTTTTCTTGATATGCATGAAAGTATTTGTATGAAAACTATAGATTTATATACTGATCTATGAAATTTCTTAATTTTCCAGACAATATGTTCAGTTGATGTGACCATTGTAATATTTGATGAGAGAATAGACAAAAAAGACTTGTCATTATTTGGAGAAAATCTGAAGGAGGCACTTGAAGGTAAAGTGACCAATTTTAGTTATCATTTAAAAACTGTGTAACAGTTTATGTATATGTAAATTGTGTTTAGAAATTAAGTATTGAATGGAAAAATATGAAGCTTCACATACTTTTTGAAACCTACAAGAGTACACATTAAAGAATTGTTAGGTTTAAAGGTGCTCTTCACAGGATTTATCTACTAGAATGAATTTGGGGGGGGGGGGGGTAAAGGGCAATTTTCTCTGACTCACGAATCATTGTTTGAGTTTGAGCTTTCCTGCACTTTGATGTCTTATTCCATTTTTAATGTAATAATTTACTGGTAGTTCTTAACAGCTGGCCAGTCATTTAGAACAACATATATCTGCCTTCTCTGAACCTCACTGAGCATTGCCTAGTTTTCACTTCACAACACTAAAAAATGGTGCTGTGTTTTGTATTACTGCTCTGTTTCATATGTAATACAGATGCTGCAAGGTATTGTAATTAAGTAACTTGTATGCACCAGTAATGATTAATCACCTGTAATAGTGTAAAATGTACTTCAGTAATGCTGAGGCACAAAGTGACCTTTTATAACGTAAAGTGTGTATTTCACTGTTTTCATTAAAGAAATGATGCAAGTGGGCAGATGTATGTTTTAATGCTAAATGATAAAGATAATGAAACTGTTTTGGTTGAATCAGAAAGGTAATGAAAATGTTTGGAGAAATTGTATTGCCAAAGAAAGATGAAGTGAGTATTTAGGTGTATTTGTTTTTGTTTTGGAAGTTAGTTTAATGATGTAAATTATGAAATATTGTATTTAATGAAATTAACAAAAGACAAGCTTTTGACTTTGGGAACACCACTCAGCTGTATAGTTGTCAATTAGCATTACTGTCAGTAAGAGAATAGCTAGTGAATACTAACTTTAATTTGAGAGAGACTCAAATTACCAGGAGTTTTTTCATAAAAACCATTCTGTGATAATATCATGGCTACCTGAATGGGCTGAGAAAATAAGAACTTTTATTGAAAGGGTTTTTATTGTCTTCAAAGGTTAGTTCATGGGTTTGAAAATCCTCCAAAGTTTATTTTAGTTATCCACAGATACATACACCTTAAAACTGATTAAACCCCTCAAATATATTTTTCTGGGGTGTACTTGGTGTTGATACTTCCATCTGAGCTTAGGAAGATGGCAAGTCATTTTAAACTAAATCAACCTTTGCATAATTAATTAAAGGTCGAATCCAAGTGCAGAGAGGTACAGATAAATGATTCATGAGTACCAGCAGATTGCTTAAATTTCCCCTGGACAATCCATTTGCAGGGTGAATCCCATGGAGTTGCCCTTTATGGTCTGAGTCACAAAATATAAGAAGCTTTGCAGGATATAAACATGATTGTGGAGGATTTAGAAGTGTGTGAAGATTCCCTTTGAAGAATAACATTTTTCCAGTGAGATATTTGTTAAGCAAACAGTCTGGGGCCTTTTTCACAAGTCCAAAATTATTAACCTATTTTGTTCAATTAGATGAAATGGTGTGCCTGAATTTATAATGAGACAGACAGTTGTAGAAAAGTACATTTATCAGGTTATGAAGCAGACCAAATTTCGGACAAAATGGATGAGACCAACCTATTGTCGGAAACTTTTTAAATCTTTCTTGAAACTGTCCTCAGATTTTTACATTTCATTCATTTGGGTAGGTACTAGTGGGTCCAGTGGATTGAAGATCAAGTTTAGAGGAAACCTCAGAGATGCGTATGAAGATGAGCAAATGATTCTGAAAAGATCTCTAAATCTAGAAGGTACGAGCTGTTCAAAGGGTGACATTCGTCTACAGATGGAGTTTACATTCATCAATAGCAATGATTTGAATAAAATAAATATTACAAGTGCTGCAATTATTTATTACAAAAATGTTTGATTCCTTAATCTCATTGCTGGGCTTTATTTCCTTTAGACCTGGACAGGGAGATTGACAGAGAAAAGGTTTTGGAGGAACATGGAAAATATTCATTTTACATTATCCCAGCCAATGACAAACTGTTTCCTGGAACAAGTGACATTTACATCGGAAGGAGGAGGAATGTATATTTACATATGAAGTCACCTGCTTTGGAGGGTAAGAAATCATGCCACCATATCATGATGGATTTTGGTTGGATTGTTGATTATAACATGGACAATGTTTGTGTAGATAATTGCCTATTGAATAATGTTTAATTAGATTATTTTCATTTTGTCAATTTTAATTAATTTTTTTTAATTGCTTCAAGGCAAATCTAGCATATGTTTAAATTGACATGAAAGGTTCAGTAGACTTGGCAACCAGGCATGGACTATGGATATCCATATAATTTGGTCATAATGTGATTTATTTTTCTGTTATCAGATTTAAACAGACTTGTACCTATTTTAAAGCCCATTATAAGAGATAAGTTTGTAAATGTGGCAGCACTAGTGAAGACTTTTGAGTCTGCATCAGGGGCACAACACCTTGAGGTAATTCCCCCTTTATTTAATCTTTATGACTATGCTAATACATCTGTATTCTCATTGGTTTTAACATTGATTCAGGAAGTAGGAATTTGAATGCACCCCACCTCAAATAAACACTCATCCAAAAGTTTTAAAGATCAGGAGTAAGTGATGGGTGGAATAATTAATATCTGCCATCTTTAATTTGGCATGATATGTTATTTGTTGAAAACAATTAAAAAGATCCTCTGTCTTTTTTAAGACTTATTATAGATCTGCCAGAGCATGTGTCTGAATTGTGAGGAATATTTCATATATTTTGTTGAATTACAGACTGATAAAGCCAGCATGAGAGCTGTTCATTCCAACCCTGGTTATGATGTCACCTTCACATTGTTAAACCCACAGCCAGACATTTTAAATGTACAGTGGGACATTAAGAGAGGTGTTGAAAGTAAGAAGAAAAAAGATGCTTTGATATATATAATGCCCAGCATGATTTTAAGTTTATGAAATTAGATAAAAAAAGGATAAGTCTCTTAGTAAATTTTTGAATACTGAAAAGCCCTTTTTTCTTTTTTTTCTTAGAATGCCATTACATTTTATTAACCGTAAAACATTTTTTTTGTTTTCAATTTCATTTTTAATAAAAAAGATTGCTCACTTTCTGTTGCAGAGTTCTTACAACCTTTCATTGAAAAATTGATGCAGTTTGCTAGTATAACAGTAAAATCGCAGGTAAATTATAATCGCATTTACAAAGTTATATTGTAATTTTTCAAATGTCAAGGTAAATATTTATGGAGAAGTTTCATATATCTTTATATTGGATGTTTTTAGATATTGGATATTGTATAAATCTTGTCAGGTCTACAATATTGCTATGATGTAATCTTAACGTATTTTATCTGAAGATATGATGATTGTTTTTCCTGCTATTGAATCTTTGATGTTTTAATTTCAGATGCTGTACTATACAAGGCTTGCCTTCAAACCCAAGCACGACAAAAACAATGGCAGGTACTTCTTAAAACAGGAAGATCTGCCTCACCTCATCAATCCCATAGAAGCTAAATTGGGTTTGTTTTATTTGCTATTAAATATTTCAATTTATGGCTTTATGCATTTAGTTTTCATGTGTTTTCACAAAGGGATATAATGTATTTTGTCAGTTATGAAATGTCCTGATATTGCTGTAGTAATGTGTAATTTGAGACAGAGGAATGTTATTGTGTAATATACTTTGTGAATATTACGATCACAAAAGCTATATCACATACTTACTGCCCAAGATGTATAACTCTCATAAATAAGGGATGTCTTGAACATGTCCTTTTTAGTCATTTAAAATATAGATTACAGGAAGGAAGGAATTAAAGGAAAACAAAAATGTACCAGACAGAATGGAAAAAGTTGCAAACCTTTAGACATTATGCAAGTGAACATTTTTATACTTTAGTTATATTATGTGTATCTTCAATCCAGGCTCCCATGTATCCAACAATCCCAATTTAAACTTTGTTGTTTATATTCCCACGAGAGATCAGAGCCCACTCCACATATATGATGAGAAAGGTGAGTATTCTGAAGAGAGGAGCCTATGTTATTGATATGGGTTTTCAATCACACTCACATTAAACAGAACTTACTTTTTTGTTTAACATTATGCTGCTGTAAAAAATATTATTTCTTTTGAAGTCACATGATTTTTTAAAATCATTTCAGTTACCAAACGGTTTATTCTCCTGGAAATTGCAATACCATTCTCTCAGTTACCATTTTATACCATACCCTATACCACTGACAAAATTATGATCTATAAGCATGAGATGGGAACTGGTTAATTTCACCCAAGACTATTTATAGATCACACTATTCTTCATGGTTTGGACAGGGTATAGCTTGGTGATAAAAGGAAAACTGTTAAAGTAACAGGGATTTTATTGTAATGTAAAGGTCTAAAACACATTGTATGGCATTAACTGAGCTATATAATATACCTTCCCAGATTTTCCCACGGCAACCAACTCTTTTCTAAGCCCCAGATGGGGAGGGGTATTGCTTCACAATATGCCCTCTCCCCAGGAGAACACAACATTACCAGCACAGGTTCAAGTGGACATGAAAGCCATGATGGAAGTGTTCCTGGCACAGTTGAAGATGCTGCTGGGGTTTCCTCAGGTTGGGCAGACATGATTTACAATATAGATATTCACGAGAGTCTTATTTCTATAGATTTGAAATGGAATCCAGCTTTTTTAAGTTGATATGAAACAAGTAGGTTTCAGCAGATTTTACGTTATTTCACTCACATTGAAAATAGCATTAGATGTTTCATATATGACCCTTAAATTTTCAACATTTAGCCAATGTCACATTAATTTAACTATCAACTTCTTACGAACACATTGACATGTTCTTGTGCCCTTTTTTTTTGCCAGGCTGCCTTCCCTCAAGCTGATGTAGCACTGCCAGACAACTCTGGAATTTTACTCTGGGTAAGCTTTGGAAGGATTTTTTTGTTTGTGAGTGCATGTTGCAATGCTAGGGGCTTTTGATGAATAGTTTTTGTATTTATTTTCATCTTAAACATTTGATAGTTTCCCTTTAAAAATGTTGGGTACCGACAATTTCAAGTCAGCTTTTCTTTGTGGACTTTTTACAGAGAAATGATGTATTTTGTTTCAAAGCAAGATACATACAATGAGATCACTCAAAAGTTTTTTTCAAACTTCATCCGACAGGAGCTAGATTATTGGCTGCGTTACAGAACACTAGAAAACATTGCCTCCTCAACAGCCACATTGAAGTCTTTGGCACAGTTGCTTGAACAAATAGGAAATATTGTCATTAATGATGACATTGGTAGAGAGGTGAGTTAGTTGTATAAATACCTAAAACAAAAATGTAAGTACACAGTGATATTACACAGTCAGTGAATTTTTATCACGCATACCATTGTACTGAGACTCTTACAAGGGTATCTCTCCATGCACTTTAAAATGCCTTACCTTGTTGTTGTTGTTGTTGTTATAATTATTATTATTATTATCAGTAGTAGTAGTAGTAGTATGTGTGAACATCATGTGGCATATTAAATTTGTATGAGTATATTTATATTTCCATCTGTAGGTGCAACATGCTGTAGAAGAAATTGATAAGTGTCACACTTTACTCAAACAGAATAAATTAAAGGAAGCTTTTTTATCATCAAAAGAGGCCATTGTAGCATCAGGTCAGTTGCATTGTATGTTTTGCATTTTTAATCTAAGTTTTCCTACCTTTTTGATACCATTTCTGATGATACTATTATGATATTATACTGAAAGCTATAATTTATTAACTAAGTCACTCCAAAATCTATTTTCTTTTTTTTTTATATAGAAAAAGCATTTTTTGACCCATCTCTTCTGGAGTTGTTGTATTTCCCAGAGGATCAAAAGTAAGTCACCATGTGTTTATGAAATATTTCTGATTTTTCTATACTCAGCCTTACTGAGCAGAAATTTGAGGGTAGGGGGAAAAGAGAAATTCACAAATTATTCTTCAATAAAGGTATTGGAAAAAATGTATATTTGGTTAATTTTGTCATATATGGTGGTAATGGAAATAAGAGATCTCTTTTTCAATAAAAAATTTATACGGATATCAGTCATACATAACTGGGGAATACTTATGATATGAATGGTGTTATGAATTAAGCAATGAGTAATACAAAGCAAATTTTTTCATAATTACAGGTTTGCCATCTACATTCCACTTTTTCTACCCATCAGTATACCAGTATTTATGTCAGTCATCCAAGCAATCAAATATTTTAGAGGAAAGGACAAGGAAAAGAAAGAGTAATGACAACAACTGTGTATATTTCCACTAATATGACAATTGGGGAGAAGAATGACGGGAAGACACTATATGTTTACCAGTTAATTCATAGTCACATGGAAAAAAGGGAAAAGTTGCCATCCATGCAGGGCCTATATAGTGACTTGGCTGGTTGTGAAAGAATCTGGAGAAAGAGACGAATCTGTGAGGTTTCTTCACTCAAATTGAATAGTGAAAAAAGATATGAAAAAAAACTTTTATGTCAATACAAACTACAGAGGGTTGATTTGTTTCATCTTAGAAAAGAAATATCTCATAAACATTAAAAACAGGCAAATGAACCATTAAAATTCTCATAGTTCAAAGGTAAAATTGCAGTTTCTACATAAGTTTAGAACAAGCCGACGGCTTACATTTACCTTTTTGTAGTATCCAGGCATAAAGATTTGAATGTTAGTGTTTTAATTCAGTGCAATAAAACTAATTATTTCGTAAGTTAAGCCTTTTCTTTGCTCCCCCCCCCCCTTTTACTTATAAATGGATCAACAAGTATTTAGCAGGGATGAGATTGGGCAATGGGACAACGAAATTCAACTTGGTGCTACACTATTAGTGGGGGTGTGAATTTCATAATTTCTCTTTGAAGAGAAATAATTGCATGTAGTATTTTGCATGTTAGAACACAGGCGTGTTGGTTTCAGTCTTGGGTCCAGCCCAAGTTACATCCTAACTTCAGTACGTGGCCTTTTTTTCGAACCCATAAACACGCTACTCAGTCTCTCCCTTTTTTGTTTTTTGTTTTTTTTTTTTTTTTGTAAGAGCCGTTCGAGTAAACAAATACCAATGAAAAGTTGTCGAAATATTTGATTGTTGCATTGGTTAACACATGAACTCCCTTGATCTGTTAGAAATGTTATGTACACGTATATGCCCCTACCTAGCAGTGTTGTTGTTTAGAGAAAAACACTCGGACAAAAACATTAGCTCCCCTAAGAAAGCGTTCAGACGGTACAATTCTTGCGCTTGATACAATTGTTCAACGTATTTTATTAGTACTGAAAGAGCACTTTCTACAGGGGCCACAGTTTAATTTCTCAAAAAATATTCATAGATATGTCTCTGGATGGCACTATTAATGTTTCTTTACTGCGAAAATTTGCATGTATCTATGGAAAAGACTTTATTTTTCAGCTGGCCTCTATAATATTAATAGCCTAATGTTAGTACATATTTGTAGCGTGTGTGTATTCACGAAATAAAGTTTATTCGAATCAGTTAACTAGGTTGCTTTTCTTTTTACAAGTAGGCGAAATCTGGATATATTTAAACTTTTCAGAGAGCAAGTGATAGATCACAGTATGACATACAATTACGAACGATTTTTAGAGATGTTTCTCGCTACTACATGTACACTGGAGTGCTATACACTCAGCGTGGGTTTGTTGGGTCCTATACTCAACGCAACGAGCTACTGTAGGTCGAAAAAGTAAAATATAAAATGTTTATTCGTCTTAGTGCGTGCCAGTGGCACTGGGAAATTCTTACTTATAATTATACGAATTTTCCTTAGCTTTAACATGGCGTTCTTTTATTTTTCATTTTAGAAATTAAAATATTAAGTGTAGAAATCTTTGCTACTCATATTACCATCTGAAATAAACTTACAAGTTATAGTACAATGCTGTTCCACGAAAGTGAACAATGGCAATGAGCGCATGTGGGCTCAAAATCGATCAGGTAAACAAATCTCTTCACTTCCTTGTCGCCCACTATTGGGCAACTTGCTCTCTTCATGATTTTATTTACCTTTCATTCTTTTCAAAATGTGTTATTTTATACTTTATAATAAAGGAAGTACTGCTGCATTTTCTTGGTTCACTAGCTGAGCTAATGTAGCCAGGGAAAACTTCCATTCTGAGTACAATTTGATCTAGGTATGCAAAGGTTTCATTGTAAAAGAACTCCCCTTTTGAATTTGCTGGCCAGTGCTCCAAGCTTTTCGGAAAAATACCAAAGTATTTTAGGGTACGTTTAAATGTATATTTTTGGTACTCTCACTTCCTTTTTCCAAATTCATGTGTCAAGTTTTACTTGGCATTGCCTTCTTCTGACAAAAATTATGAGGAACCTCTACTGAACAATTTGGCCAACTTTCTGCCTTTTAGCATTGCTTATATGTAGCTGAAACTGTAGTCATGAATAAAATAGATAAAAGGACGTTTCTGGTCTACCTTTCCCTCCTTTTGTAAATATTACATATGAAATGTTCTAAAGTAGTATTTGTTTGTTTTCTTTGTTTTAATACTGCAATCACTTTAGTCAAAGAACAGAATGATAAAAAAAGAAACAAAAAGAAATGGCAGGGTGGTTATGTTATATTTGGTTATTTAATTCACCGTTGTTACAGACAATACCTTATTGTTCGACAGCCATTGATAGAGTACAGTAAGAAAGTACAACTACGAAAGTTTTATAGAGGTGTTTTGAGTTACTACTTGTATTACACTGTAGTTCTCTGCGCTCAACCTAAGTGCTATTCTAGGACAAAAAAGTTAAATACAAAATGTTATCTTAATTCCTATTTGATCATTCATTATAATCATTATGATAGAAAATCTGTATTAATAGAAATTGTGATCCTAGGTCAATTATCACACCATTATGTAATTAGGCAATTAACATAAATTGATTGACACATAAGAACGGAGAATAATGGGAAGATTTTAAATAATAGATATCATGTGAGAGCGCAAGGCATCACCAAATAAGGAAATGTTAATAGATTGACGAATCACTTAGATTGGAATTAAAGTTGTGGAAAACCCTCCGTGCTATTAGAATGTGACATAATTAAGGCATAAAGTAGAGTTTAATGATCGTAAGATTAAGAATATACGTCTAAACCTTTGGTACACCAAAAGAGTACATGTTCTTCTTGCCTATTGCTGCGTGACTTTACCATAACTCTCTAGTAAATCGCTTATTTGTTGCAAAAACTAATTTTTAACTTTGCGTTCGACAGTTTAACACACTTGGATGTGGTGATTGCAGTCTGTATAATAACACATCGTGCCTCTGTGTTGGTCTATATTATTTTGGTGTCTATCTTTAAATTAAAATGCTAATTAAAATGCCTAAGTATCAAAATTAATAGTTAACAAACTTTTTCACTGGAAATTCCAAAAGCAAAAAAAAATTTTTGACGTCATTTTAGACTTAAACTTCATTTGAACTGTTTTTAGCAGTTAACTTCCTATTTTTGTTTGTTGGAAAACCCAAGCGTCATTCACCGTCGCATTGAACACGCCCTATAAGCGAGGCCGCCAGGTAGATTGGGCCAAATACGCTTTAACAATGGAGCCGAAGTGGTATATGCTTTTCTGCCTTCTCGTGATATGCGGTGGATTGCCAGTTATAGCTAGTAAGTAGCATATCTTTAATTAATATTTTTATACATTCAATACTTTGAGTTATTTTGTAAAATGTTCGAAGAGGCAGATTTTTTAAAAGCCGTAATGGATAAAAATCGATGAATCGCATTTTATGGAAAGTAACTGCAACAACTTAGTGCTGGCATAAAAAAATCGAACCACCTCAAATTAGCAATTTCTCGAGTTTTTTAAACTAAAAAAGTATTTAGACTTTGTTCCTTTTATGTCTTTGACATGATTTATATAGTGATAGTCACTTGCATGAATTTAGCGACCTTATTTTAATAGCATTATTATTATCACATTGCTCAACTTAAAGCGTCGATGTTAGACAAATAAATAGTTAAAGGGATAATAACTCTTCGTTTTGGCCAAAAAATGAATTTTTCTGTAGTAAACAACAGTTTTCCCATACTTACCAATGGTTAATGAATCCATTTTTACATTCAAAGTTAGTCCCTGGTTTTTTTCTAAAAAGTTTGTTTTTTTGTTAAAACCTCTTAAGAGATTATGTATGAGATAATACACTGTCACCCGAGCGATATGTGTGAGATGATACACTGTCACCCGAGCAATATATGCCATAACACCTCGAGCGTCAGCGAGAGGTGTTCATGGCATATATCGCGAGAGGGTGACAGTGTATTATCTGACATACATACCGAGAAAAAATACAGTCATTTCATCCTAAAACACCCCTAAAACCGAATAAAGTGACCCTATATCACGCTCTAGAGATGTTATATGAAATAAACTCGTCCACGTGCGCTGGTCACCTCCCACCAAATTCTTACGTAATGTCTGACCAATTTGGTCAATTTTTGCTAAATACTTGTCATGGACGTTCAACTGGCGTGAAAAGTATTAAATCAATCGTCGACACTGACCGTGCGCTTCTCAGCTGAGCCACACCTAGCTGGGCCTGCTGCAGAAGGCAAAACCTCTACTTTTAAGTGACATTTCTGATAAACAAGGAGTGTCGGACCGGAATATAGTCAAACTAATTTTTCACAAATACAAAGGAGAAAGAAATTTACTTTTTGGTGATATTTCTGACAACGAGGCAGTTTCGGAATATAGTCAAAATCAGACGGATATTTATTACAAGTTCACGGGAGTAATAATTCTAGTTTTTATTGTTATTTCTGACGACGTGGCGGTTACGGAATATAGTCAAAAACAAACGGATGTTTATTTCAAGTCCACAGGAGTAATAATTCTATGTTTTGGTGACATTTTTTACTACGAGGCGGTTTCGGAATATACATGTGCTGGTTTTCAGAGCATGGAGCATGCTACATGTAATTACAAGTTCAAAGGGGGAAATATTTGATTTTTACCGATATATCTTATAAAGAGGAAGAATAAACAGCTTAAAAACAAAAGGTAAATAACACAACCCTCGTTAAAAAGTTATAGATTTACAAATAATTTGTATGCACGTGTGGCTTAAATGTAAACTAATTCCCGTTTTCAAACCATAGGCCTACCCATATGATAAGACTTAGTGTAATAAAGTTATAAATGAATGTTAAACGTGAAATGTTTATGCTAATTTTTTAAGAGTGTGAGAGATTTTAAATTTGTCTCCTGGTCGCAAGCAACGTCACAATTCTCTTGATGCCAAATAATAATTGTTAAACGTGAAAGGTTTATGCAAATTTTATAAGAGTGTGAGAGATTTTAAATTTGTCTACTGGTAGATATATGACGCAAGCAACGTCACTATTCTCTTGATGCCGAGAAGGTCACATGATCGATCTGTCTTTGACTTCCAGCATTTAAGAGACCTCGACTGATTTAACCAAGATGTAGTCGTGAAATTCTAGACTACATCGAGGTTAAATCCGAGTTTTCCGAGAGGCGCTACGCAGAAATGTCGAGTGAAGCAAGATATTTTTGGGTAGCGGCTCGAGGTTGCACTGGATCTTCACTGAAGCTTGTCTAAATGGACAGGCTTCAGTGATCATCATATCGCCACGGTCATATAACATCCCTAGGTATGTATAACAGAGTATAGCCATCAATGGTGGTCACGTGATCTGAATACAAGCTCAGATATCAGAATAATAGCTATAACTGCCGTTTTTGTCGTAAAACAGAATATATTATATTACTATGAGTTATTCACAATGTTTTTATTGTGAAATATAGATCTCATACGAAGAGTTATTATCCCTTTAAGATAATCATATTTAAATTCTACATAAAATAAAATATTTTAAGCACATGTTTCTAAAAACTTGTTAGAGAACTTAATAGAGGTGAAATTGGAACCTTTAATTATGTGGCTTCATGTAGAAAACAATACGCCTGTGGAGACAAAATAGTATACTCCTACCCTCTACCATGGCCACAGATTGATTTTCACTCGATATTCACAGATATTTTTCTGGTTAAATTCACGGTTATTTTCGGTACTGCCTCATCCAAAAATATCCACGTAATAACAACTGCGGCCCTGGTAGAGGGTAATATACTCCTTGGCTTCACCTATAGATAGGTGGAGGTCAGATCTCATCTACCCCAACAATCCACTTCATCTCAAGGCAAAAACATCACTTTTATAGCAGATAGTAGATGAGCAGAATGGTTTTCGCAGGGATAGGTCTTGTCAAGATCATATAGCCAAGCTACTCGTAGCATCATCTATTCGCATACCCCTAACACTTAACTTTACTTTGGAGCTGCAATCCGTTTACATGTGCTCATATTTGACCTAGGTAGGCCTAATGTCAAATAATTATTGATTACCGTGGGGAAGAAAGTAGCCAAAATAACAACTCACGAAGAGCTTAAAAGCCTGTAAGATTGTTTAAAACCCAGGATTTTGAGGGCAGGACAACCATTTTGAACAAACCTGTATTACCCTCTCTTACATTGTGTGCACTAGAAGTTAGAGTACAATACATTTCCACGAAAGTGAACAATGGCAATGAGCGCATGTGGGCTCAAAACGATCAGGTAAACAAATCCCTGCACTTCCTTGTCGCCCACTATTGGATGGCTTGCTCACCTGTTTTTGGTGTATCTTTCACCCCTTCCAAAATGTGTTACCTTATATACCTTATTAACTGCGGAAGTACCGTTGCATTTTCTTGGTTCAGTTGCTCCGTGCTTTTTAACAAAACATTGATATTTTCTTCGTGTACTTTGAGCAATCTTTAAGCGTGAATATGTCTAAGAGTTTGGTACGCTAACTCCCTCCTATAAAAGTGTAATATGGATCGAGGTATGTTTAAAGACTGTAAAGAAATACCAATAAATACGACGTCCTGTCAAGCTTTACCTGATAAGTGCCTTCTTTTGAAAAAAAAGGAGGATCCTGTACTGAATAATCTGGCGAACATTTTGCCTTTTATCATTGCTTATCTTTAGCTGAAAACTGAATAAAGTAGATAGAATGACGTTTCTGGTCGACCTGCCCAGCCTCGATCTCTAATCTTTCTTTTGGAATATTGCCTACCTGTATTTTCCTGTATTGTGTACCTATATTTATTTGCCACATGACTTTTTTGTTCTTACATTCACCATATAGTCACAAACAAAGGGCATTCATAGTCAAACATGGATGTATTTGTGTTTATATCCGAGGTCCGAAACACCAGTAAACTCACCCCCCAACCCCCACGTTTTTGTTTGTTTGTTTGTTTCTGAACTCCCTAAGCCCTACTTGTAACTCAGCAAATAAAAAAAAACTATATAGTCGCTCTGCATGTTGTTGTGTCAACTCCACCTCCCCGACCAACTCACGGGATATACAATATACCTTAAAAACAGTATAATATATTCAATCATATTAATGATCAAAAAACTTAATCCCTATGACAAGATGCCCCGCCTTTAGTTCCTGAACACATATACCCTCCCCTCTACCAGGATGGCAGCTTGATTTTTCATTAGATATTCACAGATAGGTCACTAGTTAAATAATGGAACCTTTCTGCCCTTCGAGAGTCAACGAAAANCGGGAGTAATAATTCCAGTTTTTATTGTTATTTCTGACGACGTGGCGGTTACGGAATATAGTCAAAAACAAACGGATGTTTATTTCAAGTCCACAGGAGTAATAATTCTATGTTTTGGTGACATTTTTTTACTACGAGGCGGTTTCGGAATATGCATGTGCTGGTTTTCAGAGCATGGAGCATGCTACATGTAATTACAAGTTCAAAGGGGGAAATATTTGATTTTTACCGATATATCTTATAAAGAGGAAGAATAAACAGCTTAAAAACAAAAGGTAAATAACACAACCCTCGTTAAAAAGTTATAGATTTACAAATAATTTGTATGCTAATTCCCGTTTTCAAACCATAGGCCTACCCATATGATAAGACTTAGTGTAATAAAGTTATAAATGAATGTTAAACGTGAAATGTTTATGCTAATTTTTTAAGAGTGTGAGAGATTTTAAATTTGTCTACTGGTAGATATATGACGCAAGCAACGTCACTATTCTCTTGATGCCGAGAAGGTCACATGATCAATCTGTCTTTGACTTCCAGCATTTAAGAGACCTCGACTGATTTAACCAAGATGTTGTCGTGAAATTCTAAATCCGAGTTTTCCGAGAGGCGCTACGCAGAAATGTCGAGTGAAGCGAGATATTTTTGGGTAGCGGCTCGAGGTTGCACTGGATCTTCACTGAAGCTTGTCTAAATGGACAGGCTTCAGTGATCATCATATCGCCACGGTCATATGACATCCCTAGGTATGTATAACAGAGTATAGCCATCAATGGAGGTCACGTGATCTGAATACGAGCTCAGATATCAGAATAATAGCTATAACTGCCGTAATATTATATTACTATGAGTTATTCACAATGTTTTTATTGTGAAATATAGATCTCATACGAAGAGTTATTATCCCTTTAAGATAATCATATTTAAATTCTACATAAAATAAAATATTTTAATGAGAGAACAGTTTCATTAGCTCTGTATGTATAAATTCAAATTACTGTTTTTCTTTTTATCAAGATATTGGAGGTAATACCCACATATTTTACAAGCTCTTGATAAAAAGAAAAACAGTAATTTGAAAATATTTTAAGCACATGTTTCTAAAAACTTGTTAGAGAACTTAATAGAGGTGAAATTGGAACCTTTAATTATGTGGCTTCATGTAGAAAACAGTACGCCTGTGGAGACAAAATAGTATACTCCTACCCTCTACCATGGCCACAGATTGATTTTCACTCGATATTCACAGATATTTCTCTGGTTAAATTCACGGTTATTTTCGGTACTGCCTCATCCAAAAATATCCACGTAATAACAACTGCGGCCCTGGTAGAGGGTAATATACTCCTTGGCTTCACCTATAGATAGGTGGAGGTCAGATCTCATCTACCCCAACAATCCACTTCATCTCTAGGCAAAAACATCACTTTTATAGCAGATAGTAGATGAGCAGAATGTTTTTCGCAGGGATAGGTCTTGTCAAGATCATATAGCCAAGCTACTCGTAGCATCATCTATTCGCATACCCCTAACACTTTACTTTACTTTGGAGCTGCAATCCGTTTACATGTGCTCATATTTGACCTAGGTAGGCCTAATGTCAAATAATTATTGATTACCGTGGGGAAGAAAGTAGCCAAAATAACAATTTACGAAGAGCTTAAAAGCCTGTAAGATTGTTTAAAACCCAGGATTTTGAGGGCAGGACAACCATTTTGAACAACCCTGTATAACCATCTCTTACATTGTGTGCACTAGAAGTTAGAGTACAATACATTTCCACGAAAGTGAACAATGGCAATGAGCGCATGTGGGCTCAAAACGATCAGGTAAACAAATCCCTGCACTTCCTTGTCGCCCACTATTGGATGGCTTGCTCTCCTGATTTTTGTGTATCTTTCACCCCTTCCACAATGTGTTACCTTATATACCTTATTAACTGCGGAAGTACCGTTGCATTTTCTTGGTTCAGTTGCTCCGTGCTTTTTAACAAAACATTGATATTTTCTTCGTGTAGTTTGACCAATCTTTAAGCGTGAATATGTCTAAGAGTTTGGTACCCTAACTCCCTCCTATAAAAGTGTAATATGGATCGAGGTATGTTTAAAGACTGTAAAGAAATACCAATAAATACGACGTCCTGTCAAGCTTTACCTGATAAGTGCCTTCTTTTGAAAAAAAAGGAGGACACTGTACTGAATAATCTGGCGAACTTTTTGCCTTTTGTCATTGCTTATCTTTAGCTGAAAGCTGAATAAAGTAGATAGAATGACGTTTCTGGTCGACCTGCCCAGCCTCGATCTCTAATCTTTCTTTTGGAATATTGCCTACCTGTATTTACCTGTATTGTGTACCTATAATTATTTGCCACATGACTTTTTTGTTCTTACATTCACCATATAGTCACAAACAAAGGGCATTCATAGTCAAACATGAATGCATTTGTGTTTATATCCGAGGTCCGAAACACCAGTAAACTCACCCCCCCCCCAACCCCCACGTTTTTGTTTGTTTGTTTGTTTCTGAACTCCCTAAGCCCTACTTGTAACTCAGCAAATAAAAAAAAACTATATAGTCGCTCTGCATGTTGTTGTGTCAACTCCACCTCCCCTACCAACTCACGGGATATACAATATACCTTAAAAACAGTAGAATATATTCAATCATATTAATGATCAAAATACTTAATCCCTATGACAAGATGCCCCGCCTTTAGTTCCTGAACACATATACCCTCCCCTCTACCAGGATGGCAGCTTGATTTTTCATTAGATATTCACAGATAGGTCACTAGTTAAATAATGGAACCTTTCTGCCCTTTGAGAGTCAACAAAAAGTGCACATAATAAAATTGGGGCCCTGGTAGAGGGTACGTAAACCCCTTTGGTAGAATTCTAGGCCCGCCTTTGAAAAGTGCACAGAGATTAGAATCTCATTAGAAACTCATACTGTATTATCTGAACTTAAATGATTAAGGCTGCACAAAATGTAACGGTTTTCAGTAAAAGTGGCCATTTATTTTGGTTGTAGGAGTAAAATCATGAATCGATTGTCTTTTTTTTTTCCAGCTGACCCATGCGAAGCTGGGAATCATGTTGTTCGTCGGGACGAGTGGCAGAGAAGTGTCGGTCACGTCAAGCAGAGTGGTGATATAGCGATCTGTGACCGCTATATAGATGAAGGATGGTACAGATTTATAAGTCCTGCTGGCAACGATATGCCTACCACGTGCCCCAACTTTCCAAATCGCTGTGGGACAACATGGCCTATTTGGCTTGATGGTAAGAACTTTTGTGTCACATGTATTGCGTGGATGAAAATGTCCCAAAATTAATGTTAAACATGTTATGTGTTTTTAGTAAACAACTAAAGGTGGCAAGGTGGCTACGTGATTTTTTTCTGACTATACATTTTAATCCTTTATTTTTTATGTTCATCGTTATTTTCCAAATCTTGTGACAATGTACATGTATATGTAATACAACAAGAAGTACAATCGCTAAGTTTACTTAATTTATACTAGTCTGCCGCCATATCGGGACAATTCTCTATACAAAGATGGATTAGGCAAAGACCACACTTGATAGCATCTTAAAGATGATCAGTTGCAACAATATAACATTATTTGTGACACAAACCACAAATAGAGATTACAATTTCAAATTATTTTGCATGGAGCTTAGAATAAAGGGATTTAGTTTAATTTAATCGAGGGAGTTTGGAGAGGAGCCAGGACTTCGATATGAATGAAGAAGTTTAAAATGATTAGTTCTTTCACGTTTGTTTGCACAGTGAAGAAAAGGCTCGTCTATTTATCTGACAGGAATGTAATGACAGGAATGGACAGGTGATCAGTGTTTTGACGTCAGTCAGAGGTGGATCCAAGGGGGGACACAGAAAGTCTTGTGCTCTCTTATATTCAGAATTGACGTACCCCCTTTTGCCTCACCACCATTCCCAAAACAGTATAAAAAGGAAAGAGACAAACCAAAGCAATGTTTCCATCCCTTTGCCTTACATACCGTTATTACAGCCAAATTGCTGGATCTGTCTGTCAAGCGAAGCAAGGCAAAAGCCCTCTCCCTTCCCGTATGCCCCCTTCCTCCCAGCAAAACCCTGCATCCACCAGTGTAAGTACGTATGGCATACACCCTGGGTGCTTCTTTATTTTTATAACTGATGAATTTGATTATATAATACCACTTTAGATAATGACAAAATCATATTTCATTTTAGGCAACCTCCCGGCTACGAACACAGAGATTCAGGCCACAGCCTGTCTTTACAGCATCTTTGACTGTTGTGAAAAGAGTTACGATATCAAAGTGAAGAACTGTAATGATGAATTTAATGTGTATTACCTAGTTAAGACTACTGGTTGTTCGGAGGCCTATTGTGTTGGTGAGTCCTGAACTTAACCTATAACTGAATGAATAATATTGATAATAAGTTGCTTCTCTCTCACACACACACACACACACACACACACACACACACACACATAAATGCAGCATCAACTTTTATAAACGACTGGGAGGAAGCTTTACAAGTTTATCTTATAATGATGTCGATTAGACAAATGAAACATTCTTGAAGTCACGCAAGACTGTGCTCTTTCTGAAAACGATGCGAAATTATTTCCTTCTTTGTGCTTTTTTAGGCACAGAGACTCCATGTCCTGACGACCAATCTTCACCTACTGGATTTACACCTGGCTGTACTGGTAAATAAAAACAATTTTAACTGGTCTGGTACACACGCACGCACACACACACACACACACACACACACACACATTGTCGGTTCATCATATTCCTGTTGATTTTGATCAGTTCGAATTTTTTACAATAATGACCTGGTATTACCTTATAAAAATCGTTTAAAAATGCACAGGTACAATGAACATACTGGGTTTTATTTCAAGGACCACATGTTTCAAAACCTGTGTAACTTTATTCATTCTTTTTAATTGGATTTGTAGGCGACTTTCCAAGAATTACTATTGTGCCGACGCTTGACTGGACTATTGGCACAAGGACTCGGAATGGCCTGCAATTCAATGAGATTCAATTCCGTTGTCACCCCGATTTCTCCGAGATTGCTGCTGACAAACAGGCGGATTTGGTTTTTGACGTGAATTGGTATATGGACGAAGACCTCGTCCACACCCACCAAGTTCCTCTTGCAGATTTACCTGCCATTTTACAAGAAAGTGACTGGGAGGATGAGAAGAGACTTAATGTAAAAGTAGGTTGCGATGCTAACATGATACGTTTGTTAACAGCTGCAAGTCCACTCTCCTGGTATGATTTATTTTTTCATATATTTTAAATGTGCCTAATCGCACTAATTGAGGGGCCTATCTTTTTCTAGCGAGCGATGGGGCGATGTGATCGATTTGCCAGTAATACGTGTATATTCGTTCTGTTTCAAAGCATCCTACATGCACCTGTATTTAGGCAAGGGTTAACACTGACTATTTTCTATAACTTGATGTTTTAGGTTTCATGTGAGGTGCGCGCTAGGTTTGGTCAAAATGGGGCGGTTGGTACCAAATTGAGGAGTCAGACATTTTACGCTGGCATAGAGGTGAGATGAATAACCAGCATGTAATATTGCAGTTGAAATGACTGTGTAAGAATAAATATAAATAACATACCTGTAGGACACTGTACTGTTTTCACAGTCATTTTGTTTAAGGGTAAGTGTCATCTTTTGTGTCGTCAGTCTAAGAGGATGGTCTATATGCGTCACCTTTTTTTTCTAAAATTGTGATATAACATGTAAGATAGGCATATAAACTCCTACTTGTATATTATATGTACATGTTTAATTAGGATATAATATCAGACTAGTGCTTGATAAGTTTAGTATTAATATTATTATTTGATTTGTCTGCCTGTCTGTTTTTTAGCAACATTAAGCAAAAAGAGGTCTGAGCTGTTTTGTCTGTATTCCCTGAGTGCTTTTTTTGTTGGCTTATGAAAAGATGTGTGTGTTTTTAGGTAGTAACAGATACTCCACTCCACGTATCAGAAGGGGACCTAGACGCAACATTACTGGAAATCAGGCCCACGCTGCCAGTCCTGTGTACACCGTTTCCGGATTTTGACCTCAACTGCAATGAAAAATACTTGATAGTCGAAGTCAAGATCCCAAATGTGCCTGACAGGACGGGCCAATGCAAGGGCGTGCCAGTGAGTACTACCAGGGAGTTGGTAAAGGAACTCGAAGGAATGCCTTGTGGAGTCCAGATACCTGTTACAACAAGCATGGATGATTGGAACCAGGCGACAACCTATCCTTTACACGTAAAAGCCGTTCTCGACGGGAAATATGATGGGGATCACATTGCTGCCGTCAAGCTCGGAACAGCAAATGATTTTTTTTGGCACCCGATCTGGACAAATTACTTGCACCCCGATATTCTGGTAGGTATCTTTTTTGCTTTGAAAGCAAGAACTCTATTACAGTTTAGATACAAGTAAGTGTGATTTCCGGTAGCTCTTTGTCTTTGATGTCCAGCAATGGTATATTTCGGTTAAATGCAACCGGTGGAATAACATTTTCGTTCTTCCTTTTTTACAGCATCATCATTTGATGACAGCGTCATCAAAATAGTTTTGCTTTAAAATAGACGTATGATGTGACACGAACAATGTCGTTAGAGAGATAAATGTAAAATATGAAAGTCGGACGCACCTTGTTGGCTGCTGGTGTAACAACGGGAGTTTTTATGAAAAAAAGTCTAGTCCGTGCTCTTTTCCCTTAGGTACATGTCATAGATGAAGATGCCGAATTAGCAGGAGTTCACTGTTATTCTCACAACGATCCTCACATGCTGTCATTTTCTGGCATGTAAGTATAAGATAAACGGGTATTCTGTGACCACCCCTCCCCTTCTGGGGCCGCCATTGTAAGATGATTCAAATGAGGAAAGATGCCATTTATCTTACTGCAGACTCCGGAAAATATTTAAACATTGATCATCATTAGATTTTAAATGTCTTTAGATTGAAATCTATGTGCATAAGTAAAATCGTCCTTTTGGGGAAAATGAATTGTACAATGCATGATGTTCTCCTTTTTTGTTTTTTTTTATCCAGACATTATGAATGCCAACTGCCTGGAGAATTCATATTGTACAGACATAAAACCTTACCTATACAGGTAATAAAAACATATATATATATATGCCTATTGGTGATGTACAGATAAATGTACAAAGTATCAGAAATAGTAAACATGCATGTCTCTTGTCAATTAAAGGAAAAGGAAGAAAATTGAAATGCAATGTGTAACTTAACTTTTGCACTTAAACTATATTTAAACTTTTATTTATATTGACAGGTAAACACGTTCTTTACAAAATGTGGTGGAGCTACGTGTAACTGTGGAGTGGCGGTGAAATCTGGAGGGGACGTTTTCGTGGTAGATTCATGTGACCAGACAGGGAGAGATGTGTACTTCAAAGGCAATCATCGCTCTCGCCTGCGCATGGGTATGATTGGTTGTGATGAAGAAACAATGAGGGTTGAGAGATTAGTAGGGATTGGTTATAAGGTAAGGAGAGAGAGAGAGAGGGAGAGAAAGAGAGAGAGATACACAACGTGGACATTGATATTCCATCACAATAATCATATAATCATATAATTTTATGGTTTTAAATTCATTTACAGGTGTACTTGCCCACAGGAGGATACGTTCTTATTTCATTACATGACTACGGTGAAATATACCTTGCAAATGTAGATATATATGCTGGAACTCTGGACTATGCAAACACGGAAGGTCTGTGTGGGGACTTTACAGGGCCACGGCGTGGTAATCTTCGACGCAGGGATGGGGTGTTCCACAACTTGAACACCGAAAACCCCCCAAACACATTTTCTGAGTCTTGGAAGTACGTGAAATATTTCAATACATTAGAACATCTGTTTCAGTTATTTTGAACAAATTTTTGTTAGTTATACTGAAGTGTTATTGTGAAACTAAACTCAACCATTTGAAAGAATGTGTTCAGTTCATTGTCTCTGCCAACTAAACAACAATTGTGATGTTATTGGTGCCAGTTTTTCTGTTTGTTTGTGGACAAGTTCATCAAAACTTTGATGTTATTTTCAGGGTACTTAAGCACTTATTTAGTGGCAAAATTCATAAGTGCCGTATTTTAAAAGGATAATTTATTATCATTATTACTTTCATTTTTTCTTGGCGTAAGTCTATGTTTTCGGGGTGCTCTCTAGTCTTCAGTGTTGGACGGTGTTCCATAAGCTTACCAATTTTTGTTTTTTCCCTCAAAACAGAATTCCCATGGGAAGCAGTGAGAGTTTATACAACGGAGATGGAAGTACAAGATATGCCAGACATCCGTACTGTTCATGTGAAAACGAAGGAGATACGTTTGACCCAGAGTCCAGACTATCCTGTGGCTTTAACCAAAAGGTTTCAGATTGTATTGATTCTATAAAAGACATCACCCGGCAACAATATCAGAACTGCAGACGAAGACGGGATCTCTCTGGTACTGATAGAATAATGGAAACAAGAATATTTGTAGAAGATAGTCCACCAAACGAGGTAGGTGTTGTAGATCCCTATTTTCCGGAAAGTTATCATTTATCAATCTGAATATTAAGGCGTACGTGAATATTTAAAATGGCAAAGGATTCTTTTTGTATTAGCCTTGAATGTTAAAAATGATAATTTGCCATTATAATATTTTCTAAATCTATTCACCTGTTAACTGTTCCACAGGCATTAAATGCTTTACACTCAGAATGGCAAAACAAGCCTTTTTATGACAGTCACCTTATTTAAGACTGCTACATGGACAAATGGGTGGACAGAAGACGTGGCTCGTGCCTACTGCAGTGATGAAATCCTTGGTGGAGCTTTGGGTAACACTTCAGCAGCTCTTAGTAACTTAAAACCCGAGAATTATGTAGAAGAATGCGTTTTGGACATAAAAGTAAGACTATTTGTCCTGTCATCCGTAGTCATATCTTTTCATTCGGTTTTGTAGCTTTAAATGTTTTCTGTTTAATGTGGTGTTTCCTATGCCTTTATTATTCTGTTCGATCGGCATTGTCTGCATTTTGACTTTAAGTAAACCACTCATTGACCAGATGAACAATTTACGTTTAGAATGACAATATGTCATCGTACATTGTATTAGTGCTGCGCATAAATATACTAGCCCCTTGCTCAGTGAAAAGAATTTCAAGGAAAATGCTCAACCTTTTCAAAGTATGCGACTGGTCACATTCTCGTAGAAAGCTATTCATTTCCATATTAACACACGGGACGTGACAAGTTTCGATCTTTTACAGATAACAGGAGACACCCATTTTACAAAAGCGACAAAAGAAGCTTTCAGAATGTCCATGGAAGTCGAACTGGAAAAGAACAGTACATTGTGGATATTTGATAACGAAACCGGCAGGGCATTTCTACCAGAAAGTATAGCGGCCGGCTTATGTCCAAATCAGTGTTCGGGAAATGGAATATGCTCCAAGTCGAATGGTATTAAATAACTAGCCCTATTGCTAATCATATACGCATTTGATAAAATCTATCGTAGTTTCATCATAGAGTTCATTATATTGTCATGCAAGTAAAACACACGACAGTTGACATGTGCAGTGCAGCGGTTCAGGAACGAATGCATACATTTACCATTGTTTCAGGAACCTGCTCTTGCGAAGACGGATATTATGGTGCCGACTGTTCAATGGACAAAAATGTCCAGATCACGTGTTTTGAAATGCCTGACAACGGCCTTTGCGACGAAAGCTCCAGACCTTGTAGAGAGACACCAGTATACTGTTCAATGTTTATTCAAGACCTTCGTATAAAATGCATGTTTACTGTATATAAGGTATGAGCATTTTAATATAAATGATTATCGATTTTAATATAAATTCTGAATTACGTTGACATCTTCTTTGTAATTAAGATCTCGGCAATTAAGATTTTTTTTAAATTAAGAGACTATAAGAGACGTTGTAAACATTATTCAGAATTTATATTAAAATCGTAATGCACTACGTTACGTTTAAAATTGTTACGTTAAAGGGATAATAACTCTTCGTTTTAGCCAAAAAATTAATTTTCCTGGAGTAAACAACAATTTTTCCATACTTACCAATGGTTAATGAATCCATTTTTACATTCAAAGTTAGTCCCTGGTTATTTTCTAAAAATTGTGTTTTTTTGTTAAAATCTCTTAAGAGATTTTAACAGAGTATAGCCATCAATGGAGGTCATGTGGTCTAAAGACAAGTTCAGATATCAGAATAATACCTATAACTGCCGTTTTTGTGGTAAAACAGAATATATTATATTTTTATGAGTTATTCACAATGTTTTTATTGTGAAATATAGATCTCATACGAAGAGATTTAAGCATTTCCAGGTGTTAAGCTGAAATCGCATAATCTGGCTGAAATGTGCCAAACATATCTATACTAAGTAACATTATAGCCCGCTCTTTGTTAGCGCTGTATTGTCTTGAATATACGTAATTTGTTCTCCATAACAGTATACATGTAGCAAGTAAACTGTTCCAATGAATTCCCATTTGTCATTTCAGGTAACCTTCTCAGGCGTTACGACTACATCTTCACAAACTGAGTCGGACGCAGAGTTCGTCCATATCCAAGAAGTGATGTGCAGCCTACCCAATGCACATTCCAGGAAGAAAAGGACCATATCCCCTGGAAGCACGGAGGTCGTTCTGGCAGAAGGTTACAAAGTGAGCGTCAGTAACAACGGTCTGAACTACAGTGAACCCAGGTACATCCTGGTATACGATTCGAAGTGTGTGGACTGCAATTCAACAACTAATTGCACTCTCAAGGTAATTATTTTAATTTGCGGGAATCATTTTGGCTGTACGCTAAATTGTTCAATTTTCATGAATCATTTTGGCTAGCTACTTACTGCTTGGTTACTTAACTATGCATAATCAATCACAAAATTCATTTATTTACGTTTGTACTTACTTATCTCCAGCCTTATTCCATTCCAGAATGGAACCTGCATTATAGACGGTGTATGTTATTCGTCTGGTGAGGTCAACCCTAGCAACGCGTGTCAGACTTGTGACCCCACCCACAACGTGTCAGGGTGGCTGACACAGGTAATAAGTCATTTATTTTATTAGATATATTAGATATTCACGAAACACTAAGAACACGCCTCTCTGTACCATGGTCTGCGGGATTTTTAAGAAGTCTGTCGTTTTTTTTCATATTTACAGTTAATATTTCTGAAACTTGAAAATTGTTTTTATTAGCGTTGCTTCTCTGTCGTTGTTGTGCAAAGAATTTTTTTCTAAAACCACTTATTTACTCGTTGGTTTCCGTCCACCTATCAGGGCAGTAGCTGTGTCATTGACGGAGAATGCTACACAAATGGTGCTCAAAGGGCGGGAGCTGCTTGTGAAGTGTGCGATGTGAACACCAATAGTTATCAGTGGACATTGCAGGTATTGGTGAACGCATTAACTTGCAAACATTATTTGACACGTTGCATTTTTACTTATTAGCGTAGTTCGTTGATATGAATGTTTGAGTATATGCATGTACATACTGCCAGACACAACTGTGTTATTGTATTATTTTGTCCTTTTCCAAAAGCACATCTTTTCACATAAATAATATTTGTAACCATTGGTTTTAACTGTGTTCATTCAGAGCGACAAATGCAAAGTAAATGGGACGTGCTATGAGACGTGCGAACGGGATTCAGAAAATTCTTCCTTGATTTGTCACCCTGATACCAACTCTTTGGCCTGGACCAGTGTAGAAGACGGTATGACTCAGTATAATTCAGTATTGTTATATTTCTACTACTTCTTTGGCACTTATTTTCACGCAAACAATACCACATACATATTTCTATATCAAACTTAGTTCGGTAAATTGCCAAACATTTTGACCATCTGAAGCATTTCAATAAAGTAATAAAAATTGACAACCGAATAGGTTACTTACGATAAACTACCATTGTTTTGATTGCACGGATAGAAGGGTAGATTATTTTTTCTCAATTTTCTTTTGAGCAAGAGAGAAAACAAAGACAATCTTTAAAAAATATTTTCAAACAGCTACTTAAATTCCATCGAATATTAAAATACACATACCACGAAGGGGTCAAATGTGAAAATATATACCTACATGAACTACTTTTTTCAGCTGGAAGCTGCGCTTTATTTGAAAGTAAATCCACAGGAGACCTGTCCAGTTCCTCCACACACGCTTACGGTTCCTCCACAGTGCAAGATCGAGGAACATCAACAACATCAACATCTATTATCTTCCTATCAACCCAACCGTCTTCCCTGACAACAGCCTCAGAGGCGAATTCACAGCTTTTTTCCACGCGTTATACACCAGGGGAAGCTTCATCGACGAACTCACCGGAGGATTATTCTTCAACAGTTTTGACCTCGTCCGAGTGGTCTTCAACTATGTCTTTTGATTCTACATCGATCACCATTGCGGCACAGTTTTCGAGCAACGCTCCCGTGGCATATGCTTCCATATCCACTGTATCTTCGGTATTATCTTCGACTAATGAGCCAGAAACGCATTCTTACAAGTCAACTACATCTGTTACAGCATCTTCACTTATTGTTCAGGTGGCAAGTGTGGGCACATCGGCGGCATCTGCTGGCTCGTCCTCTACCAGCTTACCCGTGACACACGCTTCGACAGCGACGACAGTTCAAGAAGTATCTTCAACAATACCATTACCTGAGGCACATTCCTCGAACCCAGTTGGCTCTGTGCTACCAGAAAAATCTACACATTTGCCGATGACACATGGATCTGTTTCGACGTCCATTTTTGCAGAAACTTCGAGGAATTTGCCTGTAACACGCGTTTCTGCAACTGAGACAGCAATATCGCCATCATCCTCACTTAGCTTATTAGATGCACATGAATCTACTGCTACCATTGAACTGTCATCAAATCGAATGCATATGGGTCCTGGATCATCAGTGACCTCGTTTACATCAACAGAAACTGTTACGCCCAGTAGTGTGCCCGTCAGCTATACACCCCCAGTGACAGCCCCAACATCTTCTCCAACAGGAACCACAAAAGGTTTAAGGCCTCCGACCAATGCAGGGCAGTTAAGCTCTTCGACGTTAGTTGTAATTGGCGTCATGGTTGCATTGAGTGTTGTCTGCGTGTGTGTCATCATTGGGGCTTACATATACATTGTCAAAATTAAAAGGTAAGCTAATAATAATAATAGTAATAATTATAATAGTAGTAGTAGTAGTAGTAGTAGTAGTAGCAGCAGCGGTAGTAATTCTGCCTTAGAGACAACCAAAGTCAATATACTCCAAAGCACTGCGTTATGTGGAGGAGCACAAATAAAGAAAAGAATACATCTGATAGGCCAATACACCAACCATCAACCTTCTGGATAAACATTTTAGTAACTACTGTGAATTTCACTGTAGAAATGAACCAAAATATACAATGCTTTTATTTCTGACTTATGTATTATTACCATTTTCATTTAAACTTACCCGCTTTTCGAATTTTCTTTCCAGAGGTAAATCAGCTAGGTATTATGCGCCCAGTAGCAGTGTTGGTGGTAAAGGAGAAATGGGGGAAAACCGACCAGTGTCTGTCAATTCAAACACATTAAACGTGCATGTTGGGGACTCCTTGGCTGATATGAAGCCTCTCCATTACAGCCAAATCTTTGAGTCAAGGGAAATAACTGAAACATCGAATTCCGACTCTCGCCCAATGAGCGGTCGTAGTCATCACAGTGCGTGGGATGCACCACCCAATGAGGAAACTAGAAATAACGGATCACTTGCATATTCTATGGAACCGGTGACCGAGTTTCATGTCATTCCTGATCCTGTGACCACGGCACTGCCACCATTGTCATTCCGTCCAAAATTCCCTACGTCTGGTCCTGGTCGTAACCAATTTCCGAATTATTAAATATAGATAGTCCAGGTTTCTTCTTAACATTTTGTTTGTACAGGTTTCTTCTTAGTATTTTGTTTAACACAGTGACAAGTTTTTTTTTTGTATCATACTCGTGTGTAATCTAAAACTTTACAGTGTTTTATATTTTTGTATTTGTGCCTAACTGATAAAAAATTTAATGCTTGTTAAAATTGCAGCCACGTTTTTTTTTATTGTAGGCCTATTTCCTAATTTGGACCTTGAAGTCATTTAAGTTGGGTAGCTGGCTGGGGTTGTCTTTTTTTTTGTCAGAATACAATGCATGAGCACATTTTTACTTACAATAGTGTCGGTACTTTACGTTATAAAGGCCTAAGTGCATGTATAAAGCTTTCCCCCGTTTCCGTTGCCATTCCATAGAGGTGAAAAATAAAGTTTTTTTACATACGCAAGTAAAATATTGTATATGCATATACAAATACGCACAGAGAACTCTGTTATGGGTTTATTTATACAGAAATAAAATGACATTCATTGATTAAAATACATTAAGTAAAAGGCACACACGACTCTGAAGAGCATACTAAGTTAACTTTGCAACACTGTCTGTAATGTTGTAGTTTGGTAATTGGAAGCAAAGATAGTCGCGGAACGGTGATTTTTTATTGACAGTCCTACTGCACAATGACTCCGTTCCATTACATTTAGGGACTTGTAAAAACTAAAAAATGCAGCACTTCGGGTTAAAAAAGTGCAGCATTTTGGGTTCCGTGGCTAAGGCCTACCCTCTACCAGGGTGGCAGATATTATAGGCACATTTTCACATTTATAAGATTGACCATATTTAGCCAGAGACGTTGTCTGTGAATATCTAGTAAAAATCAATCTGTGGCCCTGGCAGAGGGAAGCTAAGGCACATGAATCTCGTGACCTGACGGTGTTGGAGTTATTCTCGTTCAAAATAGACTATAATATTTGTAACGTGGAGAGACCATTATTCTCCATGTGAAATACTTATCCTTATGTTATTGAAATGAAAATAAATTCTTTTGAAGGACAAACTCTCATTTTGTTGGCATTTTTTGCTTTTCACCCAATCTTTTCACCAAATCTCAAGGGGCTTTGCGTCATGGATAGTACTAGGTAACGTATATTCCCCAGAAAAATTGTCAAAAAATTTCATTTTTGTTCAAGTATTTGGTGCAATAGAAAAGCGTTTTCTGTTGCTGACCGAAAAATATATTGTGATTCCATGATACTTTGACATTTCTGATGTAGTATTTGGATCATGAGGGAAAAATAATTAATTGAATGCTTATTTTACTGTCGGTAGGGTGTGTTTTCCCCGTTTTTTTTAATATTTAGTGACAAGCAAACAAGTCGCTCAAAAACAATTAACTGCTCTATACAGAAGATTGTTATAATTTTTTACTTATACTTGTAGGAGATAAATCAAGGAACAAAACCAATAATGATTGAACTTTCAAAGTGAGTAAAACGTTTCACAGCTGTACGTTTTGCATTTGTGACAGTAATGTATGTTCCTTTTTGGGGATAATAGATTAATTATTTTTTATTATTCATGGTTCCAGGAGAGTGAAACTTTGATAGAAACTTCTCCACGTGGGACCCTAAAATGATCAAACATAGTTTGTAATCGGTGCACTAAGTTTTTAAGAGCATGCCTGTGGCATCAACTGCACCTCTATATTGGGTTTGGGTGTTTTATACGCATAGGGTTAATCGCCCATTTCGCTGCATTGTAAACTGGTACTAAATAGTGATAGGTTTCCGACGTTAGTAGGATATTATCATGAAGTTCAGCACGGCTGACGAGTAGGATATTAACCACAATCTGCCTCTCCCCTTTTTACTGCATAAAACCCTTGTGGATCAACAAGCAATTAGACAATATTTGTAATATTTTGGACACTAATAACACTATACTTAAAAGATACCACTGAGGTGGACATCGGTACAACTTGCGTGGGTGAACTCCAAGGGAGTCAAGGGTCAATGGGGAAAAAGTTCAACATAGTAATAAGTGGGATTGATAAATTAATTTAAATTGATTTGCATTTAAGAACTCAAGCGTGTTAGTATCAGTTTGGGGTCCAGCGTTAGTTGCTAAAACTCATAAACCGGCTAAATACAATGCACACTCTTTGTAAGAACCGTTCGAGTTACCAAATAGGCTACTACCAATTATAGACTTTTGTGTAAAATATCTGTTCGTAACACCAATTGAAATATTCCCTCCTTTGATCTTTAAGAATGTAATATACACGTGTATCCCCCACTCCCTTACAATATTGTTATTTAGAGATAAACAATAACGGCAAAAACGTTAGCTTTGGAAGGAAGCACCCGTAGACAAACAGTACAATTTGTGATCATGCCGAAAGGTTAAAAATATTAAGAAAGTACAATAGTGATGCTTTTTGTCACCACCTTTAGTTTAAGTGTTATTCTTAATTTTGATTGACTTCTTAGGGGTATGTAAAAATCTGTATACAATTTCGTTTAGTTGCCATAATTTATTTACAGGGCCTTTCGTAAAAATGCTAGAGGAAATACAAACCTTTCAAGTGATGTTTGAGCTGTCACACTGCTGTTGCTATATGCTCAACTTATAGCACCCACCAAACTGTTTGGGGTGCTACTACTTAACTCAAAACCATGACCTATCTTAGGAAGAAGTAACTTACGAAACATTTAATAATCTAATTTCCTTTTTGTTTATTCATCATACTTGGCTGTGGTAAATGCAATCTGTATAGATGAATTTGTTGTAGGCCTATCTTTTTGTTGGTCTACATATTAAATTCACACCCTGTGATGCCGCTTTTTTAATAATCATCAGTTATCAGTCATCGCTGGAAATTCCCCCCCCCCCCAAAAAAAACTTTGTTGACATTAGTTCAGACTCACACTTGGAACTGTTGCTTCCTAGTTAACTTCCTTTTTCTGCTTGATTGACCAGAACCTGATCTATACATTTTAAATACCAAGCATCGCTTACCGTTGTATTGAATATAATGCCCTATAAGCAAGTCCGACATGTAGTATTAATTAAACATTATTATTTCGGGTCGTGTCTAGACGCAATCGGTTTTTAATAGATATAAAGCTGTCACAGCCATACTGAAAACTGATTAATATTGTGGTTCCTGTGTTAATAAAGTTTTCAGTTATAATCTTAAAGTGAAATCGATGTTATACTGAACACAGAGAGCAACAATCCATGATGACGTCATGATGCACGCATAATGTTGTAAAGAAAACGTGAGAGACATGAGACGTCACACACCATCAACGTCATATAAATGCAGTAAATTTGAATTTTTTGTCCTCTTTTCTATCATTTTCTTTCATTTTACTTTTTCTTTTTTTTTTTATCATCTGTATTTTTTCAAAATGCATCGCTCCTATCAGCCTATAACACCAGCTATAAATAAGCTGCTGAAGAAAAGATGGGATGACACCAGATTCGACTTACATCGACAAAAAGTAAAATCTGGTAAGCTGAAGTTGTCCTCCATTTAATTAAAACATTGCTGCATTGATCACCTAAACAAAAGTATAAGTATGAAATCAGTTAATATCAACTACTGATGAAAACTACTTGTACGCTACTAAATATCTATAACTTTCAGCAAGGGCAGTGATTGATAATAAACCACCGAAGACCTACATGCATCTGCATCTAAAACTTAAGAAACTACAGGTATGTTTACAATGTTTTTGCTCATGTCAATTTCTACGACTTTAAGAGGGATCCCAAACCAAAGACATTCGTGTTTTATCCATTTGCTTCTCAGTTAACGTGGTTAAATATGGGGTTACTTTTCCCCTTTTCTTTTACTTGTCGTTTTTTTTCGTGGATTTCAATAATTATTTTTGAAATATCCCCGATGCCAGATGGAAGAGGAACGTTTGGCAACAGTGGAAAGAGATAACCGCATTCTCTTAGAGAAGATGTCTTATATTATGAGGACCAGAGGGCGGGTAGACAACAAAAACGACTATGAACCTCGAAGGTAACACATGTGCGCCATGTGCACGCATAGAGCTTGAACACCTTTTTACTTTTTATTTCTCAGAAACATTGTGTTTCATTTTGCAAATCCACACAGTCATAACATTTTCAAACATAGGAAAAAAAAAGTAAAATATCATTTGCGATTATTCAAAAAGAGTGAAAGCAGAAATAATTTTACGTAATTTTTTCATAATGATGGAAATGAAAAAAGGTTTCTAGATCTCAATCTTTTTTCAGTCTAAACAAAACTAAAAGACAACGAGAACTACTTCGTATCACCCATGAAAATCAAGCCATCCTTAAAAGAATTTCACTTAAGGAACCACATTACAACCATTTGCAGTGGGAGGAAGAGTGGCGGGTACGGTAATTTAAAACTTTAAAGGTCAAATAAAACAACCAAAAAATTATCCTGTTCAGAAAGACTTCGTCGAGTTTTAAGGGCTATTTTGCGTCTATGCAGTTTTAAGTTACCATTTTCAATATACTTGTCCAATATCAAAGGCATATTCCCTTTTTTTTCATTAAAGGTGAATCAACTATATGTGAACAACATATCCAAATACCCAAAGGGAACAGAGCTTCAGCCGCTTGAAGCTTGAGAGCGACTACAATCGTAAGTTGTTTATGGCAAGGAGTTTCAACAGTTCTGTTGAGACTCCTTGTTTTATGGTCAATGATGCTTCGAATAAAGCTCCAGTTTAAACCAACAACCGGACAAAGAAACATTGTAGTAATGTTTGTAGCAATAGTAACAATTTTTTTTTTAATTTGTTTTCATCCCAACGTGCCTGAAGCCTGATAAACCATCAATACATCTGAATTTGTGACAATTATGATTTTAATGCGTCGTTTCTCTCGATTGAGAACATCCAAGTTTACCAAGACAAGTGTTACGAAACTGAGGGTCCGTGCGACAGAAAATCTGCCCTCCATAAAGTTATAATGGTTAGGGTTAGTCTGACCTAAGTGGGTCAAAATCAAATGCGAGGCTCAACTGTACAAAGAAAGGGGAAGCGGACTCTCTATCACGGGGGACTTTCTCGTACATAACACCGTTCTGGCTAGACTCGAGCGATGTGATCGAAGGAATCAGAGGCTCTTTTTGCTTTATTAGATTTAATATTGGTATAACACTAGTGGCCTTATGTCCCACGCGGGACGAAGAGCAATGATGATGATGATAACACTAGAACAATGCCTTTTGATCCATATTCGACTTGCTTTCATGGACTTTACGCTGAATCAATTACTTCAATTTCTTACGATTAAAAAGAATGAGCATAAACTATGTACATGTAGTGCAAAAATAATAAGATCTATTTTTTTCTTTCAGGGTTTGCCTTGGATGCTGCCAACCAAGTTATTTTTTGACATTAAAAAAAGTTACGGGAAAATCTCGTTTCTGGATCTCGTTTGGATTTTAATATTTTGAAAGAAGGCCTCATTCACTGCAGTAACAACACCAAAAGCATTCTTGTGTGTTGACTATACTTCAAATGTGAAATCCCAGGAATCCCTTACACAAATGAAAAACAAAGAAACAATAAAACATTTTTATAGATTTCATGAAACAATTAACTGTATTACGTGTGTTTATTTTCAAATTAAAATGCACACAAATAAATCCCACAGTCAACAGCAAATACTTGGTATGTCCACTTCTGTTTCCTTGAAGTGTTTATATCGCCTCTCCCACACAAGTGTCACACTGTTTCAGCAATCCAGAGGTCCACACTCAGGTCAAATGTCAGAACACACCTTGTTCACATTGCCTATTAAGCAAACTTAGAGGCACAGGGAGAGGTAGAGCTGATGTAAAACGATTTTGATAGCATTTTTGAAACTTTTCCGACTTCAACTTCATTCAAAACACTAAATTCAAATTAATTTTCCAGATCACATTTTGAATTCAAGTGGTCTCAATGTCAATGTTATTTTCACAACTCATGCTTTTGAAAAGGTCATTAACTCAACACACTGATTACAAAACTTGTTCCATTGAAAAAAAAAAAGAAGCTCCCTGCACCCTGAAGTGCTTTCCCGTTATATCTGAGGTTTATATTTTTTATTCTCAGTGTACCTTCTGTTCACTTTTACCTGTGCTAATAATTCATATACAATGACGAATGCAGTTTCAAAATTTTCAAAACAACTTTTTCTTCACTCCAACTGTTCTTCCTGTGCTGCTTTCAACTTAAGGCGGTGCTCACGGGCCAATAATCTTTTTTCCCTCTCATACTCTTTGAATCTGATCATCATGCTGAAATCAAAATTTGAAAAAAAAAAAATTAAAAGAATATATATTTGATGAACAACTCTACTAGTATTTAAATTACTATATTAAATAGTTCAGATATTTAAAAAGGACAGACATACTGTATGGATAACAAAACTGTTAGAATAAGTCATAGTACTACATAATAACAGTCTAAAAATGATGACCAATCAATTTAACAATAAAAATTCAGAAAATGTTTTCATTAAACCAGATGCAATATCACACATTTTTTGAAAGTATCACTGCCAATGTTTAATTATGTGCTTCTGTTACTAGGTGTTACTGTAAAATGAAAGTAGCATACAGTTTCAAACTGATAAAAATTCATGATCACACCTAGAAAATGCTAATTTATGAAACATGACATATTCAAATATAACCATTAAAAAATGTCATAAATGCAAGACAAACAATCGAATCAGATTGTTTTTTAAACATGAGCTTATTTTAATCCTATGGCAGCAATGCACTTACTCCTCATACTGGCATTTTATATAATCATTTTCCGCTTGCGTACATTGCAGAAATCCATTTTCTACTCTGCATTGAGCTACATTAATCCATTTGTGAGCACAGTAGTCTCTGTATTTCATTGGGACTCTAGCAGCATCCATCTGTTCCTTAGTAGCAATCATCACTAAAAAAGATATATCTAAATTCTTAAACAGTTTAATCCCTGGCTAACAAAAGATATGTTGGAAGGCGTTTTAATTGAAAAATTTATTAAGCTTTTACATTTGACATCATTTGCCAGCTAGTTAAGTTTGCAAGTCTCAGGGATGAGACCCTAACTGAAAAAGTAGGAAAATTATAATCATTACAAAACTACACACTATTGTACCTCTTTCTTTACGTCCTTTGGGAAATCCAAATAATGGATCAAACGAAGGTGGACTGGTATAATCCGGCTTCGGGGGTAGACTTTCACCTGCTGCTGACATGATTTCAAAGTGTCCAAAAGAGTGGAAAATTTGTATATATGCTACCGAAGTAATGGCGTCAGGTAATGTTCGGTCCACAGGTGTAGATGGCACTGTCGAAGTTTCACGACAGAGGCAGTTGATTTAGAAATTACATCATGCATATTTTGATATATAAAAAAGTTGTTGAAATAGAAAGATTCAGTAAAATACATTCTCCTTGACAGGCTTTTGATTAATATCACCAATGCCACGCTTCAGCTCATCGTGACTATCGCCATCTATCGACGACCTTTCGGTGTCCAGTATAAAATATGAGCAACCTGACCCAAAGTTCGGTGAGAAAATTACCTCCTCTCTCCCCAAATTCTGATGCTCCGGGGGAAAAGAGTGCGGCAGCTAAGCCTAAAAAGAAAAGAAGGACTAATGACATAACCCAAAATGATAGTAAAACTACGAGACCAAAGAAGATTCCTAACGTTTCCAAACAGACAGAGAATACGAGGCCAGATATGACAGCAAAAACAAGTGAACGAAAAAAGGTTAATATTGTGAACAAAGTTACAGTTAACATCTTTTGTCAAAGCTATACGCTTATGGGTCTTCTTGAGTGCTCTAAGTGGCGGACGACCCAACAATTCAAACAAATACTGATAATTTGTTAAGTTGGATTAACGTCAACGACATTAATTGCTTACAGTAGTTATATATTTTCGCTTTTTAAAAGTTATATCAGTCATCACCCTAGTTTCGGGTCATGCAGTACAGTAGAAAAAACAAGTGCGATTGCAAGAGAAGATGGGAAATGGTCATTTGCTAAAAGATAGGGTGATATAAAGGTGAAGATATAACTAGGTAACTAATATTGTTGATCCAACTTAAACAAATCGACACAATAAGGTTCGTCCCCAATGTTGGCCATTCATTGTTCAACACTCCTGCCTCTTCTTGGCAATATGGCGTATGGTCCCATATGGATCATTGATATTATTATCTAGAAATATATTTCGCTTTTATATTTCACTTTGTGTTTGTGTATGCGAAGTCGTTTGTGTATTGCTCTGTATTGCACATTTTAAGTAAGTACTATAACCGTATAGGTCCATATATGATTTTCCTAATTGATCTAGAGCCTTGCAATTTGGTACGTATACACAGACAGAGCTCTACATATTTGGATTCTGATAAACCATTTATCTCATTTAGATTAAAGATTAATCATGTTTTAGTGGCAAAGTGTCAGTTTCGTAAAGTATAATGATCTCAGTTGTTTATATTTTATTATCTAAAATAATTTATTTAGTCATCAGTAGGGTATTTTATATGCATAATTGATTTTTTTGCCATCAATGGTTGTATGCATAGCCTGCAGCAAATGGCAGCCAAGCATCCCTGATCAGTGTGGAGAATGAAGACTCTGGAAAAGGAACTGCTCAGAGGACTAAAAAAGTCACAAGGAAAACAAAAAAGAAACGAAGAACTAAAAGGTGATTATTTACAGGCAAAGTGTGTCTGGACATGCAGCCCTTTTAAACTTGAATATTACAGGAAGTTTTCAGTAAGTCAATGATATAAACAAATATTGATTAAACTTTTCTCACTGCCTTGAAAGGAAGTAAATTAAAAGCACAGTTGCCTTAAAATCTCATTTCAGACGGGATGATGAAGGTAATTACCCTACAGGTGAAGGTTATCTGGACTTAACTGGTGTTGATGATGATATTATTGCTTCAAATCAACCATCTGGTGAAGAGGAGGATGAGGAAATAGAAGTAAAAGATCTTCCGAGTACTACAGGACCAATGTTGAGGAGTCAGCCTGTAGGGAAACTTTTTATTGAACAAAGAAGTAAGTGTGGCTTGCCTTGTGTTTACAAAGTCAGCATTTATTCATCTATTTTTGATTGGTGGAATTATACAAGTAGCACTTAAACTATTGTCAGTCCAACAGACATTTGATAAAAACTTTGTTTGTCTTTAAGTCAATTACTTTGATACACCATCTGTTTATTGTCTTGGCTGAGTATCAAAACACAATTGAATACAAAATAGCACAGCACCTGGAAATGTGACACAGGCCTTCAAGTACATGATCTATATGAAATAAATAATTTCAGGTGGTTTCAAAAGTACAGATAAAGGAAAACTGGCTAAAAGAATTGCAGAACAACAACTAGAACTAGAAAAAGAGGATGAAGTAGAACCATTAAATTACACAACCATTCAGTTTGGAATTGCCACACATAGAGTGTTAAAAACATTTTCATTATTTTGTCATGGGATTTTAGCTGGCTTTGGGCTGTGGCAATTTGTGATAGTGTTTGTGTTGACTTCACACAGGAATGGTTATACAGACTTTCTTGATCACTACAACCCTGTGTCCTTACCTGTCCAGTGCACTTATTATTTTCTGCTAGTGCTTTGCACAGTTTCTGTATTAGACAGGTGAGTTAAGAATAAAGCACACATTGTGGTAATTAACAGTTTTGTAAGATATGCAAATAGTATGTATCTCTTGTCTCAAAAAGCTGTGGATTGATAGAAAAATGTGATACATATTACATTAACATCATTGAGTGTCAGGTGTTTAAAATAACTCCTCTTTTAAGAATTTCTCTTATCTTAGATCTTTTGTTAAATAACCACTACTTTGATAAATTAATATTAACTGTTTTATATTTGCATTTTGCTGTCATCATTTACTATAAGGTTGAATTTGTAAAAATTTAATACTTCATTACGTACGTATGTATAAAAGAAAACTAAAATACATTTACTTTCAGATATGACATAGCCCATCCCACACGAAAGATGATCATCAGAGCAGTCACTCTCCAGTCTGGTGCTGTTGCCATCTTGTTTTACATGTTGTCTTTAATCTTGAGTCTCAGTGTAGCCAATATAGACGACAAAATTGGACTGTATGGGCTCAAGTCATCTCTTTGGGATAACCAGGAGGTATAATCAGTTATTTCACTTGACAGGTTGTGATGAAAATGAAGATATTAATACCCTGCTCCTTCCTGAGGTTTGGAGCACGAAGGGAGGGGAGGGTTGCAGAAATTGGCTTGTCAGTCTTGTCTCTGTCTTTCTACTTGTAGATAAAATATTTTCTGTCCATCTTCTGCCAAAGGATCTATAATTGAACATCATTTATGTAAAGTTTGGTTTGGCTCTCACCTTCATAGGCTTGCAAAAGCTTTTTTAAGAAAAAATATTATAATTGAAGTGTAAAGGTATATCAGCCATGTTTGAAACTGCCAAAAGTCATATTTTATGTCTACATATGCTAAAAGCAATGAAATGATCAGGAAAACATTACAGTCTAAACATTACAGGAAACGGAACAAATCATTCTTTTTCAGAAAAAAAAATTTTAAAAATTGAACCTTAAAGGAATACTTACCATGTTTGAAACTGCCCCAAATTCATATTTTCTCCCTACAGATTCTGCAAAGATATTTGTTTTTCCCAGTTTTGCTAATATCAGTGAAAACCCTTAAATAAAAGTACCTGATGTCAATATACATCAGGAAGACATTACAGCCTGAACAATACAGGAAAAGACCAGAACAAATTGTTTAATTAAGAATGGGATAAAGATTTGAAGCCAAGGCTTCACATCCGCATCCGCAGACCCCCCCCCCCCGGCTCAAATAATCCTGGATCTGCCCCTGCATGCATGACGTGTGTGTGTGTGTGTGTGTGTGTGTGTGTGTGTGTGTGTGTCCCCCCTGCGAACATTTGTCTCATTTAACATTCACTTACAGTTCTCAATCTGTCCTAGAACATAATATTTTTCTCTTTTAATGAAAAATGTTCTCAATCTGTTCTAGGACATTCTGAAGGACTTCCCAAAAACAGTTCTCGAAATGTTACATTCATTACATAACAACATCAGAACTGTAAAAAATACACCAAATGTTCAAGAATAGATTGAGAACCGTAACTGAATGTAAAATGAGACATTTTTTCGCAGGGTGTGTATGTGTATGTGTATCAGGTTGCTGGAAAAACTCTCTCACATTTCCTCTTCAACTAAGTGGTAATAAAGGGCACTGATAACATAACACATTAGTTCTAGTTTCTTACAGTTTGCCAATCTAAATGACATTTCTAAACACAGTGCATAAACAATGTGTATTTTATTTTTGTAGCTACAATTCTTTCAAGACAGACCCTTTTTGGAGAGTTTTTCAAACCTAGATGGACTTAGTGTGTAAAAAGGAAATATTTTTAAAAACTTACTTGATCATTAAAACTGAAGTTAAGTTATTTCTTAACATAATTTTACTTTTAATTGTTTTTAGGAAAGACAAGTTAACATTGACACATGGAAGATAATAAATCTTTTGAGAGGATTATTTGCCATATTAGGATGGCTTGTCATATCTATTAGACCTGGAACTGATAGACTGGTGAAAAATTTGGAATCAGCTGAAAACATTATGGGAGAGCCAGTGGAATTAACCAATGTTCAGAGTTCTCGTACATAGCTACATTATTGTACTTTCTCAAGTTGTACAGTCAAACAAACACATATGTTATCAGAGCATATGCAATTTAAAAACAAATGAAAATACATAAATGGTAAAAAGAGATACAATCAATATATATTAATATTACAACATTCTCTTTAAATAACTAATTAGATGATGTTTTGACAATAGTTGTGTAAGCACATACTCCCGACAACAAAATATTTTTCTTATGGGACAAGAAGGAAATGATTTGAATTTTAAGTTAGCAGCATTACACTGATTAATTGCAAAGTAAGATATCAGCATGCCAACCTTTATCTTAAATATAAAAAGGGGTATTGCTAAAAATATATTGACATTTTTTAATTATATATTCTTAGCACATATTTTTTACTCTTGTGTGAACAAAGTCTACATGTGTATGTGTACCCAAATGGTTAGCAGTTGTATAAGTAGAAAAACTGCATTTTTTAGTATAGATAATTCTGTTAAAAGTAAAAAATGTGTCTATGCAAATGTGTTGTTTTTGTAAGTATGTTACACATTTCTAGATAAAGATTGTCTGTATGTACAAGTGCTATCATGCGTTCATGATCTTACAAAACATTGAAGAAAACTTTTGAGAATTACAGGTCAAGATGAATTCTTTTATCAGTGGTGCTTACGGTATTAAAGAAGATCAAAGGCATTGGGCTCAAACGGGATGGAAAACAAAAGTTGAATGATATATGCCAAAAGTAAAAGTATTTAGAAATATATACCCCCCAATACGTGTAAATTTGTACTGTACAGTATGTTGGGGTCTGCTGTGCAGATGAGGAATGAAACATGCTTTCTGCAGTGACAGGTACCAGTAAGCTTCTCAAATATATGTGTACATGTACTAACACATTGTATGTTCCCAATAAATTTTCACTTAAAAAAAATCAATTTGCTGTACTAGTACATGTGTTAACTTCTTAACAATTTTTAGGTTACATACTAGGACTTGCCAGTGCATTATTTTCTTAGTCTACACGTACAACTTACAGGGTGAATATCAAAGAAGAACGTTTTATTTATTTACTTTTTAATATACATACCCAATAAAAAAGACAACCACAGTCTGAAAAAAAAGAAAAAAAAACAACATTCACAAAACCATAAGACGCGTCTTGAAATGAAATATTTTCTGGGTCGCGACCTTGACCTGAATACTCTCAATCCAGACAGGTGCTGAGTTTGGTGTGGACTGACGTTACTTCAGTCACCTAACTCCTTCCTGCTTAGTTGACACAAGGAGTCATAATTCTTTGTTTGATGGTTAGGGTAAGTGGAAGAAATAAACCAATAATCCAAAGATGAAACTGGAAATAATTTTGAAGTGCATTATATTAGTGCATAATATTAAATATTTTTTCGTTTCTGTCATCACTACTGGGCAGAGACTTGCACGGTGATCAGTACAAATGTGGGTGCCTTTTCTCTTCGTCTCGAAAGTTAAATGAATAAAATTGTCCCAAAATGTCTAGTGTAATATCCCGGTTGGTAAAAAAAATTAAGTGCGAGGGCGGATGTTAGGGTAAGTAATAAGTGTTCTTTTGAAGTATATAGTCATATAATATTATTGATATAATATATAGTTTACTTTGTACTAGTACATGTGCATATATCAGTGGTGTGTGTGTACAGTTGCATATGTATAAAATTACAATCGTGTATCTGGACATGGTTACGTTATTCAGACAACGAGTACTGGTACGAGCAGCAGTACTTATGTTAAATTGGTATACATACATGTATATGTACCTGTCACAATTAACATCATACCTGACATACCTTTGATTTTGGTGTTGTAACCACATCAGTGTGTCATATTCTGGTCTATTGTGATACATGTCTGTAAATCTGTTGTTGTAATATGATACATCCCTAGTATGAATGGCATTTACCTAATACAATATAGTTTACATAACTTACAGACATACAGTACATGTACTGTATGCAGGTGTGGCCACTTAAAATCTTTTGGACAATTCTTTTACCCTCGTTTTTATGTTTATGAAAAATGTATTTCATTGAGGTCTCTGAGGTCAATGGGTTGAGTTAGTTTTACACATGGCTGCCAAAATATGTGCTAGATTATTGGCTGAGGAAGCATATGGTTCGATCACCCTGAGCTTCAGAGGTAACTTGAAACTTAATTTTAGATTATATCATACCCTTGCTGTTTCAAGTAACTTGAAATGGCAAGGGTATGATATATGGTAGAGTTATAAGTTTCAAGCAATCTCTGAAGCTCAGAGTGGGTTTCAACAGCTATGTAACCTTAGAAATGTGAAGTAAACTAAACTAGACAGTAAACTAAACTAGACGCTTTTGTGTCTAGTTTTAAGTTTACTTAAAACTAGACACAAAAGTAATAATTCAAAGTTCAAAACACAATTTTGAGAAAGATGATGACTTAGGAAATATAATTTTGATGAATTTTTTTCCAGTGTGGAATGGGCTATTATTGCATGACCATGGCAATTATAACATTTAATTCATTCTTTTGACACCCACTTGTTTTGCCACCCCATTATTGTTTTTCTGAATTCATTTACATTATTTAAACATGTTTTGATATAAAACTTTGCTGAACAAACTCAAAATGAGCTGCTTTTTACTCTTGTTAATCACCAGATGTGCCTTTTTTGGCATGACACATGTACATGACAGACATACATGTGTATGTACTGAGTCTCAGGTTTTACTTGATATTATCATTTTTTATTCTGACCTTATAATTTTGTGCTAAAACATTTTTGGTTTAAACTTACAGGAATAGAAAAATGGAAAGTCCGGACAATGGAGTCAACAGAACTGTTCTTGTTAGAAAGTCCAGATGGCATTTATTGCCACTTGCTCTCTTTATTATCATGCCAGTCACATTTGTGGTTTCGTAAGTAAAACTAGTTTGCCTTTACTAAGAAAGTGATGTAAATTGTGAAATTCATTTTCAACATATTAAAGTATTATTGCCATCGTTTGCTCAACATAAAACATAAGGTAGTATAGTATAGTATAGTATAGTATAGTATAGTATAGTATAGTATAGTATAGTATAGTATAGTATAGTATAGTATAGTATAGTATAGTATAGTATAGTATAGTATAGTATAGTATAGTATAGTATAGTATAGTATAGTATAGATTACACTAGAGTTTTAGCTTGTTAGATGTATTGTAGTGACCCTCTTGTTTTATGTTGGTCAGCTTTTTTTTTTTCATTCCTAGGTATGTGGTAGCTGTCTTGAATAACCATGTCTATCCAGCATTCCCATATATAAGGTATGTTTTTTTGGTAATTATTGCTGTGAAGGGGAGGCTGAAGTTTATGACAGAGTTGGTTTAAAGATACTAAGAGCCATTTAATTTAGTTCAGAGTCCAGATATTTTTTAAAGATTTCTGTACACTGGATTATTAAAGTCATGATTTAGATGGATTGTTTTCTGGTTTCAGGAGTTTTTAAAATCAGTACACAAAATAACAATTTTTTTATTTTTGTAAATGGTACACAATAAACAGTTAATAAGCTTGTCATAATACATGAACATTGTGCGACTTTGATGTGAAATTAATGTCATTGTGATCTGTAGATTTATTGTGACCTAGTGCTTAATTTTGTGTCTCTAGTTTTTATCACTGATATGACATATTTTGTATTTGCATGCTAGTAATATGTGTGTGTATTGATGTCTTTATGCAGAAGTGACACGTACAACCAGGCCTGGCTTTATGATGCATTTGAAACAAGTTAACATGTCAAAACATTTCCACTAAACCTGAACAAATGCCACCATATAGTTTCCTGTGGCATGACTGAAAGAAATGCCAAAGGGTATCACTGCCTATATCCCAAAAATAATATTTGAATAGATGTTTTTTTCCTTTTTTCTTTTTACGTATATATAACCATTGGTCATTTTTGCCAACCCTCATTTGAATAATTATGTTGTTGCACATGATGCAGTAATGTGTCACATATAACATCATTTGGTAGACTTTTACAAAATGGAGGGAGAGGTAAATGTGTCATGTTTGGGACCAGAAATTTGAAAAAGGTGCAGCTTGAATTTTAAAAATAAATTTGGACTGAACAAATGATTAATTTGGTTTATCCTTTATGTGGACTTTACTTGAGTCATATAAGAAATTGGTACATATATGTCACTTAAATGAACATTGACATTTGCGGCAAATAATGTAGTTTTGAAATGAAGAAAGATAATCATACTGGAGCCATGCACCCTTGGCTAGTTTTAATATGCAAGACCATATTTGTCAATGTTGTAATAACATATGTTCTTTTGCTTTTAGTGACACAGGGTCCAAAGCACCAGAGAGTTGCATTTTTGGTCAACTGCTCAATCTTTGTGCTGTCTTAGGTAAATTGTGGGTGAATATTTTACAATGAACACAGGCTTGATTCTGAATAATATGTTTGTTAAAACAGTTATAGGCACAGGAGTGAATTTTTTGCATTGTCAACCATGATAATGCTTTCATGTGCAGTGTTTAAAACATTTCAACTATAAAGGTTGAAAAAATTGAAAGTTAGAATCAGACACAATCTTTTAAGAGTAATACATGTATATGGTGTTAGATTACTGACAAAACAATGAACAAAGAAATTTATATGGAAACAGTATTTTGAATAAATAAAGTAATTTGAAATTGGGCAATAAGTTAAGTTTACTTGATTTTGCAGTATTTATCAACAATTCTTTTACTTTTATCTTTTAAATGTTAAGATTTTGAAAAAGATTGATAGTTTCACATAACATTTAGAAATGTTTGTCACAAACAGTTGCTATGAAAAGATTAAAAATGTATTTTTATTAATTTATATTGCAGTTGGGCTGATTGTGTACTTACGCTTCAAACAACTAAAACTTTTATACGGGAGGCCAGAGCTGAGTATTATTTTAATGAGAGTTAACCTTGTAGCGTTCATCACAGGTCTTATAGCTGCATTTGGAGTTACTATGGTGGCTAACTTTCAGGTAATGTATAATATAAATGCTTTTATGTCTTGTCCTTATGGCTGGTAATGGATGTTTATTTGCTGTTATAGTTTGGGAAATGGTTTATCTGTCAACTAAACTGTCTAAGGTAATATATAATCATGTATGATCAGCTCTAGGTACATATACGTAGTGGGCATTGTTAAAACTTTGTAACCTTTTGTTATTCAAACATTTCAGGAGAGTTCTGCCTATAATGTTCACATGTTTGGGGCACTGATGACTTTTGGATGTGGCCTTTCTTTCTGTGGGCTTCACACAGTACTATCATATAAGCTTTGTCCGCTTATTAACCCAAGATGGTTGTGTCATGTGAGATGCATTCTCACTCTCGTCACACTATTATTTATGATATTAAGTATCCTTGTGAGTTGATAACTTAAGAATAATTTTCATGTGAATAAAAGGTTACATGTAAAAATACCCCCCCCCCCCCAAGTAAAGCTGCAGGCTTTGAGATAATTTTTTTTTCAATTTTGCAAATTTCCTTAACAGAGCTTCACAGTGTTTGTTGCAGGAGTACTATCCCTTCCTCAGTTTTCAGGATCAGACAAAAATATGTGGTCTCCTGATATCCCAGTAAGTATCTAGGCTGTTTTGAAAAGTTTACCTCCATCATTTAAATTTGAAGTAGCAGTTATTAAAAGGCATATAATTAGTATGTCATAAAAGTAAAATATATTTACTGATACATTAACTGATTTAATTTACATAATATGTTCTGGTGAATTCTAGATTAAATTCTCTTTCTTTGTTCTCTCTTGGCTGCTTGGGTGACAGTAAGCCAACTGCATGTGTGCAATTTTAGGGCGTATTCCCAGAGCTTTTAGATCGATCTATCCCCGCGGGGAGTCTCACTAGATAACTGTCAGATAATCCGGCTTAAATGTCTGTCCCGCCTACTACAAGCTGTAAGGGGGTAATTTTAAAACTTTCGTGCCTGCTCGGCTGACAGCTATTTAGCGAGAACCCACAGGGAGTTAGGTCGATCTAAAGTAGATCAATCTGATCTCTGGGAATGGGGTCTTAGTCTACAGGCTGATTATCTTTGTAAAACCACTGCTGGTCAGGCTCCTGTTACTATTGAGGTTGTGTCTTACATTTTATAAAAAATACCTGTATTTTCCTGACATATGAATGCATTAATCTGGAAAATAAATTTGCACCTTCATTTTCTAAGTTTTTGACTTACTAAGGGTCCATTCTCAGACCCTATCGTATTGACTGTGGATCAGTCTATCTCCATAGGTATTCTTGCTTAATTGCAATTAACTTAAGCAGGTGAAATGTCTGTCACGCCTACTGAAGCTGCTAGGGGGTAATTGACTATCGTTTATAATTAGCAGCTTCAGTATATGTGCCAGACAGGTAAGCTGATGGATCAATCCTTTTAAATCATTAAAGGTATGGGAACCCAGACTAAAAATTCTACAAAACCTCAAACTTGAGCATAAAAAATAAATAGCAATAGCATGTTGATTTCAGTACAAAACTGTAAACACTTTCTAAAATTGGGCCAAAGTACTCTCTTCAATCTCGTATCATTTAAATGCATACACATGGCTGATGATAAATATCGTGGGGGTCACTGACATCTTTCGGAACCTTCAGTAGTGTTTCATTAGTTGAAAGGTACATATATCTATATATAAGGAAATAAAATGCCTTCTTATTTTTTCAGGGATATGATGTACATGTGATAAGCACATCATCTGAGTGGGTAATGGCAATGGGCCTACTGGGATTCTTCCTTACCTTTATGTTCGACTTCAGGAACTTTAGGGTTAAAGCCCCAAAACTGTTCTGTGATATGGCAATACCTGATGTAAGGTATCAGATGAATGGAGAGCAAATTGCAGTAGATCATCAGGGCATGGCAGAGGATACTGCTATGATTGCATGATATTATAAGGATTGAAAAAAAGCTACGATAAAATCTCAGGTTACCATGAGTGATTCCTCTATAAAAGTTTAGTGCCTATAACAGATATAGAATATTTTTTAATGAGGAATGACATTTTACCAACTTCCAATGACTCCAATGGTGAAATGAACTCTGGGTACCTACAATCTTCACATTTATTGCTCCTACCAAAAGTGTTGCATAATGCTTATTACATGTTTGTCTTCCAAATTGCCTGTGTGCTACCAGTATAAACTAAAATATAAATATGCATTAGATTATTCTTTATATTATTATTATTATTATTATTATTAGTATTCAAAATTCAAAATTATAGCATCTTCATGTATTGTGTACTAACATTTTTTCAATATTTCTATCGATCCACAAGTGATTTCTTTGTTGCCTAGCATGACTTCAGTAGTCTACAAAGAAATGTGGCTGAAAAGTGCAAGCTGCTAAGCAAATAAACAACAGACTTCTTTCTACTCCAAAGAAATTTTACATGTGTTTTAAAATAACAAAAAGTATATATTTAGTTTTTAATCTCATCAATTTATTGCAAATTATAGTTTATTTGTAACTGTTCTTTACAAATTACTTGTACTTATATTTTTTAAAGATCCTATTTAATATATTATTTTAGTTGCTTCTGTGTAATTGTTTTAGTTATCTTCCCTCCCACATCCACTTGTGCTTAAATTTGTATCATAATTATTGATCCTTTTTTGATATATACAAAGACATATTCAAAACAGGTTATTTAAAGCGGGTCTTACTGATTTAGTAATATATAGTATATATAAATATATATATATATATCAAAATCAGTATATATCAGTATATATAAATCAGTTGAGAAAATAAATATCAAATTCTAGGCTGCTAGTAGTATTCATCCTGTTAATTGATTGGCTGGATGCATTGGGACAACTGTTCTCGACAAATTCTTTATTTTGGGAAGGAAGGGTTTGTAATGTTGTTTTTTTTTGTTTTGTTTTTTATGTACAGACANTTTTTGGTACCATTCATAACCCAAAAGGCCAATTTTGCTTAAGATCATGTTCTCAATACATATGGTAGTTGCTTGATCAATTCAAACGGTGTGATCAACCTGACCCCCAAAAATTTATTTGATAATTTTATTTCTGCACATTTCAGTAAGACCCACTATAAATTGTATAGGTCACAAACACTAAGACAAATGATTCCATAATATTGTAAAATGCAACGAGTTCACTAATCAAAGATTACTAGATTACTCATTTAAGTTTATATATAACATCCAAAAGGTTGTGAAAAAAGAAGTCTTATAGAAAGCAATAAAGCCATCGAAAATGTATACGACTTTGTATACTGAATTGACTGCTCACTTTTAGGTTATTTTACAAATGATATTGTTAATAAATTATTTTGAATTTTGGCTTTTCTTTTCATTGCATCATTTTCCCAGTTAGAAATTGCACTGATGACTCGGAATTTTTAAATAAAATTTAATTAAATTTTACAAGATTGAAATTGGAACAATTAACCTACAAATCATGCGTTTGGTCAATGTGAGTACTTTGTCTTAGCGTCTAAAATCCCAATTGCAAAGCATTATTCTGATCTTCAAGGTGACTTTAAAAACAGGATGTTGTTTGAATCAATTACAAGTCATGCAGACCAAGAATGAGAAGAGCTGAGTGCTAGCCTTCCCACGCGTTGTCCCTGCAGGGGCACAGTAAGACCCCATTCCCAGAGATTAGATCAATCCAACTAGATCTAATCCCAACTCCCTGGGGGTTTTTGCTAAATAGCTGTCAGCCGAGTGGGCAAGAAAGTTAAATAGTAGGCCGGATGGTCATTTCAGCCAGATTATCTGACAGTAATCTAGTAAGACTCCTCACGGGGTTAGATCGATCTAAAATCTATGGGAATGCCCCCTAATTCTACCTCATATTTAGGCCGTGGAACAGCTAGCACTAGGCTCTTATCATTCTGAATGGCCCCCAATACTGCATAGTACACCAATGATTAACACTATAAGGAGTATAAAGACCTCAATTTTGCATAAGTGCTAATGATTTATTGTCTGTTATTGGCTTTTCAAAAGGAGTTGACAGATTTTTGAAAATATTGCTGCATTTGTAACAAACTGGCACATTGCTATCAAAGTATAAAACAAGCATTTTTAAATAAATGGTCATTGATTGGCTCTTTATTGTGGCACATGAATCAATTTAGATATAGATTGACTGGCTCTTTATTGTAGCGTTTCAGTGAATGTCAGAGTTTGCTCCAATTCTTTAACGTTTTGTTCCACTACAAAATCCTAAAATTCTGCTCATGTCTGATATCCAAGACCACATACAATGGAAGACTAGAAATGCAATATAGCAGGAAATACTTAAGCCCCATAAGACACTTTTCTGAATTTCAATTATATTCAGGTTCCCATTTCATAGGAAGAAACAATAATTTATAAATATTCATTCTATTTAATTTTGTGACTTTGGTTGTATCTTCGATTAAGTGTGCGATATTTTCTGAGCATGTACAATGCCTCCAGTTCTTTAACAACATACTCTCCCCTGGCAATCAGTATTTCTATCTGTTCAGGATCTTTCAGATCCTTGTTTTTCAAAAATGCTTTCTTCAGCCTTTCCCTGAAGAAGTCAAACCCTTTGGGATAATCTCTGCCTAAATACAGCAACTGAAAGTATACAAATGCAAACATTATACATCAGTTCATTAAGATAAATACAGGTAACATTGGTCACGTCGTATTTCATGAAGCCTAATTTTGTCAAAGGCCCAAAGAATGCATACACTGAATCAATAATAGTAAGCGTTTTAAATAGCTATAAGAGCTATAAAAGCCAGATACTCACAGTTTTGTATAACTCTACAACTCTTGATCTGGTTGAAGACATCATGGGGTTTGAAAATGCTGCATGACTGAAAATAAGTAAGGTTCTATATCAGAACTTGAATGTGAACATACTGTGCATGATAAAATGACCACTCTCTTAATTCCAACATGGAAGAAAATGGAAATCAAAACTAAACCATTTTAATTAAGTAAATCTAATAAACATTTTACAACTCCCATTTAAATAAAGAACATTGTTTTATAATAAAATGCATGTGCATTGAACATATGCCATACAGCGTAATATACAAGAAAAATGACCCTGGACAATAGAAAACATGGGAAAAGATCATTCACAAGAAAATAGGATGCTAATTATATTACTGTAACAGAGGTTTCCCCAGGACATGGGATACAGTGAGTCCAAAATGTGAATCTGTACACTGTATTTTGGTCAGCAATTCACAGGGAGTCCAATCCAAGCAAGCCCAATACCAACCAACTCAAACATTTTGTACTGTAAGGCGTCCGTCCGTCTTTGGAAACATAGGCCATCTTTTGAGGTCGACGGCCATCCAAATGATGGCTGGGGAAGGTAATCAATATAGCTAATCCAATTTAACAAAATGGTCATGATTTGTTTATGTCCGGACATCCACCATATTGGCAAGAATTGCACCTTGCACTGAGTGGCCAACATGGTGGACCACCCGACGATAAACAAATCAAACCGATTTTGTTAAGATGGATCAAAAGTATTAGCTACCTAGTAATATATTTCACTTTTACATCACCCTATTTTCTTGGAAATCACCGTTTCCTGAGTTTGCTTGCAACCGGACTCTTTTTTTTTCTATTGTATTGCGTCGTATTTATTATGACCACTGTCTGAAATTCGGAATAACGACTAACGTTAATATATGACAGTCTGTCATCGGGTACCATCGTCATAACCATTCGAAACGAAGAAGTGCAAGCGATTATTCCAAAATTTCATCTTATGAAAATAAAATGTCCTTTTTTTAGATTACTAATAATAGCCATGCCACATATCACGTCCATGTGTTACCTTGATGACTTGAATTGAACGAGACCTTGCCAAATTCCAATTTCTAGTTGTCGGCTTTTGCGCGTTTGTTTTTGTAAAAATAACCCGGATCGAGTTAGCGTCACTCAATGTTTCTACGCTCTTCCAGTTTTACCCGTTTTCAACGATATAATATAAACATATTCGAAACTACAGTGAAGCAAACAGCATAAAAATCGAGTCGCGTTGAATGTAGAAACAGTGTGACAACCAGCAGGTAGTCTTAGCTCTGCCACCAATGGGTACTCTTTGGCGTTATTTGACCTATTTAGATAAAACCATCATTTAACTTTTATTTATTGAGTATGGACCAATTTTTAATTAAAAGATTTAATATCATTCATGATTTTCCCCAGATACATTTTGAATCCAGGCACTTCTCTCTCTAACGTATATGGGTACGCTGTAGCTTACTTCGCCATATTGGTTGCTATCGAAAGGCAGTTTTGTCAACACAGAGAAAATGGTAAGATATATCTGATCTGTGCAACTTAGGAATACAAGCCAAAATGCAAACACGAGACAGCACCAAGTAGATGTAATAATTTACAGTGTTTCCCGTACTAACGTAATATTGGACATGACTAAGTACCTACATGTTATGTACATGTATTTGAAAGGTTTTTGAATGCACAAGTATTTGAAGGGTTACTTTTAGTATAGTATCTTACGAAATCTCTTCAGATGATTGGCACATTTGAAATGTCAGTAATTTTTGTACGAGAATGTTTTAACATCCAACGATAGGGGCCTTATTGTGATTTTCAATAGAAAATATTGTTGATAAGATGGTGTGAACGAATGTAATAAATGATTTATGTTCTATCACAAGCCTCCCAAATCTAGGCAGGACAAATCAGTAAGTTTATTTCATTTAGGTCATTTTGTTTATCCACTTTGACTCTTTTTTCATATGATAGAACTTCTCCTTTTTTTTTTTTTTTTTTTTGTCTAAATGTGCATATTTGATTTATGTGGGCTGAACAGTAGAGATTGTTTATTTTACAAGTAAGATAGTTAATATTTATTTTCTAACATTTTAATTTTAAAGATTTTTTATGTTTTTTTTTTTCTAAACTGACTGTAAATGTAATTACATCTTAATGAATACTCTTAAAGCCTGCAAAACGAGGGACTGGGAAAAGTTCATCATCGGTAATATTTTCTCTCTGACAACTTCTATTGTTGTGGCATGTTTGTCTCTTGACAAAGCTTTTTCAAAATATGTAAATTAATAAATTACTTATATATTTCCACTATATCAATTTGTTGATACATGTGCATTTAGACTTTGTTTCAGTTTTATTTGTGGGACATCAGTGGTTATAAACTACTGATCAGTACTGTACAGTGTACAGCATATACATATGTATTTATATTTATATGATGTACAGTGTACAGCATGTACATATAAATACATATGCGAGATGCAGTGTCGATTTAGTATATTTTATTAGATTTTAAGATCTTGTTCACAGGGGATGCTTTTTAAATCCATGGCTTAAATTATAAAGTTAACCTTTTTGTGCAATGAAATTTAGTCGAGGAAAATGCCAGTATCTGCAGCAAGAAAGGCATCAGTTGTCTCCTCAAGAAAAACATCCATAGCATCAACAAGGAAAACATCCTTAGCATCAACAAGGAAAACATCCATTGCATCAACAAGAAAGACATCTGTTGCATCATCAAGTGGTGTACTTGATGATGAGGTGCCAAACCCAATTTTTGCACCTCCTTCCCATTCATTGCTGAACATAGTGCACAACACGTATTGTAGAATCTTACACCCATGTCACTTACCTGAATTTAAGAGCTGACATTACTTTCAAGTTTTCATGCAGACTAGTATGCACATATGGAGGTTGAGATTTAGATATGAAAAAGCTGGCATGCATCATACCAGCTAGGGTATATTCCTACCTCACTATATATATATATATATATATATATATATATATATATATATATAGAGAGAGAGAGAGAGAGAGAGAGAGAGAGAGAGAGAGAGAGAGAGAGATTAAAAAAAAACATATAAGTGTGTTATGTGAGTGAAAAATATGTCTTTATCACCAGTGGATGAAAACTCCTTTTATTACTTTTGCCTCTTTTTTCCCCTTAGTATTCCTTGATTATGACCTTTAGTCAAGTATTTTTCAATTGTTCAATGCATGGCTGTAGTTCATTTTTAAAACATAAATCAATGTTTTTTCTTACTGTTATATTTCAAAAAATAAATTAGATATTATAATAATAAGAAACTTGATGGACAGCTTAAATTCTTGAAAGAATTCTTGGCCTAATTGTGCTCATAATAAGTTAAATTAGATTTTAGACCAATTCACTACTGTATGTTTAGTAGAATTAACATAGTAAAAAAACAAAGTGATCATGGATAATTATACTGATATGTAAAATCTATTTCCTGACTTTTTAAAAATAGTTTTACAGCTTATATTAAAAGTTTGTTCCTAGAAACTTGTTAACCAAGATATTTTATTTCAAGCCTCCCAAAACCCCAGGTTCTGGGAAAAAGATGTCAAAAGCTGAGAAAGAAAAACTCAAGAAGGAGGAAGAAGAGAGGAAAGCCAAAGAAGAGGGTGAGTAAGATATCTGTTATAGTTATTTAGTAGCCTATTTTATGGGCATCTCTCTCTTTCTCTTGCTCTCTCATTGTGTGTGTTTGTGTGTGCAGCACTCTGAAGAATTATTAAAATTTCATATTCTAACACATGGATAACCTGATGTTCTCTGTAGAAAAGTTAATGATTTTTATACCTTCAAATGGCAAATGTATGAAATTTATGAAGTATTTTAGAAAGCATATTGAACATCATAATGTGGATTTTTACAGCTCTGCCTGTTATTTTATTTATATTAGAGGAGGAAAGGATAAGAGCAGAAGAGGAAGCAGCTGCACAGAAGGAAAGAAATAAAGCAGAGGCTGCAGAGAAAAGGCGTTTAGAACAAGAGGTAGCCTTGATATTTTTATCTAAACAATTAGCATACATGCATGGATAATGACTTTTAGGAATAAAACACTTTTTCCACCTGCAATTTCCAAACTTAGAGTTTGTGCACTTATGTTAATGACTTATTACTATTATTGGATATTGTATATTGGAGTAAGTTGTCATTCAATTTAAATAAATTAATATAACATATGAAATATATCAGTCTATCTGTCAAGGTTATTTAAAGGGATAACAACTGTTCATTTTGGCCAAAAACTGGATTTTCCTGGGGTGAATGACAATTTTCCCAAACTTACCAATGGTTCATGAATCCATTCTATAATTCAATGTTAGTCCATTTTTTTTTATTTTAAGTTTGGGGTTTTGCAAACATCTCTAAAGAGATAATTACAAAGGGTAGCCATCAGTGGAGGTCATGTGGTCCTATAGCAAGCACAGATACCAGAATAATTGCAATAACTGCTGTATTGGTGGTAAAATAGAAGTTATTATATTTCTATGAGTTGTTTACAAGGTATTTATTGTGGAATGTGAGTAGAAAGAATAGGAAGAATAGTTAACCCTTTAATATCTAAAATATTCCAGGAAAGGGCCAGAAGAGCTACTCAATTGGAAGATTTGAACAACATTTTAGAAACAAACAAAGCCACACTTGATAACATAGAAAATGAAAGGAGGAAAAATGCAAAGGTAACGGCATGTTTAACATATTGATACCTCCCTCCCAAACATTTAATATGATAGTGTCACTACAGCATAATGTCATATTTTTTCAGATGACATGCATGTTGTTATTTGACCTTGTTGGACATTATGCATTTCTGTGATATAGGAAAAGTCAGTGCAATATGCAATATTTGAGTTGAAATACAAACACATCTTATGTTTTCCTGTTTTAGGTAATCTTTACTTTTTCAAGTGTTTGCTTAAGATGTTATGGTGTATGAACCAATCACTTATTTTTGGATGCAATAACTTTCAGTAATGTATAGTTTTCAATTTTCTCATCTTTGTAAAACTGTATAATTTAAACATTTTTGGGATGTCTCAGTGATTTTCCCTTGTTAATATTTATGACCACATTTGTAGTAATCTGTTTCCTCTTGAAGTAAAGTGGAATATACAGAAGGAACAAGAAGTTTTATTGAGGAAAATAGATGTGATGAAGGGGTAATGCTTTTTGGAATATGCAATCAATAAGCCATTCTCATTTCAAAAAAGCACCTAAATGGGAGGTTTCCTGTGATCTTGTCCATAGGTTTTTAGATTTTACAGTGTCTAAATATGCAAAAAACATATGTCCAAGGTTGACTTTTGTTATATGTAATAAACTGCTTGTATTTAACCCAGTATATCATTAAAAACCTCTTATCCAAATATACCATATATGCACTGGTTCATGGTTTCTTGTAGTGGCAACGCTACATGTTGTGTGATGGATCCCCAGACCCTACCATACCAGGAGAGATCAATACATACATGAACCTTTGGAAGGAAGACAGCACCAGAGTCCAGATTGAAGATGTTTTGGTGGATAGTAAACAAGTGCTTGCTGTACGAGTTTGATCATATGATTTATGACAAGAGATTAATGAATTTTTCAAAAGATGATTTATGATTTTAGTGAACTAATATATTTTGTACAGAACTTTAAATGGTCATAGCATGCTGAATGTTCAAATATTTTTCATCATTTCAATTAGTATGAGAGGTCATATATTTGGTAAGTTGATCAATAATGAAAAGATAGATTGCAAGAAAAATAAATAAATAGATACAAATTAAGGCTAATAAATTACTATCATTGAAACACTTTTCAGTTGATCAGTGAGCTGGAATTCTTGTTGGAAGACACTCCAGCTGAAAACATCATGGATCAAGAGGTCAATCAGTTTAAAGCGGTAAGCACAGTTTTCAGTGCAAACATTTAACATGTAACTTAATGCAGCAAGCATAAGCACAAAATTTAGACAAGAAAATTAGTTTTCTTTCAAATGATATTGTACAAAATATTTTTATGACTATTAATCCATTTAATAAGAACATGTATGAAATTATGTTTATGGGCATAATCAGCCTCACTGGTGATTTTTTTTTTTCTTTTTTTTTTGGCAAGCATGAATTATGCCCTTTTAATCAGACATGCTGAAACTGTCAGACATGCTGAAACTTGTCTGGACCGGTAAAAAATTGGACTTGGTCGGTCCAAAGGACCGACAAGAGTTTTAAGAACCGCAATTTTGAATTTACAGTTATCGTTCGACATACTTCACTAATAAAATTATATAAAACCCAAAGCATTTTTCCCTTCCATTTCAAACCTATCACATTCACAAACAAAGTAAGCTATCTAATCGTACTGGTAGTATCTGTCTGAAATGAATAGGGTGGTTTTTCGGTCCGACAAAAATCCATTTGGTCCAGCAAATTTTTCATTACTGCCAGCCCAAATGTCCGGCCATTCTGAAAAGTTTTCAGCATGTCTGTTTTTAATTCAGGGTTTTGAAACATGAAGTTTAACAGAGATATAAAGAGATACAAGGTATGATGCAAAGTTTCATGCATAGCATTTGTCACTGCAGACAATGTCAGCAATGCAAACACTACTTAAAGAGAAACTGGACCGTGCCTCCCATGAGTTACTACTGCGTGCCAGTGAGTTGGCTAATCCAGATACTAGCAACTTGGAGGCATGTTATGGGGATGATATGTGCACCTTGTGTGTTTGGGGAAACTTGAGCAAAAATCCAAGGTGGGTTATAAACATTTGGTGATTTTGTAATCATGTATGGAATTAGTAATAAGCACTTATCTCTTTTATCTATATTGAAGTCCAATGTTAGTTCCAAATAGTATTTTAATGAAACATGTATTACATTTTGTTTTATCTCTGTAATTTGAAGCATATTTAGTCTGTTATTGAACACATGATTTCTTTTTGCTTTTTGTTACTTGATGCAAGAACCTGTTTCAACTGACATTTATAATTTTAACTTTTTTGCTTAGATTTTATATTATTAATCATGCTTTGTATTTTTTTCTTTGTTTTTTACACACCTACTTGCTTAATTAGAATTTTACTTTTAATACTTTATAGAATAAAATCATTTGAGTTCAAAGAAAAAGGGTTCCAATTTGAACTTCCCAAAATCCTGACCTTGTCTGATTGTGCAGTGAGACTTCTCCATTCAAAATATGACCATTTGTCATATACCACAAGGTCTTATACGCCAAGGTTGAAAAAAACAGAAGGTACTTTCACTTTTGCTTCTAATGCTTTTTTCATATCTTATTAATTTTTCTCGACCTTCATATTATTTAATTTATACATAAAAATTTAATTAATGTTATTAATCATATCATCCTGATTTGTTCAATGATATGTCATATTCTAATTTCTGTTATTTGGAATATGTAAAAGTAAAGGTGTTTTTTTTACTTAAATTCCGATGTTTGTCATTGCATTTATTTTCTGTTAAAAATCTTTTGCATAAATATGTATAGAGCCTGAAGTAGAGGAAGCTCCTCCAGAGCAAGAAGAGGAGAAGGCTGAAGAGGGCGAAAAGCCTGAAGGAGAGGAAAAAGAGGAAGATGAAGAAGATATGGAAAGGGAAAAGACAGAGGTGAGTTTAGAAAAACAATGTAGTAGCTTACAGTGCTCAAGACAGTGTTAAAAAAAGGAAAAGCAAACAGTTAAATTTTTGTCTTCCTTGCACAGGTAATTTTCTTTCAAAACTTAAGCATATAAAAGATTACAGGTTACAAAATCAAACATATATTAGATTTGTTTTTTTCTACAGTTATCAGGAGACAAACATATTGAAATGTTGCTTTGAACATGTTTTTTAGGATCTAATGGCAGCTTTGAGAAGTGGTAATATTGATGGAGATGATGAAGAAGAAAAACAGGATGAAAAGAAAGATGATGAACCAGAGGAAGAAGAATTACCCCCAGAAGAAGATGCAAAAACACCTGGTATGGCAAATTCTGAGCCATTTAACATAAGCAAATGGCCATAGAAAATCAGCCACAAGTGTATTTTTAATTTAGATAAGTGCAAACATGCATTTAAGATTTCTGCAACCCCTGCATGATAAACAAGGAAGTAGATATCTACTTCCCTAGATTAAATGACATTGCTCTTGTATGTTGTTAAATAAAATTAAAAATATTATTCCTAGGTCAGTATATGAAGATGAACAAATGCTTTTAATATGTTAAATGTGCATCTTAATAAAAGAGTTGTACCACTCATGATTTCTTTCCACAGAGCCCCTTGTGTGGGAGGATTTTGATGATGAAGATGATGTTGTAGACTTGCGTGCTTACACACCTCTGGGTGGAGTTTTTAATTTTAACTTGTTACATCTTCCACCTCAACCTAAATCAGTCAAAGGCTGGATCATGACAACATGTGATTATCTTTATAAGTTGTTTTTTTAGATATTTAATATTTAAAAAAGAGTATTGTTATGAGGCAGATTTCTACAAGTATCTATACATGGTAAACTATAACAAGTAGGTTTATTGAGCTCATGAATTTTTCTGCATAAAAATCAACTTAGAATAAAAAAAACTTAGAAAGTTTACACTTGATACAAAACACATAAATAATTAGGTACATTTATGAAAATAATAAAATCGTGTCAGGATCATTTAGCTATAAGAGGGGATGTAGATCGTGCTGTACTGTACATTTTAGTGGTGGAACCAGTGTTAAATCCTATGGACTATGTGGCTGATAATGCCAGTGCTGTGCCCACACCAAACAAGGAGGAAGAAAATAAGGATAAGAAAGATGACCAGAAAGAGAAGAAGGAGGAAAAGCCACCTATTGCAATTTCAATGAGGTATGTTAGCAAGGAATTAAGAAATAATTCACTGCAAATAATCTTTTAATTAGAGTTTAGTAACCTTGACTGCATTTCCATAAACCCATCATATTAATTAGCTGGATGGATCTAACACTGCAGGGCTTCTTGCTAATTTAAGATCGCATTCACAACGAGTTGAGCCATGGCTTTACAAATCCTGGAACTAAATATGGCGGACGTACATGAAAGAAAAAATGCCTAATCTTTTAATAGTCTCTCCGCCTCTCACACGCCTCCCCATGCTTCGTCCCTGCGGGGGTACAGTCATTAAATCTCGGCTCCATTGGGATGACACATGGGAAAGTTTTTTTTGTTTTTTTTTGTATTTTTTATATTAAGAAATAAATCTAGTAATATTGTTTTCTTCAATCTGACTTCAGACTTCCACAAGATGTATACTTTTGTGAAGAGCCTCAAGTAGCTAGATGGGATGCTCCAACTAAAACATGGAGACTAGAAGGATTCAGTGACAATAACTATAATGAAGGCTAGTCATGCTTTTTGTGTAAATGATATTAAAGATGCATATTAATGAATACTTATGTTAAATCATTGCCACTAAACCCAACTTAATGCCAGCATAGGATTTGAAATAGCAATAGATAATATTTTTTATGATATAATAAATAAAGTAGTATAACTTGAAAAAAGAAAGAGACCCATTACTATATTATTACCTGTAAAATTATATTTGCACTGAGATTTTCTGCTTTTTTCTTTGCCTTATGAACTGGAAGGAAAAAGTAAGCCAAATTTATACAACCAGAAATTTGAAGAATTTCTTTCCTTTCAGAGACCAAAATGCTGACCTTCAAGACCAATTACTTCACCACATTTGGGTTGTTTCAAGACTCACATGTGAATATGCCGTTCCAGTCTTGGGAAATTCGGCCCAGGGGTATGAACAAAGCTCTGTTCACGTTGATAGCAGCTATAGTGGAGCTGGAGATTGAAATAGAGGTAATAGATGGCCATTGTTGTCTTGCAGGTATTACATGTAGGAGGCAGAGAAATTGTACAGAGTAACTGGTGACAGTGAACACAGTATGGCAAATTTTAAAAGTTTAACACTTATCACTGCATATGAAAGAAGTTGCTTTAACAAGGTTTTGTTTTTAAAACATAAAGAGAAATGAAAATGGACACCAGATAAAATAAAAGGTTTATAATGTCAGTAAAGTTTAATTTTTTTTATGTAAAGACACCATTTTGTCTTTAAACTTACATAACTGATGTCGTTGGCATCGGTGCCATGCATTTTCAGTGTTATACAAATTAAATGAAAATTGTTTTACCGTTTGTCTTCAAACTTATAGAACTGATGAATATTTAAAAAATACAGGTCAAACTTGAACATCACCCTGATTGAACCATTTTTAAAGATATACTGTTTTTTATGTCTCCTCCATCCCAGTGTACCACAAACTTTCATAGTCCCATTCATAACAAGAAAGAAGACAACAAAGACTATCGATTGTTCTTGATTTGGCCAAACAAGGATGCTTTTATTATATAACCTCATTATCCTAATCATTTTAACAATAACAACAATGTAGCAAATTGTTGTCTGTATTAAACGTTATGGCCTTAGGGATAAAAAAAATATATATATAATATTCAATAAAACTCATCATCCTAAATATTATGATGTGACGAGTCAGCAGAAGTTATTATTTACGAGCAATTTTGCACAAATTTCATTTGTGGGGTTGCAAAGATTTCCTTTTCTTTTTGTCAGCATATTTTATGCACCGTTATACAAATAAAATGAAAACTGTTTTACCTTTTATCTTCAGTTTTACAAATCTAATGAATTTTCATTAAATTCTTGTCGAGTTCTAAAAGCAGCCAGGTTGGACCATTTTTCCAAAGTTTTTTTTTTTTTTTTTTTTGCTTTCTTCAGCATATTTTATCCACCATTATACAAATAAAATGAAGTCCATTTTGTCTTTTGTCTTCAGACTTACAGAACTGATAAATATGTATGAAATACAAGTCAGGTTCAAAAATCAGCCTGATCGGACCATTTTTCCAAAAGTTAAGCTTTTTTTTTTCTTTTTTCAGCATATTTTAACCACCGGTATGCAAATAAAATGAAAACCATGACATATTTTGTTTTGAAACTTGCAGGACTGATTTAAAGGTCTGATACATAGATCAAATTAGCTTGATTGTTTTTTTTTTTTTTTTTGTTGTTGTTGAAGTTATAATCTCAGTATTGAACTTATCATGTTTGTAAAAGTGTTCTTTGACATATTTTGCATCTTAACAATTTAGCATATTGCTTATTTAAAAATGATGGTAAATCTGCCATTGTGTATTGTGCAATAAAGCATCAAAATGGAAATAAACTCACAAGTGCAGTTTGTCAGATTCAATCCTTCACTATACAGAATCTCAGAATGGAGCAAATTGGACATATAAAATGGTTTTATTGACATTTTTCCCATATTAACAATTTTTTAATTGATCATGTAAAAATGAAAGTTAATTGGTCATCCTGTATTATGTAGTAAGTGTTGAAAATGAAAATAAAACATTTCAGTACTTGGGTGCATATTGGCATTTTTAAGGTGTGACTTTGAATTTCCATGGGCCTGAAGACCTTTGCTAGTCACAATTTCCAGATATCTTTGTTACCTGCAGTGCATAATTTAAAACTGATGGTGATTATAAGCTGTAAAGCATTACGTAACATTGCATCAAAATGAATAAAAATTTTGTTTGCTGCCACTACATATGCTCTAAAAGGAAAACTGTATTACTTATCACTTTGTAACTTACAAGAATGATTGATATACAGCTTAAATTGGCAAACCAGCTTGAATGGATTTTTCTTTCTTGTTGTCTGTATATTTGACTTTGCTGCCTTGTTTATATTCTCATTTTGGCATATTTATCACACTGCATATATATATATATATATATATATATATATATATATATATATATATATATATATATATATTTTTTTTTTTTTACCAATGCTTAAGTCATCAGTATTTTAATGGCTTTTAAAATTTTTGTATCAGGAAATGTTATGCCATATTATTTCAAAATGGATAGTAGCTTTAAAATATTAAAACAAAAAACTTTGTCTTTATATATAAGTAAGTTTTTTATGTAATTGGAATAGCAGTTTATATGAACAAATGTATGCGTAAACATTAATAGTTAATGCCATTGAAATAAAAACATTTAGTGCCAATTTAAAATAAAAAATCAAGTCATGCAATCCACCATTTTCTTCACAGGAGGACAAGTGCTGCCTAGGGAAACCAGATGATAAACCAGAACTCCAACACTTGCTTAATAAATGGATGTCTCCTCAAGATTTGATTAAGGTAACAATTTTCTGATAATTTCTAAAGCAGTTGTCTTTAAAGAGGGACAAAATGGTGAAGTTACAGCGTAATACAGAACTGTTTTGTTCATTCAAAGACAAGCTTTTATTAACTGTAATATTCATTGTTTTGTAATTGTTTTATCAGGCTCTGAAGGCTGCTGGGATAAACATATTCCCAGCTGAAGATTCTTCCAAATATGTGAGCATTCAGAATAAGGTAAGCACTTAATATGATACATTTAAAAGGGTTCTTTGAGGCACCTTATGAATAAAACATTGGCTATAATATTTTTAAAGGAAAAGCTTATAATGTCAGCCCTGATTAGAAATATTCTAAGACATGAGGCAGCAGTAAAAACATCAGATTATACTGAGTAGAATGCACTGAAAATAATAATAAGGACTAGATGAAAGTTTAATTTCAGATCCTCAAGGTTTAACTCATAATTGACACATTTCGTTCTTTGCTCACAATTGCTTCTTAACTTTTACTTATTTATTTGCATACTCTGATCATGGTTCTCACAACTTGGTTTGTAACAAACATGAACCATAAGGTTCCAAACATCAGGCACTCTAGAACTTATACTGGTCATTTTTTCCAGTAAAATAGTTTGTCTGTTGTAGCAATGTTTTGCCTTAAGTAACCTAGTCCACTGTATTCACATTTTAGCATCCTGTGACAGAATCCAATCTGTATCAGCAGATGGCAATAACTGCATCATCTATGGCCTACTCTTGGTCTAAGTGGAATGCTGAAGTAGCAGACAGAGATAAGATAATCATCCAAGGGGCTGAGTGTATGAAAGATGAACCCCTGTTAGAGGCAAGTATTGCATCTAAAAATATTTTTATAAACAAATCAATTTTCCAGTTACTTTATTAATACCACATAATTTACAGTATGTATTAAAAACATTTATTTTATTGTAAACAAATTTTATTATTGTAATTTTAGGAGGACTGGGGACTGTTCATGGCTACTAAGAAGAGGACTATAAAACTGAAAATGTCCGAGTTTGATGAAGAGTTTTCAGATGACCATGCTGATGGCACAAATGTAAATTAATATTGCAGACCAAACCCAATTGGGAATTTTTGTTGTTCTTTTAACTTTGAATTCGTCAAATTTTCACTCAATTGTGGGAAAATAAAGAAAAAGCATGATGTAGCCTATGTTGAAAATTTTTAAAGCAATATTGTTTAGTTGTACAAGACTGCAACAGGGGGAGTTTGTATCACATTACTATGTCGCATTTTGTTTGGACGGAGAAAATCATGATTTTATGTTGTCGTTTCAGTACCACGCTGACTTGTATCATCTTGTGATGGAAGCACTGTCTGCTGAGGGTCAGCAGAAAATAAAAGACACCAACTATAAATTCTACAACACGGTCAGCACTATGCTTTCTGCTACGAAAGTACTGACTTATGCATAGGAAGAAACTAATGGAGGCTCAACAACAATGCAAGATATTTTGCTTTGAAAAACAGAGGTTGACATGAAATTAAACTTAAATTCATCTTCATTGTATATAGTTGTCTGCAATTTATAATTGCACACTGTGCCAGACTTTGTGATGCAGCCTACATTCCAACACCTTATGATTCATATTTCATCTCAAATTATAACCTTAATGTACACATCTATTTGTATCATAGTTTGATAAAAAGTATTTTAAAAGTTACAATTTTGTTATCACTTAGAAGTTTTTAACTAGTACCAATTTGGAATAATCATTTCGACACATTTGGGAGTTTAAGCATAGTTCCTCTCTTCCTTTCTGTACTACTTATCCAAACTACAGGTATCAGTATCATTCTATATATGAGACGTCAGTGATTCTTCTTTTAGCCATTACAGTATGAATTGCAACATGTTCTAAGAAAATCCCATAATAGGATTTTGTCAATTTTATGGTTAACACCACATTCATCACAATTTTCTATAATACATAAATTTCTTTGAATTTCAATTTTTGTGATATCGAGTTGGAAAAAAGTGAGACTGTAAACTAAGATAACTTTTTATTAATGAATTTTTTACATCGAGCATTATAAGAAATGCTAACAGGACAAATTAACGTCTAGTTTCAACTGTAAGCACTGCTTTTAAAATACTTCTTTTTAAGCAAATTGGGTACCGTCTACAAACTGTATGAAGTCTTTTAGCAAATTGCTGACCACATATGCATAAGTGGTTAAATTGTCAAACAAGAACTGGCTGAGGGGGTATTGGTTTAGCATAGTAAGACTGTTCTAATTCTGTATTAGTTACGTCGGCAGTATTTCGAAGGAAAATTGGTGCCAAGTCTATAATACTCTGCAGCTTCTTTCTACTGATGCCGCATTCCTCAAACCCTGGCAAGCCTGATGGTATGTCTGACAAATATTCCTGAAGACAGAAAATACAGATCCTAGAATGAGGTAGATGAAAACACTACCAAAATTTTTCCACATTAAGATTAAGCACTTTAACTTTATTTTGCAATTAAAATTCTAAGTACCTGCTACTACAGCTCAAAATTCTAATCACAGGTCTTACCGTGTTACTTTTGTCATGAAGAATAAGAGTTCCATCCTCCGACTTGTAGCCTCCAGAATAGTAACTATAAGGCAAAGACAAAAGGAAAGGGAATTAAATACTTGAGACTACTCATTAGAAATATAATAATATAAACCAGCAAAGCTGTCAAATGTGGAAAATAATACATAGAAAATAATAGGATTTTGTCAATTTTATGGTTAACACCACATTCATCACAATTTTTTATTAACTAGGCCTAAAAAAAGTATTGTTTCTTGTCAGGAAAAATTATGAAAGTGGTACAGTGGAGCATTTTTTTTCTCTTTTTTATTTCATTTTTTTTATTTAAAACTCTGGCACATATGGTTGGATTTGTAGGTTATATACATATATGTTTACGTCATTTTATCAGGAATATTGAAGGAACTTATTTTTACATAACCCTAACAGAATTAGGCTAATAATCATTATGAATGTATCAGCCTACATATCAAATAGTTTTTTTTTCAACACTACTTTAATTTTCTTCAACAGTATTATAGTAATTTGGAACTGTGCTTAACCAAAACAGATTCCACATACATATTACCTAGCTTAGTAACACTAGCTTTACTATCACCTAATCATTCATCAATGGGAGATAGATTCTTTAAGGTTCATGTACAAGATGTACATGGTAATTTAAATGATAATTTATGCAGCCGTATTCATCTATTTATATCCAACACATGCAATGTGCCAACAAGAAACTGATCTAGTGCTGGCTTCTATGCACTCTCCTTTTCCTACTTAATCAATTCCTTTTCTCTGACAAAAGGGGGATGTGCTTTGCAACCCCACAAAACAAAACTCAATTGTCTCATTTTGATAATTTGAAAAATATATTGTCTGTCCGTAAAAATGAAGCAACTGGCATGCACTGCACCTCAGGTCAGGATGATATGCCTCTGTTTAATCATGGAAATATCTCGTAGATGGAAAGGAAATGGGTGGAGATCTATTGTCCGATGTGTGTTAAGGGGCAAGACAAAGAGAACGCGTGTTGGGCCAAAGTGACGGTCAAGCTTGTCATGCTGGGCCCCGTAACTCAAAAGCACTGTGCATTGCAACCGAGCGCAAGCATCTCGATTCCATAACTCACCCAATATAATTGCCTCGAAATAAAAGGTGATATTGCTATTCACAATGTTTTTGAGTTACGAGGCCCTGGTATACGAAAACCTCCAGCTGCTCGGCAAAAACTTCATAAAAAAACTACCAAATTCTTATTGACAAGTTAACTCAAAATTTGGATAACAGACCACATTACACACACCATGATATTTGATGCAGATTTTTCAATGAATTGACTATGTAAAAGTTGGGTTTTCAACAATGACAGTCTACCAAACATACTTGGTTTACCTTAGACATGTATAAACAACAGTGTCCTCTCAGGCCAGTAATGCTCTCTCTCAGGTAGTGGATAAGAGCACAGATTACTTACATGCTTAATATATACAGTAGAAATTTAAAATATGCATAAAAAAGAAATCACAAGTTCTTTTTATTTTTACCAGAAGTGAAAATACAAACCAATGCCTGTAAATAGTTCTGTTGTCAATATTAGTGAAAACGTATTTGTTTGTTATAAGTATGCAAAATCAAAATAACAATGTAATTCATTAAGTGCTGTAAGGTTCATTCAGAACAGTGGACTCACTAGTCCAAGGGTCAAATATGGTCGACCCACCTGAATACTTCCCCATGTGGAATCTATTCAGTGTCTATTAGCAGATTAGACGGCAAGCTTTGTAGTAGGTTGCCACATTTGACCCTCAGACTAGTTAGTCCCCTATTCTGAATGGGGCCATAAGTACCAATATGTCAGTGGAGAGTAAATGCCGATGGGCAAGTACTAGTAAGGCTGTTCTCCTTGTCTCCTGCATGATGTAGACAGATATGTGAAATGACTTCTTTACATATCATCATATTTAACAGACCATCCCATGGGTTTGTATTCAATATCATGAATAGTGCTGACACAAAATGACAACTGCATATATAGTACATTTTTTTCAGTGATCAGGAATGAGAAGTATATATCTACTATACCTTTTTTTATCAGAATATCATATATGCGTAAATTGTTGGAGTATTATGGATATTATTTGAATCCTGTAACTCATTCATTTGCTAGTTCATGTAGCACTATTGTAGGATTTTCATGGAGATTTTAACTGTATAATACATGTGAGGATTAAAATGTCAGACAGCAGACCAAGTTGCAATGGATGAATATTTCAATTTAAAATTCAATGCAGTATCTATATGTGATAGCAGCAACCTGTCTAACGTAGCAGCAGAATACAGCAGCCTGTGTATAGTTGCAGCAGAAGCAGGATTACTGGTGACCTCAAAGTTCACATACTTCAATATCTCCATGAACTGTTACATCAGAAAGTATGGCATTTACTGGCATTTCATCCACCTGAATGATAAACTTTAGCCTAAAATGAAATGATTACTGGTGACCTCAAAGTTCACATACTTCAATATCTCCATGAACTGTTACATCAGAAAGTATGGCATTTACTGGCATTTCATCCACCTGAATGATAAACTTTAGCCTAAAATGAAATGATAGCTAGAGGATCAGAGATGCGATGAGTAAATGCATTTATATGGAAAAAAAAAAAGGGATACCACCTCCAGTGTCAATTTTGGCTTTGCAATCAAAAATGCAGTCAAGAACTCTCAATTTTTCTGTAGAAAATTACAATTTACAACAAAATTGTGGGGAAAAGTAAAAGGTCAAATCCAAGGTTGCAGTAAGATCCTAAATTTAGGATTTCCAATCCAAGTTCAATAGTAAATATAGGTGCCTGGAAATTTGTATAGGTGCAGTTCAGGGTGAAAAGTAGGTCAAAAGTCAATTTAAAGGTCACAATTAGATTGCTGGTATATGACTTCCTATTCAAGTTCAATAGTAACTATGGGCATTTCTCGGCCAGTTTTGGGGATACTAGGGCCAGAAAATTTGCAAAGTTAAGTTTATCATGAAAAGTAGGTCAAAGATCAATTTCAAGGTCACAGTTAGTTTGCCAGAATATGACCTTCTTTTCAAGTCAAATAGAACCTATGGGCAAATCTCTGATTGTGTCAGAGATATAAGTACCAGAAAATGTGCAAAGTTCAGTTCATGGTGAAAATAGGTCAATGGTCAATTTCAAGGCTACGGTTAGATTGCCAATATGTGACTTCCTATTCAAGTTCAATAGTAACTATGGGCTTATCTCTGCCAGTTTTGGAGATACAAGGGCTGGAAAACTGCAGTGTAGAACAATTTCATAAGCTATGTTATTGTAATAAGTCTTACCATCCAATATTTTGTCTGCTTGCAGTCAGACTTCATCAGAAGACCTAGAAGACATAAAAATCTTTGAAAGAGAGCCACGGGACCTACACCATAAAGTTCTTGAAGCAATCAGCATCTGCTTACATGGGACCAAGCTGAATCGGAATGATGAGACCGAGCTACTCAACCTCTACCTCTCACTCCTAACGGAGGGGCAGGCAAGAGGAGGGGGGGGTCTGGCCAAATAGCACACCAGAGGGGGTGATAGGTTGTCACACCTATCACAACCTCATTCCCTGATGAAGTCTGACTGTAAGCAGATGAAATATTGACTGGTAAGACCAGACATATATAAGTAGCTATAGACAAAAGAATCTTCACAAGTCTTTAAAAGTACAGTTCAGTTAAAAGTAGGTCAAAGGTCAAATTCAAGGTTACAGTTAGATTGCCAGTACATGACTACCTATTCAAGTTCTACAGAAACTTTTGGTGTATCTCTACTATTTTTGGATTATTTCACATTTTTGTTATCACCACTGAATTTCACAATGTTGTTTTTTTGATATAGTGTCACTATGAAACCATATGGAGAACAAAAAAACAAACACCACTTCCTAGTCCCTAGTTGCGAGTTGTAACCCCTCACTATAATTTGAGAGCTTAGGTTTGTGTAGTTTCTGAAAATTGGCACAAACAAGTATGTTTTTACAAAAATTTCCAATTTTTAGACAATTTTGGCACATTATGATTTGACCTTGAAATAAGGTCAAAGGTCAAATCCAATGGCATATTTGGAATCTCCACATATGACTTTCAAAGAACATCTCACCCAGGCCAATGCATCAACTGAAACAAAAAAAGGGGGGGTGGGGGTAGGGGTTAAAGTTGAGATTTTTTGTGACCTAAATCCAAGAGATGGTGACACAAGCCCTTGTGGTCTACAAGAAGAAGCGGTAACTGTGACTTGTTTCTGGCAACAGGCTCTAACAGGTTTCTGTATGATAAAATATGTAAACTTTACCTTACTCACAAACTGATGACATTTTCCATCTTGCATGCAATCTTGAATCTCAGCATAATGGATCATGATGTACTGGTAGGGTATAATTTCCAGTAGAAGTTGTACACATTTGTGTCCACGAAAAATCTGTGTCTATAAGGCAACTCGTGTCTTATGGTCAGGTATGCTATGCTTGACTATGGCTCGTCTCTGTTAAATCAGGTTCTTTTGTTATCAGCTATGTATTGATAAAGACCAATGATATTGCTCGAAAATGTCACATAGCCACCCCCACCCCTTTTCCTTTCCATCTACGATATAAGTCCATGGTTTAACACGACTTGCAAATCATTTGAATTAACTTCTTAATGCTTTGCAATACAGTGGGAACAAATATATTCAGTCTGAATCCTCGTATGATTCAAGCAATTATTCTGGTTAGATAACATTAATGCTTTATTTTTATTTTTGCTAGTACTGGACAAAGAACTCTCATGCAAGACACACATTTGTTATTTTTCAGCTATTTAATTACCCAGTAAAAGATCTTCTCCACAACAGGCCATGTTCAATTTTTAATGTGGTCCTCTGAATGTTGGAAATATACTCCACTAAATCATGAAGTAAGTATGCGTGAGGACTAAAATGAAGAAACAGTGAAAATTAATTTAAAAAAAAAAAAATGCAAGAGAACATTAATGTAAAGTAACATTCAATTAATGGGGAAGACCTTTCAAAATCAATGAAGAGAATGGAATGTAAGATACTTATGTGAAAAGCAAGTACCAGTTTTACCACTGATAAGTTATGTGTTAATGTTAATTCCTACATACCCATAAAACTCATATGTCTTTCCTCTAGCAGATTTGTCTCTCATTAAAACCTCTACAGCATCTAGCAGATCGCTCACCTGAAGCACATATGCAATATTAATGGAACTTAGAACTGCTATTTAAGCAAACTGCTATATGTACAGTCTTTAAAACTACCACAAATGACTGATTGGAGTTTCAACAATAGGGCTGCTGAGCCCTGGATATTTTTCTACCTTAACAAACAAAGTACTTTGATTCATATATGTTTAACTTTTTTATGATTTGGGAAACAAAATGATGACCCTTACAAAGAGGGGTCTCTTGATAGCCTCCAATCCTTTCTTCCACATATATACTGTATATGTACCCAAAACACATCTTCCTTTTCTGCCTATTATGATAAATAAATCACACATTTAATAACACAAAGATCATCTGGGTAGAAGTAATTATACATGACCAATTCTATAATTTTTACATACATGCTCCTAAAACATTAATCTTTATGATAATAACAGTATATCTGTCTTACAAGTTGACATTTTTTGCATCAATTTATATAATCACATTATATGTTATTGTGAAGTAGTGAATACATACCATTGGCAGAGTAGAAGTTTATAAAGTTATCACATATCCCAAACAATGTTGATGGTCTGACAATAACTGCATCAGGGAATTCATTTTGTACAGCTTGCTCCCCAAGATACTGATATAAAAGACATAAAAAGAAGTTATACAGAACTAGAGGATCAGAGAGGCAATACCGCCTCCGGGTATTGTATCACCAGCTGGAGTAAACGCATTCATATGGAAATAAAAAACTAGATGGTGTCAATGGGTAGCCATTGCATATCCCCGCACTTCCCCACATTATCAAGAGCAGCTCACCCCTAGGGACCACTTACCACATGTGCACATACACACACATGTACGCACACACATAACTGCTTCATCCAAAGGTATTTAAAAAATATAAATGTAAAACAGGGNAACAGAGCCTTATACAAAAGAATCTTCACAAGTCTTTAAAAGTACAGTTCAGTTAAAAGTAGGTCAAAGGTCAAATTCAAGGTTACAGTTAGATTGCCAGTACATGACTACCTATCATAGTTCTACAGAAACTTTTGGTGTATCTCTACTATTTTTGGATTATTTCACATTTTTGTTATCACCACTGAATATTACAGTGTTGTTTTTTTGATATAGTGTCACTCTGAAACCATATGGAGAACAAAAAAACAAACACCACTTCCTAGTCCCTAGTTGCGAGTTGTAACCCCTCACTATAATTTGAGAGCTTAGGTCTGTGTAGTTTCTGAAAATTGGCACAAACAAGTATGTTTTTACAAAAATTTCCAATTTTTTAGACAATTTTGGCACATTATGATTTGACCTTGAAATAAGGTCAAAGGTCAAATTCAATGGCATATTTGGAATCTCCACTTTCAAAGAACATCTCACCCAGGCCAATGCATCAACTGAAACAAAAAAAAGGGGGTGGGGGGGGGGGGTAGGGGTTAAAGTTGAGATTTTTTTGTGACCTAAATCCAAGAGATGGTGACACAAGCCCTTGTGGTCTACAAGAAGAAGCGGTAACTGTGACTTGTTTCTGGCAACAGGCTGTAACAGGTTTCTGTATGATAAAATATGTAAACTTTACCTTACTCACAAACTGATGACCTTTTCCACCTTGCATGCAATCTTGACTCTCAGCATAATGGATCATGATGTACTGGTAGGGTATAATTTCCAGTAGAAGTTGTACACATTTGTGTCCACGAAAAATCTGTGTCTATAAGGCAACTCGTGTCTTATGGTCAGGTATGCTATGCTTGGCTATGGCTCGTCTCTGTTAAATCACATGGCCTCAACAAATTTCAGGTTCTTTTGTTATCAGCTATGTATTGATAAAGACCAATGATATTGCTCGAAAATGTCACATAGCCACCCCCCACCTCACCCCTTTTCCTTTCCATCTACTATATAAGTCCATGGTTTAACACGACTTGCAAATCATTTGAATTAACTTCTTAATGCTTTGCAATACAGTGGGAACCAAATATATTCAATCTGAAACCTCGTATGATTCAAGCAATTATTCTGGTTAGATAACATTAATGCTTTATTTTTATTTTTGCTAGTACTGGACAAAGAACTCTCATGCAAGACATACATTTGTTATTTTTCAGCTATTTAATTACCCAGTAAAAGATCTTCTCCACAACAGGCCATGTTCGATTTTTAATGTGGTCCTCTGAATGTTGGAAATATACTCCACTAAATCATGAAGTAAGTATGCATGAGGACTAAAATGAAGAAACAGTGAAAATTAACAAAAAAAAAAAAAAATGCAAGAGAACATTAATGTAAAGTAACATTCAATTAATGGGGAAGACCTTTCAAAATCAATGAAGAGAATGAAATGTAAGATACTTATGTGAAAAGCAAGTACCAGTTTTACCACTGATAAGTTATGTGTTAATGTTAATTCCTACTTACCCATAAAACTCATATGTTTTTCCTCTAGCAGATTTGTCTCTCATTAAAACCTCTACAGCATCTAGCAGATCGCTCACCTGAAGCATATGCAATATTAATGGAACTTAGAACTGCTATTTAAGCAAACTGCTATATGTACAGTCTTTAAAACTACCACAAATGACTGATTGGAGTTTCAACAATAGGGCTGCTGAGCCCTGGATATTTTTCTACCTTAACAAACAAAGTACTTTGATTCATATATGTTTAACTTTTTTATGATTTGGGAAACAAAATGATGACCCTTACAAAGAGGGGTCTCTTGATAGCCTCCAATCCCTTCTTCCACATATATACTGTATATGTACCCAAAACACATCTTCCTTTTCTGCCTATGATGATAAATAAATCACACATTTAATTACACACAGATCATCTGGGTAGAAGTAATTATACATGACCAATTCTATAATTTTTACATACATGCTCCTAAAACATTAATCTTTATGATAATAACAGTATATCTGTCTTACAAGTTGACATTTTTTGCACCAATTTATATAATCACATTATATGTTATTGTGAAGAAGTGAATACATACCATTGGCAGAGTAGAAGTTTATAAAGTTATCACATATCCCAAACAATGTTGATGGTCTGACAATAACTGCATCAGGGAATTCATTTTGTACAGCTTGCTCCCCAAGATACTGATATAAAAGACATAAAAAGAAGTTATACAGAACTAGAGGATCAGAGAGGCAATACCGCCTCCGGGTATTGTATCACCAGCTGGAGTAAACGCATTCATATGGAAATAAAAAACTAGATGGTGTCAATGGGTAGCCATTGCATATCCCTGCACTTCCCCACATTATCAAGACCAGCTCACCCCTAGGGACCACTTACCACACGTGCACATACACACACATGTACGCACACACATCACTGCTTCATCCAAAGGTATTTAAAAAATATAAATGTAAAACAGGGCAGCAAAGCTGTCACATGTACAGACAAAAAGCAGAAAATAACATGCACAACATAGGCTACTGTCAATTCTGATGCAAAAGTAAATTATGCTTAACTGCAAATTCAACATCAAATTTTAATTATGCTCAACAGGTAATACCAATGTAATTAAAATGTGTAACAAGCATAAGGCTTCAGACCGATGGGAGTTCAAGTTCACACTTTGAAAATGCCAGAATAAGAAAAAATGAAAATTTCACACAAAATTGCATAAATTCAATAATAAATGATAACCAAATGGAGCTGGCTTTCTAATTTGAACTGCTTGCCAATCCTAAAAATCATACTTCAAAGTTAAAAATAATTATAAGTAACTCAGTTTTCTTTTCATAATGTTTGTAGTAGCAGTGCAAAAAGTTTTTTGTCAATTTTGATATAACATTACATAATAAATTACAGAATAATTATCACCAATTTTTGATTATTGACTATTAATAGCCTGGGCATGTAGAAAATTTGATTACCATTCGGCTTCATGTCCACGGGAGCTCCGAGTCCCACAATGAATACGCCAAAACGATAATAATGAATATTTCACTAAAATGTATAACTTCCAGAAAAAGAAGCCAATTAGACTGCTTTTCCAACTCAGGCTGCATTTTAGTCCTGTGTTTCTTTTTTGAAAGTTTGACAGTCATAAGAAACACGGTTTTCCCATAATGGTCATCATGGCAGCAGCACCAAAAATTGTGTTTTCCTCTATTTTGATGCAACATTACTTAATGACCATCAATTTTTAATAATAAAATAAATGTATCATGGATTTTAAGAAAATGTGACTAGCATGGGTCTTCAAGCCCGTGGAGGTTCTAAATCACACCTTGAAAATGCCAATATGTGAAAAATTAAATTTTTACAAAAAACTGTTGAACTGCCAGAAAAAATTACCAAACAGACTGCATTGCCTACTGAAGCTGTATTTTACTCCCATGTTTCTTTCCTGTAAGTTTGAGAACAGTAAGTGACATCATTTTCCTTAAATGGTCATCATGGGAGCAGTGCCCAAAATAGGGGTTTCTTCAAATTTTGATGCAATATTACATAATGTTTAACAGCATAATTACCATCAATTTTTAATAATAAAATATTAGTAACATAGACATTCAGAAAACATGACTAGCAAAGGTCTTCAGGCCCATGGAACTGCAAAGTCACACCTTGAAAATGCCTAAATGTAAACAAGACAGCACTGTTCTGAAATGGGTTTATTTCCATTTTTAACACTTTTTTTAACAAAAAACAAAATAGACAGTTCACTGACATTTTTATATGATCAACTAAGAAAATTGATGAGATTGGAAAAATATCAATAGAACAGTGTTAAATGTCCAGTTGCCTCCATTCTGAGATTCTGAACATAGTGGATGATTGAATCTGACAAACTGCAATGATACGAGTTTATTTCCATTTTTGACACTTTATTACACAATACAAGATAACAAGTTTACCATCATTTTTACATAATCAACTAACAATGTTGTAAAGATGCAGGAAATGTCAAACAAACACTTGTGCGTATCTTATTAGTTCAATAATGAAACTGTTAACATGCCTAAGAATTGAATCTGAGGAAATGTGAAAAACAGCATCACAGCATAACTTCTAAAATAATGGCCCGATTATGCTGATTTTCAAACTCAACCTGCGTTTTAGTAAGATTGACCACTCCTGTGAGTATAGTGACAATTGGCCAATCTGTTTTTCTTATATTGTGTTATCAGTGTTGAATATATGCTGAAAAAAAGTGAAAAAACAGCATAAATTCCCTAAAAATGACCCCATCATGCTGATTTTTTAACTTGACCTGCGTATTATGAATATTCATCAGTTCTGTAAGTTTCAAGCCAAAAGGTAAAATGGCTTTCCACTTATTGTGTTATCGGTAAAAGTGTACGGCGAAGGCAACGACAGCGATGGCAACGACAGACGCAGATGACGGCTATATGTACAGACACATCTGTGTCTGTACATAAAAATCTTTATAAATATAAAAATACATGAATGTACACTGGTACATATATTTATACGCTAAGAAACAGAAAAGAGAACAGAAAAGTATAAAAGTATAAAAAAAAAAATAGGAGATAGCAGAAATTACAATGTCATAAGAATTTAGAATCAACCACCCCCCGGGGACAGCCCAACACCCCGTGGCACTAAAATTCCAAAGTGCCCATGCACATCCCTGAAGATGGGTCTACCAATTCCCAAAGTTTCAACTTCCTACCTGCAATGGTCTAGGAGCAGATAGCAGAAATTACAATGCCATAAGAATTTAGAATCAACCACCTCCCAGGGTACAGCCCAACCCTCTGTTGCACTAAAATTCTTAAGTGCCCATGCACCTGCCTGATGATGGGTATACAAATCACTAAAGTTTCAACTTCCTAACTCTAATGGTCCAGGGCAGATGGCAGAAATTGTCACAAGAAATTTGGATCAACCATCTCCAGGGACAGCCCAACCTCCTGTTGCACTAAAATTCCAATGTGCCCATGCACATCCCTGATTATGGGTCTACCAATTCCCAAAGTTTCAACTTCCTACATGCAATGGTCTAGGAGGAGATTTAAGCCCAACCTCCTGTTGCACTAAAATTCCAATGTGCCCATGCACATCCCTGATTATGGGTCTACCAATTCCCAAAGTTTCAACTTCCTACATGCAATGGTCTAGGAGGAGATAGCGGAAATTACTAACACGGACGCACAGACGGGCAGGATAACATGATCTTTTGTCCCAAAGGGCGGGGAAAAAAAAAAGGGGGGGGGGGGGACACCACTTCCAGTGTTGTGCTTGACAAGCTCTACAAAATGCAGTAAACAAGAGTTCTAAATTTTTTTTTCAAAAATTGCCGTTTAAAACAAAATCATGGGGAAAATAAAGTTTAAATCCAAATATGTGAAGTGGGTTCATGGTGCAAAGTAGGTCAAAGGTCAATTTCAAGATCACTGATTGCCAGTATATGACTTCCTATTCAAGTTATTAGTAATTACAGGCCTATCTCTGCAAATTTTGGAAATATAAGGGATAGAAAAGTTGCAAAATTCAGTTCATAGTGAAAAGTAGGTTAGAGGTCAATTTTAAGGTCACAGATTTTCAGTATATGACTTCCTATTCAAGTTCAATAGTAACTATGGGCATATCTCTGCCAGTTTTGGAGAAATAAGGGATGGAAACATTGCAAAGTTCAGTTCATAGCGAAAAGTAGGTCAAAGGTCAATTTCAAGGTCACAGTTAAATTGCCAGTATATATCTTCCTGTTCAAGTTCAATAGTAACTAGACTGCAACTGGCCAAAGCCAGTATATATCTTCCTGTTCAAGTTCAATAGTAACTAGACTGCAACTGGCTAAAGCCAGTGGCGGAGGATTCCCCTGCAAAATAGGCGTGGAAATGCTCTTACAAGGTCATGTGAAGGTCAGGGGTTAAATTTGACCCCATATTCTAAAAAGGCATGTGCGAATTGGGAGGGGGGGTCAACAAAACATCACTTTTAGCCCACTTCAATATTTCTCTATGAAATAGCCGATAGACCTTGAAAATGAGGGTCAAGGTCAAATGTGACATTTGATTTGGGGGTGTTGGGTATATGTTTGGGGTAGTTTACTATGGCATGTTATCACAAAAAATTACGATTGCATGGAGAAATTGACAAAGTCACTATTTCTGTGAAATTATTAATATTCAAAAATCTATATTAAAAAATCTAATTAATCAATAGTCAATATTATTAGTGACTGCATTGGATAGATATCTAGGGCAACTTTTTACATCATCCTTGTGGCTCTATGACATCTGGTTTACCCCCTGCCGAGTGTCAACTACTTAGAGCATATTTTGCAATAAGTTGACCTTGACCTGACCTACTTTTCCTAAAATTGGGTCATTGTGTGATCTCACCTAAGTAAGGATTTGTCAAAACGTTGAAAATTCTAGGAGATATTGCATTTTGAAATTTGCAAAATTTTCAGTTTAAAAGGCTCTGTGACCTTGAAAATTAGGTCAAGGTAAAAAAAAATTGGGTGGACCGGAATAACTTTTCATAGGCTATCAGTATGAATTTTTTCAGAATTTTAGAAAGAAATTTTTTGACGAAAAATAATAATAATAAAAAGAAGAAGAAGAAGAAGAAGAACAGGAAAAACAATAGTATTCCCCTATGGGGAATCCTAACTATGGGCCTTTCTTTGCCAGTTTTGAAGGTATAAAGGATAAAAAGTTCAGTTCACAGTGAACAGTAGGTCAAAGGTCAATTTCAAGGTCACAGTTAAATTGCCAGTATATGGCTTCCTGTTCAAGTTCAATGGTAACTATGGGCCTATCTCTGCCAGTTTTGGAGATTTAAGAGACTAAAATGTTGCATCTGTGGTGAAAAGTAGGTCAAAGGTCAATTTCAAGGTCACAGTTAGGTTGCCAGAAGTTCCATTGCAACTACGGTAATATGCCAAACAATTCGACCAAGATTAATTAATTAATTTCATGGAAATGTCAGTTTGGTCGAATTGATTAAAATACAGTAAATGGAAATCTTTGATATCGTCAGATTGTTAGGGGCATCTGCCAAAGCGTCCATCTTATTGGAAGTATTGCACTTTACCGGAAGTGTAACGCAAGTTAAGCCGCAATTTTCACCTAACACGTGTTTCAAGCAAGTTTTATCCTCCTTTAGAAATTTTATTTTGCTGTGTACAATATGTGCTAACATAACTTGAGATTCAAACAGATGACAGTTCATAATTTCTATCTATTTATTTCCCTCACCGACGATCACTTTCATGACGCGCTTCACAAGTGGGGCGTATTTCCCCAGAGACAGGTGTTATAAACAATGCCCGGTCACATATATTTGAAACCGGTAGCTTTAGTGGACTTAAACCAGTTATGTGATCTACGTACGCCCTATTTGAAATTTAATATGTCAACTGAAATCAACCAAATTGAGATATTTTTTTACCAGTCTGAGATCAGTTGTTTTCAACTTGCAAGGCTTGTTCGGCGTAGATGTATGCATTTCCGAAGAAAATTCAATCGCCCCTATCAAAAAAATACCAAGTTGTACTCAAACGGAATTCAGTGTAACTTTAAATTACTTTTCAGTATTTAATTTAAAAACCATGTCATATTAAAACATTGAGAAAAGGCAATCTACGGAGCCTACCTGTGCCGATAGACATATCTTGTTGGCACTCTTCTGATTTTCTTACATATATACACTAGCTGTGCACAAGCCACAGTGCATATTGAAAACCCCACTGATACAATCCGAACGTAAAATAAGCATTTAATTGCCATGATTTACACAAAACAGATGCATTTATAATTGGACGTGAGAATTGAGCAAACGCAGAAATGAAAGACTGGTCTTATCTGGTCTGGTCCAGCACACCTATCGCAAACCACATGTTAATGAAGACGGTCCCATTGTGGGGGAGGGGGGTCACAGGAATGGAGTTCTTCACAGATTATGCTAAATAATATCAACGTTTCATGCATCTGGGGGTAAAAAGTGACTCACAGGTAACGTAAATACCCAGTGGAACTCTCTGTGAAGCTCCAATTTTCACCGTCATATAAGTTACTGTTTTTTTTTCTAATAACGAAGACGTCATTTTTATTGTTGACAAAACAGTTATCCATGTCGGTGAATAGCTACACGGGTTCGTCAGATTTTGACAGAGCGTGGTATTTGGCGCCAAGAAGTCTAGGCGGTCGATCTCACTGATCTTTCAGTCGACTGTAGTAAATGTAGAATATCGCGGCATTGACTTCAAGAACGTTTCCCCTGCATATATATTTCAATCAAACTTGAAAACAAATTGCTTATTATTCCCAAAAATTTTATTGCTAGCATACGCTATGTATGGTCCATATAAAGATGTTTACTACATATCCTACCCACTGTCGACATTTGGTTTCATCCAGAACAGACATCCCCCCCCCCTCCCCCCCAGTTACGGGCGTGACAAATCAGTCAGCGAGGGCAAGTCTGCTAAATTAGCACAAATTGTATGTCTATAAGCACTATTATTGTCATCGGGGACAAAGGAAATGACAGGTACGTCTCGCTTCCAGATTAGATCTTCAATTAATTGTTTCTTCCTCATTGACAAAAGCTTTTGAAAGGACAACAATTGACAAAGGGCCGAGACATGCAGCATCTATTTCACTGGCTTGAAAATCTACCGAGTCTTGCCGATGATGTGGTCAAACATTCGGAACAAAAAAAAATTCTGTCGCATGATTTTGACGTATGGACTAAATGTTTGACCCCGAGAAAAATTAATTTTATAATATAATTTTTTTCGTCGGATTGACTGGGCCCGTCGAAATGCTTGGCACATTACCGTATTGTCCTAACTCAGCCTGTTTTGGAGAGACTAAAATGGGTGTACCTTTGCTAATTTTGGAGTAATGTGCCATGAATTCCGTACAGAAGAAATAAGGAAAAGATCATTTTGGTTGAAATTCATGAAATGGGAGGTGCTCAAAAATTCCAGATGTTCAATTTTCATGAAAATCTGTCAATATGACTAGAAGTTGCCTGTCCCTCACCAAGCCTTATGTAGCACAGGTCTCAAACTACTGCGCATGCGCAAAAAGTGTGCTGTTTGAAATAAACAAATGGTGAAATTGACAAAGCCTGTCAGTGTTTACCATCTAGATGATTTGATTTAATTTGCTTTCTGGTGTTGTTTTGAGAAATTATATTAGAAATATTCCGTTGATTGTATGTTTTAAAAAGCAAATCCATCGGACTTTCCTTTTTTTTAAATTCATTTTGCCATCATTGTAAGGGGGATTGCCTTCCCATTTATAGTGTTATATGTGGCCCCAAGGGGATTTTCCACCCCTCCCCCACTCTTGATTAATAAAATTCTTCATCAGGCATGATTGAAAATTATATTGCAAAATACAAAGCTCTGCTCTGAGGATATTCTAGTCTGGGGCAAACTCGGCCAATATCAAAATTTTAACTTCGTCTTACGATTTTGGAGCACGTGTTCTAATTTTTGAAAGCGAGGCAATGGAAGCAAGCAATACGATACAATTTGTAATCTCATAAAAATGGATATTTTTTAACAGAGGTTATAGCTGGGTGTACATCAAAAGGCGACTCGTTTATTATTGTGATATGTAATAATAATTAATATAAAAGATACGATATAAAAAGTTTTTGTCGACGGCCTATTTATTAGCTTTATTGATTTTTTTAAGTATTTGGAGATTAAAAACACAAAAGTTGTATGGTTTCAAATCGAGGCACCACGTATTGTTTGTGTGCTGCCTTATGTTATCTTTTCCAGATGTTCAAAATTTTTTACATATTACCGTATTGCACATTTTATTTTCACCACTAAGTTGTACTTTTTTATTTAGCGCAACTTATAAACTGTATGGAAAACAGAAAACAGACACCACCTCCAGTATTGCACTTGACAACCTCTACAAAATGCAAAAAACAAGAGGTCTCTAGCATTAACGACTCCAGAATAAGAGAGTCTTCAGTTTTGGCATCTAATGGCCGCTACTCCCGTGAAAATGCACCGATTGACCCTAGGGTAATACCTCCCCATAATATTATAGGTCTGTGTAGTTTCTGAAAATCCACAGAAATAAAAATTTATTTGCAAAAAATTCCCACTTTTATAAATTTTGGCCTGTTCGACTTTGAAATAAAGGTCAAAGGTCAAATCCAAGGGCACAATTGAAATCTCCACATATGTCTTTCAGTCAGCCATCTGTAGAAATTTTTTCCATAACTCCTTCGGTTTGGGAGATATTTACAGACATGCTGAAAATTGCCGGCCGCCGGCCCTTGACCCACCAATCAGGGAGTCGGGCCAACAATATTCTTAAAATTTTAGTGAATGTCGGCCCAAATTGGCCGGCAATAATTTCTGACTCACCTAGTGAAACTTTCTAACAAAATATTTTATTTCTCAAACTTTGTAATCTTATCCGAAATAAAAAAAAATTAAAGAAGCCATTATCATTCTTCACTCACTAAAAAACGATGGGGGCAGCCATTTTCAATAGGAACGCAGTATATAGTAGGCACACAGCATTTACTATCTGCCAGCTGATTGGTCATAATTGATGCACACAAAACACGTGGCGTGTGATTTGTGTGAGGATGATTAGTGAATTTTCTTTTATCTGCATTCTCATTTTCTGAACATTTGTATAAGCTACGAAATATTTCTCATCCGAAAATCACCCAGCAGCTTTCCAAGTACAAGTGAGTGACGTCACGATGCACTTCCGGTTTTCGTCGAGATCTAGAAAGAATTAGCGTTACGGCTTGCTGAACATTTAAAGCGTTTCATCTCAAAATATACGCAACCGCTTGGATTGAAATTTACAACACTTATTCTTCACATAATATCACACCTATGTGTGTAATTTGAGAGCTTTAGCTACCATAAGTTTTCTACAGTGCCCATTCAAATTTGAAAAAGAGCTATTTTCCATTGATTTCTTGAAGCCATGAAGGGCAAGTCTATGATTTCTTAAAAAAGTAATAAACTTATTCCTCAACCATAAGAGTTTGGTAAATACCATAATTTGTTTGAAAATACAATTTACTGTTAAGCTCTATTTACCTAATGCAAGTTAAAGTCATGTGTAGCTTGGGATAATTTGACACTTTGTCTAAAGCTGCTGTAAGAAACTCAAAAATTGGAAAAGTGCTCTTGGGTAGTTTAGGTGGATGATTTAGCTCAATTAAGGCCTGGTTTAAGGTTAGTCCAGGAAAACTGCAGTTTACCTATGGGAAATTTGTTTTCTGTGAGTTTTGATGCCTTTTTGGCCTTTAGTTTACCTTTAGGTCATATTACCCAGATGTTATCTGAGCAGTAAAATGTCTCTTCAATAAAAGATCTATTCAAACATTCAGTTATTTGATTTTTAATCACCTAATTGCTACTCAACTGCCCTTTTTAAGTGTATAAAGCAGAAGTTAAAAGTGCACAATTTTTACGTGAAATAGGGTAAATATACAAATTAATACAAAAAACATTCGGGCAATATCTTGTCCAGGCCTGCAATATTCAGATCTAAGCAGGCCAATTGGCCTGCATTGCCCTCAGTTTTCAGCATGTCTGTATTTAGCATTGAATTTTCAAAAATTTAACAAGGGTGGGTTTCAACGAGCGTCACGCCCAGGCCAATGCACCGACTGAGACAAAAAACCAGGGTGTTCAAATTGAGATTATATGTGACCTAAATCCAAGAGATGGGGACACAGGTCCTTGCGGTCTAGGAGAAGCGGTAACAGTAACTTGTATCCCATGCCATCCTGCGGAGCTGCACGAGCCGGTGGAGCTGTACGAAACAGGTCAAGACTAAAACCAAGAGTACCACCAGCTTACACACTAGTGGTGCTAATCATTGGATCATGCTCACTTTGAAATGAGACTAGAAATTCAGGACCAAAATTTTATCTTAATAAATAGTTTAAAGCACAATGGCACCATTGCTTTACAGTTGCAGCAACAACAAGTGTGCATGGATCCCTCTCTGGACCCGACTGCAATGATGTAAACAAACTGAACTGATGGGAATATGTACAGACACAACTTATTACATACAGCTGTTGGTATAATAAACATGAGAGCAAACAAACATAATAATTAGGGAATTGTATGAAAAAACCATTACCTAATTCTTACCTTTGTAATCAAGAAATCCGACTTCCCAAGTATGATATTTTTCTTTGCATACTCCTCTGCTTCCTCCTTTGTCCATGGTGTGGGTGGATCAAGTGTGGCTCCCATTGCAGAGAAGTGAACCATGGTCTTGATACCTGCCTGGCGAGCAGCACTGGCAATCAACCGAGGTGTCACAACATGCGCATCATGCAGGTTATAATTCCTAGAATATGTCAACATTATACACATTGAGGCTAGAAAGATCTACTGTTAACTGTGACTACATACGACGTTCAATATTCTCATTTGCCTATAAGGCCCAGAATCACATATGTGTATCTCAGAAAAATTGGCATTTTGTCGTCTTGTGAGTGGTGATATCTAAGTAAGTTTTCAGTGTTTTATTTTTCCAATTTTGGAGAAAGTTTGATGATGTTTGAGTTGTAAATGACAATCTAGATATTTTTAATGACAATCTAGTTATTATCATAACTTTTTAAAATTATTTTTGGGTTTAAGGATTGGGGGGGGGGGGGGCTGGAGGGGCTTGGTATTGTAAAAGGAAACATATCCTTACCTATCTGGCACTTCTTGTCCAATTAGATTTACTACCATATTAGAGTACTTCATGCAGCGGTATATTGATTCTTCATCCATTGGATCATATGGCTGTAGTAATACAAAAAATTTTCAACAACAGTTATCATCATTCCATTGAAACAGTCTAAAATCTACATTTCACTATACTCAATCATAACTGCAATATGCAGCACAAAAGAAATTAAAGGTATACTATCTTCATTTGAAAATGCCCCAAAGTAGTATTTTCTGATATACATATCATGCAAAGCTGCTCATCTTTCCCTTTCAAACCTAGAGATGATAAAACTCTGAATGAAAGTATCTGACATTAGCATTTCTTTTCAAAATGTACCGTTGTACCATGAAAATTCTACTCCCCTAAAAGGTTACTCCCTAGTAAGATTTTCATTATGAAAATCTGACTTCCCAGTCAAAATTTCATGATGAAATTTAGACTTCCCCCACAAAACTTCATAAAATCTTATTTTATTTGAGTGTATGAATTTAATCTTGTAGTATGCATAATGGTGCAGGTGAAAATTTTCATGTGAAAATAAAAAAATTTAAAAAGGTGTATTTTACCACCCAATGCCTCCCCTATGAAAAAGCTACTTATTTGCATTTTGGTGATCATTTCAACATCTTTTCTTTTAATATACTTTATGGGTGCTTTACCAGAGATTTAGATCGATCTAAAGATTAAGATTTAGATCGACCTAACTCCCTGGGGGTTCACGCTTAATTGCAGTCAGCTGAGCAGGCACCATAGTTAACTAGAGGATCAGAGAGGCGATGCCACCTCCGAATATTGTACCACCAGCTGGAGTAAGCGCAATCATATAGACCCCCCCCACACACNTGAAATGATATATAGTTTAACATCCGGGTATGTTTCTTGTCTCTCATTGCCACCATTTTTAAAGGCGATAGAAATATGGGACCTGCGAAGGGATACTGTTATTGAAATGATTGAAAATCTGGACTTTGAAGAGAAGTTTTCGTGTGACAGTAACATAGACAGTGGCGTTGATATTCATTTATTTATGATATAAAGGACGATAGAAATATATATGAGCGAGAAATCGGCGATTTTCTAGACCTAGCTGGTGAAAGTAAAATCAAAATGGCGACTTCTCACTACGGAAGGGGCCTGCGAATGAATACTGATATTGAAATGATTGAAAACTACGACACTGATAAGGTGTTTTCGAGTGACAGTGATATAGACAGTGGGGATGATATTCCTTCATTCATGATATAAGTTTTAAAGATGTTTTTGTCATAGATGGTGTAAAAATTTGACTTCTATTCAGCTCTGGCCACGATGTTCAGGTGAGCTGAAAAGCTGGTATACCTGATAGCAAAACGATCATAACTTGAAAATTGATAGAGATAAATTGCTGAAATTTCCTAGATTGAAAGTTACTATAATTGACATCATCCCTGTTAATTTTCAGGCAAATTTATGTAGAAATAAAAAATTGGAGTGCATAAGATAAATCAACTTTGTTTTATTTTACCCATTACCAAATGAAAATGTAGTTTTTAACCGGCTATAACTTTTGATACTGCATGTTAAATTAAAATGTAATTCTATTTTCATTTAGCTTGAAATATTGGCTTTTTAAAAATGTATACTTTGTATGGGTAATAAAGGCAAACAAATAAATTATGACCAATTTACTGAGGTGACCCGGATTTTCAAGGCTAGCTCACAGAATTAATTGGGCACAGCAGAGCTTTATGGGTCAGCATTAACTGGATCCTATGGGGTTAAGGCCTGGTTTAAGGTTAGTCCAGGAAAACTGCAGTTTACCTATGGGAAATTTGTTTTCTGTGAGTTTTGATGCCTTTTTGGCCTTTAGTTTACCTTTAGGTCATATTACCCAGATGTTATCTGAGCAGTAAAATGTCTCTTCAATAAAAGATCTATTCAAACATTCAGTTATTTGATTTTTAATCACCTAATTGCTACTCAACTGCCCTTTTTAAGTGTATAAAGCAGAAGTTAAAAGTGCACAATTTTTACGTGAAATAGGGTAAATATACAAATTAATACAAAAAACATTCGGGCAATATCTTGTCCAGGCCTGCAATATTCAGATCTAAGCAGGCCAATTGGCCTGCATTGCCCTCAGTTTTCAGCATGTCTGTATTTAGCATTGAATTTTCAAAAATTTAACAAGGGTGGGTTTCAACGAGCGTCGCGCCCAGGCCAATGCACCGACTGAGACAAAAAACCAGGGTGTTCAAATTGAGATTATATGTGACCTAAATCCAAGAGATGGGGACACAGGTCCTTGCGGTCTAGGAGAAGCGGTAACAGTAACTTGTATCCCATGCCATCCTGCGGAGCTGCACGAGCCGGTGGAGCTGTATGAAACAGGTCAAGACTAAAACCAAGAGTACCACCAGCTTACACACTAGTGGTGCTAATCATTGGATCATGCTCACTTTGAAATGAGACTAGAAATTCAGGACCAAAATTTTATCTTAATAAATAGTTTAAAGCACAATGGCACCATTGCTTTACAGTTGCAGCAACAACAAGTGTGCATGGATCCCTCTCTGGACCCGACTGCAATGATGTAAACAAACTGAACTGATGGGAATATGTACAGACACAACTTATTACATACAGCTGTTGGTATAATAAACATGAGTGCAAACAAACATAATAATTAAGGGAATTGTATGAAAAAACCATTACCTAATTCTTACCTTTGTAATCAAGAAATCAGACTTCCCAAGTATGATATTTTTCTTTGCATACTCCTCTGCTTCCTCCTTTGTCCATGGTGTGGGTGGATCAAGTGTGGCTCCCATTGCAGAGAAGTGAACCATGGTCTTGATACCTGCCTGGCGAGCAGCACTGGCAATCAACCGAGGTGTCACAACATGCGCATCATGCAGGTTATAATTCCTAGAATATGTCAACATTATACACATTGAGGCTAGAAAGATCTACTGTTAACTGTGACTACATACGACGTTCAATATTCTCATTTGCCTATAAGGCCCAGGGGCCGTATTCTCAAAACTTTGTAACTTACAACAATTTGTAACTATTTACGTGAATTTGTATCTTTGACTTACACGGTATTCTCGAAACTCTTGTAAGTCGTCGACTTACAAACTCTTGTAACTTTTCACGTAACTTTCCGGAAGTGATNTCTATTTTCATTTAGCCTGAAATATTGGCTTTTTAAAAATGTATACTTTGTATGGGTAATAAAGGCAAACAAATAAATTATGACCAATTTACTGAGGTGACCCGGCTTTTCAAGGCTAGCTCACAGAATTAATTGGGCACAGCAGAGCTTTATGGGTCAGCATTAACTGGATCCTATGGGGTTAAAAAATTAAATCGAGCAAAAATTTGAAAATTTTGAAAATTGCTGTACACGTTACACAGTCGACGATCATTGTAAAGACACGAGCGTGCGTCGTGCGCACGCCTTTTATACACCAGGCGTGGGGTGACGCACTTGCGTCGCATTCCCGGTGTGCTCTCGACTTTGTTCGTTAGTTGTAAGGGCGTGCGCCTTTCTCACCACGCAAAGGGCACTTGCTCTGAATTTCAAGGCATCTGCTTTTTCCCCAATGACACAACTACGTGCTTTGAACATTAAGTTGTAACTATATTCCATTAGCTAGGACTTGCGGGAGATATGCTGGCAATAGCAACGTAGTAGTGTTTTGCCGCAGTCACCAATCTTTACGCCCAAACGTCGGCGGGCTTGGCAACGAAGGCGGGGCTTAGTCCGGCCCGCAGCGCCGATGTGTGGAATATAATCAATAAGGTACATGAATGTCCGGAAAATGACCATGATGCTATTCCATTATTGCAAGTGTGAAATATGGGGAGTGTTATGAATTTCAAAGGTCCCAAAGTAATAAAGTTTTGGTGGATTAACTTCGTTTTCCTTGCTAATATCCGAGAATGTGGTCATTTAGACTGGACCGTTTTTTTCCCTATCAATGTTGTGAGTTGGCCAACGAATACCACAAGTCAAATAGATGTCTACTCTCTTGTGACCTTGACCGTTAAAATCATAGGAAAGCTAGGAGTGTATGAGCGACTACAGCTGAGCAACCAAGCTCAGTTCCTTCAAAAACACCAAGATCAAATTAGCCTTATACCAACAATATAAGCCTTCCCGTTGGTTTGTATAAATTGTGCCGAAAGGACAAATAATTGTTTTTTACTGATGACTAACGATGATTTGGCACATTTAGTGTGGTTATTATTTATTAATTTTTACTTCTTATAGCAAAATCTATAAACAGAAATTACATTCGCGAAAATGAAAAAGGTTCGAAGCGAAATTGAGGGACACCATATAGACCAATAATGGAAAACACTCAAAAACGCATTTTCTGTTAAATTTACACATCACTTTATTTAGCAAAAGACCAATATTGATTGTTAATTATACAGTGAATAACCGAACTTAACAAGCTTATTTTCGCTACTCAGAGTCCATAAATGGATCACCCTGTCGTTGAATCTCGCAATGAAGAATTTTACCCATATTTCGTGTATACTGTTGTAAATGGCACCAGATTACGGTTGATCAACACGATCGTTTACTATCTATAAGAGACCAGCTGGTGTTGACGGCATTTCTAAAATCACATGCAAAATTTCTTCTTCAGAATGTGCACGGGGGCAATTGTGTTAATATTTAGAGAATATTCTTCCTCTGGTCCTGCTTGGTATTTTGGTGTCCCTGTCAAAATGGTTCTGAACGGTGTTTCATTTTGCTTAGCAGTTTTCAGGAAATTAGACATCGGAATCGTACCTATTTAAGTTTGACACACCCCAAGGCATATTTAGACAGGGCACGGTAGATATCTGGGCAATGGAGCACAGAGATGTAAATTGCTAAGTTTACGGTTCATTTTGCACAATAAAATACGCCAATCGACAACAAGACGTCATTCTAACGGTATGGTTGACAGAACAGAATTTATCTCAGCAGTCAAATCCCGGGGACAATAACTGTCAGGGATAATCAGAAGCTATGATGCCGCTGCTTAGAGAATTCAAGTAAATACCCACATGGAAGATTAGACTTGTAGGTAGCTTTGAAGTTATCTACATC